ATGATTGCCTGTTTCTTCGGCATTAACGGTCATGTGGCAACAGTGGCGTTAGAGCAACGCAGGACGGTCAATTCTGAATGGTACACGACCATTTGTTTGCCAGAAGTCATCGGAGAAATTCGAAAAAAGCAGAAGAACAGGCGAATCATTCTTCATCATGACAATGCGAGCTCTCACACATCGACTCAAACAAAGGCATTTCTGACGGAGCGAAAGATCGAACTGATGGGTCATCCGCCGTACAGCCCTGATTTGGCACCCAATGACTTCTTCTTATTCCCACACATCAAAAATAAATTACGTGGACAACGATTTTCGACCCCCGAAGAAGCGGTTGATGCATTCAAAACGCATGTTTTGGAGTTACCTCAATGGTGTTCATTCTGGTGCTTTGAAAATTGGTTCAAACGCATGCAAAAGTGTATTGATCATCATGGAGAATATTTTAAAAAGCAATAAAACCAATTTCGATCCTACATGTTTGTTTTTTCATTATTAGGACAGAAATATAAATAGCAACCCTCGTAATACGCAATTCTAAAAATAATACACAAAGTCGAAATTGCATAAAATATATTGGTCAAATATACACTAGTTCGAAATTATATAAAATATACACATTTTGTAATTATTGAGCATATTGAAAACAGAGTTTTCATAAATTTCAATAGGTTTTCGAATTTTTCTCTAGATTGGTTCAAATTTCGTTACCTATTAAAATCAAAATAAATAAATTTTTAACTTCAAAAGTTTTACTCCTATTAGGTGGGAAGTAAGATAGACGTTGCAAAGAAGTAATGTTTTTAAAGATAATTCTACTATATAAATTCTAAATGCGAGTTTCTGACTCGATTATGCTGCATCTCCCTCCCAAAAATCCCACAAAAAATTTTAAAATAATTATTTTAAGCGCTTTGCAAAGGTTTTGGAATTTGAAGTTTTAGAATCAGAAGTTTTTGATGCTAAAAATAATGGCACTGCCATCTGCATGTGATTATCGAATCTCTTAGTAATTATTGAAAATACTTGCTGACGATATGCATCATTAAATTACCTTAATTTGGCAAGAAGTAGGGCAAATTTCTTTCGAAAAAGATAAAGTTTTTCTTTAAGACGCTGATAAACGTAGCCGTGATCGTATAGTGGTTAGTACATTGCGTTGTGGCCGCAATAACCCAGGTTCGAATCCTGGTCACGGCATTTTTTTTTATTTAGTTTCTTATGTTTAAAAAAACATTTATTTTTGAATTAATCATATAAAATTTGCAATTATTGACATAAAAATATAGATAAAAAATTCTTAGTGGTCAAAATCATCATCATCAGTGGATCATGGGTCAAAATACCACTGCCGGTGGGCCTTTGTGGTTTTCATGTCCATGTAACTCAAATGCATGTTAGTTGCATCAAAAAGTCCTCCACTAAAGGTAGTGCTAATGCTTCTATTAGTTTCCTTATCTTCTGGGTTGGGTTCAAAATTACAAGGCCACAGAGTAGAACATTGACAGTCGCAAACTCAAATTTGGGTCGGCTGTTCAACAACAATGTGGAAATCATATGACATTTTTGACGAATTCTTCAGATTTAAAGAGCACAGCAAGGTTTTGCAGTTTTGCTCCATACGAAAGTTAAAAAAAAACTGATATTTTGCGATAATGGTGCATCAACTTTTCAGTGAAAGTACTACATAAGTGAGTCTGGTTACAGAAGCCCTCCAGCACGGCAGCGGGTGTTTCAGATTGCTATTTTCATCTCAGGTACCAATAATAATAATAATAATAATAAACTGCTTGCAAAACAATGACAGTATTTTTTAAAGTTAATAAAATCGCAGAATGAAATAGAGATCAAGTGAAAAAGTAAAGATTTTTCTTTTCTATCTTCAACGATGAACGATTAGGAATCATCTCTTTCCCTTTTGAAATCATTTTGTATGTAGAGTGCAGAACACAGGTGCAGAAAATTAAGATTGCGGAAAAAAGCTTATTTTATGGACTCTGGTACAATTTTATTCACGAAAATATGTTCTTAAGGAGTGAAACTGTATTAAAATACAAAAAATACGGAGGGGAAAAAATTGAAATTATTTTTGGGAGAAAAAAAATTTAAAAAATTTAATTTCAGTACCTTCATTTTAAAATGTTACCAGTTTTGAATCTGAGAGTTTGTTTAGAATAATCTGATTTCGTATTTAGAAGCTTTATTTATCGATTTATTTCCTTTCGGATTTAAAGAAAAATTGTGCGAGTTTTAAATTAAATTAAAAAGTAAAAAAAAAAAAAAAAATCATAAGTTTTTGTGCAGATTTTTTTTATTTATTATCTGTTGCAAGTGCTAATTTCATCATAAGTATGTTTGGTTATGCCAAACTTTTCCAATCATAAAAAAACAAACGAAATTTTAGAGACATTTGTTGCATAAATCTGAAGGCTTGATATCAATTATTTTTCTTTAAATTATTTAGATGCTTTAATAATGGTTTTATTCTAATTTTCATTTAATCATTATCATAGAAATTTCAAATTAAACTTAAGCATACAGTCCTCGTATTTAATTTTCGCTACTTAAATATATTTTTTTAATTATATCGCATTTTTGTGTTAATGAACAAAATATTTTCCAATGAACAAATTTTTACAAAGTATTTTTGTAAATATTTTTTATAAGGTATTTTTCTAATTGAAAGTAGTACGAGTTAATAATTTTTTATTTTTAAATCCCTACCATTCGATGAAGAGCCAAGTGTATTTCAGTCAACAACTTTCATATCCTAACCTTGCAATTTTGAATCTAACTCAACAGACAAAGGAACTCTTGAATAATTCGTCTTCGTAAGGAGCTTTTGGCTTTAAATTGACTAACATTTGAACTTTTAACTCTATTTTCATATCATCAGTACAACGATGTGTGTGTGTGTGTATTTTACGTTAACAGTTTCAGTCGATGTAGAATGGAAAAATCATTCAGCCTTCGCTAGGAATCTAATTTTGGTCGCTTGTTTCGAGAGCGAGAGCTTTCTCCGTTAGCTCGATCGTTCTACACTTTTTTAAGGGTCTTGAAAACATATTTATGAAATTTTATTCATTCATTTAACTTTAAGGATTAGCGATGTATTAGTCACTAAAAACTAAAAAATTAATAAATAAATAAGAAATTAAAAAAAGTTTTGTTAGAGTCATCTTTGTAAGGCTGATGGGGAGATCTCCTAAAATTTGAAAAATTCCTTAATTTCCACAAACGACAAAAATACATCAAAATTTTTATTTAAACAACGACAATGTTTTACTACATCTGATTTATTTAATTATTATAAAATCACTGATAGAAATATTTTGCAAAATATTATTTCGAAAGACAAAATTAACATTTAAAAAAAATCAGGAAAAAAAACTGAAAAAAAAGAGTTTATTTAAGATTGCGAGTAGAACTGATACACAAAGTGAAAGGAGCAATTTTTTTTCTTTTAAAGTTATAATAAACCGATCAATTCAGTTCAGTCAAATGAATATTATTTAATTGAAATTCCCCTACAAAACGGATTTTAAAAACTGTCTCCCCAAAGAAGTAAAAGAAAGCTCACTTAAATCAATAAAACACTTTAAATCTAATTTGCGGTTTTAAAACTACAAAATTGTATAAATAATTTTTTTTTTAAATAAGTATCCCCCCCCAAAAAAAATGGCGACATCCCCCCTCTTGATATACTCCTGCTCTTTCTTAAATGTGTTTTAAAAATATGTAAATTATAGGTGATAGAGCTACTCAAATTTTACAGATATTTTGAATAATTGAATAGAAATATTTTCAATTTTCATCTTTAATATACTAATTCAAAAAGGGGACAGTCTTAAGACTCTTTAATCCTTAATTTTAAATTTAAAAAAACTATACTACAGACGTATGTAGTCAAAGCAAAGCTGTAACTGTATGTAAGGCGAAAGAATAGATCTTTCAAAGATTTTTCTTTTTCCCTTCATGAGTTAGAAATGCTTTTTGATTATTAGAAATATTTGTAAAGAGATATGCTTTTTTTTTTTTTTTTTTTACAAGACCGAGATGCAAATAAATATAAAGAAAATTCAAAAGTCTCATAAATTTTTCTGGATTTTGCTTAACATTATGAAAACTATGGTTGCACAAAATCACTTTCTTTAAATTGACATTTTAGTTGCTACACGAATACTGTTTATAGAGGACGATTGCCTTATTTTCATTTTTTCTTCTTTTCCAATGTCAATGTCCTAAAATTATAAGAGATTATAATCGACGATGTAATTCAAAACTTTCTGATTGTCTTCTTCTCATTAATCGGACACTTATTAGATATAGTAAAGTATGAGCGGGGGGGGGGGGACAAACTCATTTTAAGCAATTCAGATATAATTTTTGTTGCAGCCATCTACTATCCTTAAATTTAACTATAACTAAAATAACAAAACGAAACACAATTTCTAACATTAAAAAGAAATCAAAATTAAAAAAATTTTAAGTCATTATGAAGGCATTTCTTTTTTTTCTTGTTGTGTAACATATTTATCAGATTAAGGTTTAAATATGGTTTTTAAACTGCATGAAACTCGAAAATAATCCTTTTAATTTATTCACCTTTTCACATATTTGTATGCATTATACTTGAATAAATTTTTACTCATATGTTGTGTGTATTGTTATTGTTGAATAATTTTTGTTGTAAAACTATCACCATATTCTTGTCTTCAACTTGAACAATGAGGACTTGGAATTTAATTCTATTTGAGAAGGATCGGACTATTGTAGGAGCCCAAGGGATCATTCTTCTTGAGCTTACAGCTCAGGTAGTTGATTACTTCAAAAAATATTAAAAGCGCAAATATACATTGAAGAAATTAATAAATGTAAAGTAATATTTTTTAAAGTATTTACTGGAACTAAGAAAGATAAGGAAACGTTCGAATTCGCTATTTTAGTGCATGATGTTTTGAGCCAAAAGTAAATATCCGGAAGCGTTTGTTTCTAATCGTCTCCATCTTGTCATATTGTTGTTTTGAGATCGAAAAAACATAAACATAAACATTCATCTCTTTATCGATCATTATTTGTGAGTCAGGTGTTGATTTTAGTTGTATTTTAAACTTGATCCAAATTAACTACTTTCATTTTAATCTAATTAATTCACATTTTCTAGTATTAATTTATTGAAACTCATCATTTTCCCAACTTAAAGTTACATATCTTTAATAATAACCAGCACTGTGGATTATCAAACAGGAATTGACATGGAAACTGACGATTTATTTCCCGACGAACTTTTAAAATCGCCTCTAGATCTTAATGAAATTTGTGTCGTTTGCAATGAAGAGCTTGCACCTGACGATTTGCAGTCCCACTATCTTGCAAATCACATTACTTTCGCTCCCCATATCTGTCCCATATGCAATAAAGGTTTTAATAGAAAATACTCACTGCATCTTCATTCGTTTACACACACTGGAATGAAACCCCATGTTTGCGATATCTGTGGCAAGAGTTTCGCGCAAAAAAGTGATTTAAACAAACATTACGAACGACATATTGGCATCAAGCGTAATATCTGTGATATTTGCCAGAGGGGCTTCACTCAAAAAAGTGACTTGAAAAAACATTACATGATACACACGGGAAATAAGCCGCATGTGTGTTCCGTCTGCAATAAAAAATTCTCTCAGAGGACACATTTGGAGCATCACCTGTTGGTGCACATTAAAGTTAAGCCTTTTAAATGTAATGCATGCGATAAAAGCTTTTACATGAATCAGAGTTTGAAAAAGCATTTATTGAAGCACATTAATGACCGAGGACACGCCTGCAAGAGATGCGATGAAATTTTTGTTGACAAAGAAGCGTTGCAAGCTCATATGTCAACACATTCAAAAAGGCACATCTGCCAGTTGTGTGAAGAAGATTTACCCTCGCCGCAAGATCTTAGAAAACATTACGCCAGCAGTCATTCTGGAGAAGAGCCATTCGCTTGTGACGTGTGCGAAAAACGCTTTTTCTCCCGGGGACGGTTAAACCATCATCTTCTGTCGCATAGTGTTGTAAAACCGCATGCTTGCAATATTTGCAACAAGAGTTTTGCACAGAAGGTTCACTTGCGTGATCATATGATGATCCATACGGGAGAAAAGCCACATACTTGCTACATCTGTAGCAAGAGTTTTATACAGCTGTCCACGCTGCAGAGACATTATGCGACCCATTCGAATGAGAATCACCATGTCTGTAAAGTTTGTGAAAAAACTTATTCTCAGAAAGGTGATTTGAATAAGCATATGTTAACTCATGCCGGTGAATAAAATCTAAATGTGAAAGTTTACTTTATGAGGAAATTATATAAAGTTTTGCCACAAAAGTTTTTGTGCTATTTTCTCTAGTTGTTAGATGCATTTCTCAAACTGTTTAATCTGCATGCCAGATTGAATAATGATGGGCAAAAGAAATTTTTATTTTAATGACCAGATTGAATATTGTGCAAAAGGAATGCTTATTTTAATCACAAAATTGAATAATGATATACCAAATAATGCTATTTTGTTGGCTAGATTGAGCAATGATGTGCAAAAGTAATGCTTATTTTAATGGCCAGATTATGCTTGATCAAATTGGTCTATAAAATGGAGTAGTTCTGTTTATGTTACTTGGAAAAAATGTGCTAGTGAATGTAAAGAAGATACCATTACATGTATGAAAAAGCTTCTGATTTTGGTTTAGTACATGTTAAAGTGTATTTGATGTATATTAATTCAGGCTATGTAGTATGAATAGAGTGCATTGTATAAGTTTCATTAAATCTTAGGTTACATGGTCTTGATCCATTAACTGGTTCTGTACATGAGCAAATTTCATGCAAAAATTTCCTTGCCAAGTTGATTATCCCAAATAACATGAGAGTAAACCGGTGACAGTGAAAGGGTTACAACAATTTATCACCAGAAAAAAAAAGTTAAAATGACTTTTGTGCTTTAACTAGAAACAAGAGAGCTTACAGGATTTATTCTACAAGACAAATTGTTATTTTTAATTAAATTTTTCTTAATGAGAGGCCGCAAGTCTTAGTGTTCCAAAGTACTAAAGTAATTTTGAAGATCTTTTCATAATACTACGATTGTTGCAATTTTGATGAAAAATACAACAATCACCTAATGAAAATGGCCTGGAATACGTATTATGAAAAATAATCCTAAATTTATTTTTTGTTGGTGTATTAAATGTGCAATTTATAATAAATAAGTTATATATTTATTTAATAAGTTATATTTAATATTTAGAATTAATTAGTTAACAGTTATAATATTTATAATTGAGATACTTTTAGTTCCTCTGATTAATTATAAATTATGATTTTAATTGTTTTGATAAATTATTTTATAGAATATTAAAAATTCTGCTGAATATTCCATTACTTACTATTCTTTTAAGCCAAATAATATATTTTTTTCTAATCATTATAATAAATTTAAAAAGGAACAGGAAGGACGAATGTCAAAATTTTAATTGACTATGATATAAAATTTTTAATATATTTATGAAGTGATTTATTTTTTATTGTCTTCATAAATCTAGGGTTATGAGCATAAAGCATATTTGACAATTGATGTATGCTCAAAATTGCTGTATTCTAACAATAGAAGGAGTGTGCATACAAAAAAATTGCAAGTTGTTAACTTTTGTTGTTGTTGATTTTATTTTAATGCAATGCTGTTATATTTGACATAATAGGGCTTAAATCCTTGAAATTTTTTGCATACCTGAATGACATTTATACCTACCCTAACATCTTAATAAAAAATATTTACAGAGAGAAAGAAATATAGAAGATTACTAAGTTTTCATTACAATTTAGTAAAAAGAAGAGTAAATTAAACTTTTTTATTTTTTTGTATGTTTCAATTTACACTATTTAGCAATTCATTCAAAGAATTTTGTTGCAACATAACCCTTCAAACTTTCTAGAAAGGTAAAACAAAACAGCAAATGGAATACAAATATTATTGGGAATAAATTATCAAGAAAATTTTATGTATTAAACTCTGACATTGTTGAATTTCATTACATATTTGTTACATTGTTAAATTAAAAACATTTATGTTGCTTTTATGTTTGCATTTATGTCCTAAAGTGATTTGATTGGACTTTACAAGAAACAAATGAAATAAAATAAAAATATGACCACCGAGGCCGACGTCTTCAGGGGGTACCGGCCCCGGTAGCCATTAAAAACAAAACCATTTCTATTTGAGGGAGAAGCAAAAGCTTAAAATATCTCCCTCAGTACCCCGATGGTTTTGTATAGAGGTCCAGGAAAAACAAGATACATTCAAAAGGATAAACAAATTACGAAAAGAAAATCAATAAAAATCATCAGAAAATTTAAAACTCACAGTCAAATGGCACAAAAAGAGCAAAACTAAAAAAACTCATTATGTAGCAAAGTATAGACACAAAACTAATAATTTAATAACACTAAACAGCTGTATAAGAAAGATACAATAATAAACACACTTTGAAGTTACTCACTAACCTATAAACTTGATCCTATTTCTTTTCTTCAAAATACCTTGAAATTATACCTATCATTAATCATCATTTTAGCGAAGCCCAACAATAGAAAATTGACTCCATAATCATATTAACTTTTTTCACGCATTACAAATCTACTTCTTAACGCACATTCAAAATTCCATTCAAAATAATGCCTACTATAACATTCATTCTACAGAAAGAAAATTTTTTTTCACAAAATTCAATCTTAAAACCAAAATTTAATAATGAAATTTTTGTAGAAAAATAAAACATTCATTATTTTAATACTCTTCTCCTCTCATCTAAGCAAATAAAGATTATAATCACAATGTTCAATATCTACGATGCTTTTAAAAAAAATAATGTCGAGCCAAATCTACCACTACAGATTGCAAACTTTATTGCCCTCCCAAATATCGCCAACTCCACTGTGTAACGTATACTAAGATTACAACTTTATAATATTTAATTTTATAGAGGTGGGATGGCTGGGGATCACTGAACCATAATTGTGAAAGTCTGAGGACTAATCCTCAGTGACGCATGTAGCTCACCCGGCTTAGGATCGATAAATGCCAGATAGTCTAGGAAATAAATAGGGCCTGTGGGTAATGATGACCCCATTACCACAATAATGCCATTGGTCATGAAATTATGGAACGGAAATTCTAAAAAAATTTTTTAAACATAAATCTAAAAAAAAATTTTTAATTGGTTGAAATAAAGTAAATTTATATTCAGAAAAAAATGAACCATCAAACACTTAAATATTAAACTGTCATTAAAAATATAATAGTAATATAATTTTGTTTAACAATTTAAATTTATGATGAATTTAATCTTCTCTGTTACCGATTTTCCCATTCTGATAAAGTGGCAACTGCATTTTTAAAAAATTTCTGAAGACAATGATATTGTATAATTGGAACAATGCAATTAACATTCATTACTTTGATAAAAACTGAAAACAATTAGTAAATAAGAGTAACAAAAAGTTTAATCTTGCATTATTTTAAGATCATCTGAGCTTTAATAACATAAAGAAATTTTATTTTGAAAAAATGGTTGCAATAATTAAAAACAAAATTGTTTACCATTTTAAAGAATCGTTTTTGATATTAAAGCTAAGTTTTTGGAAATTATGAGTTAAGTGAATTCTCTAAGATTTGTTTATAAGTATGTATTAATTTATTTTTATTAATATTCAGTTTGTTAGCAATTGTCTTAGATGTTATAAAATATTATGTAATGTAATTTAGTGATGCATTTATTATTGATTTTTTAATTCATTTATTTTTATTATTTAGATTATATCTTAAATAATTTTGTGTTCATATTTTTAGAACATTATTTCTTCATATTTAATAATCAGAATACATCCTAGTAAAACAGTTTTGTGTTCATATTTGTAATGTGTTTTCTTTCTTTCATTTTTAATAATCAGATTTTATCTTTATGGAATAGTTTTATTTCTTCTATTTTTAATAATCAGATTCTATCTTAATGAAAGTTTAGTGTTCATATTTTTAATAATTGAGTTTTGTGTTCATATTTCTAATGTGTTTCCTTTCTTTCATTTTAAATAATCAGATTTTATCTTTATGGAATAGTTTTATTTCTTCTATTTTTAATATTCAGATTCTATCTTAAAAAAACAGTTTTGTGTTCACATTTTTAATAATTGGATTATATCTTAATAAAATGATTTTGTGTATGCATTTTTAATGTATCTTTCATGTGTTTTTAATAGTTGTATTTTAATAACTATGTTTTTTTTCATTATTTAACAATTCAAAATATTATTCAAATTCTTGAAGAGAACAATTATTTTCGTGGTTCTGAATTCTCTAAGCTGCCACAATTTTAAATAGGCCTAATTTTGGATTTTAATTGTTTCTAATAGATAAAAAAAAATCCTAGCTTTTTATTTATTTATTTAAAAAATCTTTTGCTTGAAGGAAAATTAAAATGCTTCTATTTCTTTACCTTAAACTCGGAGAGATTTTATTTTATACTTCCTAAAAAACCTGATTTTTTATAACAACAGATAAATATTTTTAATATTTATAATCATCATTAACTTTTTAAGAATTTTTTTTTTTCCTGTTAGATGTGTTCTTATTTTTAGAATATTTTTAAATTTTTTCATATTGAAAATTAGTCGAATTTTCATTTTCAACAAAATGTTGGTTCAAAGTACATGAAGAAACTCAATCCAAAAATTATAAATTACTGCTATAAACTCACAACAGTTATAAAACTAACTAGTTTTTACATAAAACTATTCAAAAAAATTAAATAAAAAAGAAAGAAATCCAAGTCTTCAAACAAAAAAAAAAGGCTTCAGGGAAATGTAAAGGAAAATAAAATAGAAAAACACAATTTAATTGCCTTAAAAAAAAGACTAGACTATGAATTTTAGTTCGATATAGTAGCCTAGTTTCAAGAATTATCTGGGATTTTTAAGTCCCAGGTAATTCTTCACAGCGTGTTAATATATCTAATAATGGGCAAATAGATTTTTTTTTAAATATGAAACTTCTTTTTAAAAAATTACTAATTTGGTTTTTCCTACTAAACAAAAATTTTGAGATTTTTTTAAAATTCATTAATAATACAGCATTGGAGTAACTTTTAAGTTATGAATAGTTTTCATTTTTTCAAAAATGTGGCTTTCCTTCTTATTAACATTTTACACCATTTTCATTATCAGCTTGGAGGATAGGCAAAACTCAAACTAATGGTCATGAACAACTGTTACAAAAATCACAGCAGTTATTTCACATGCCGACAGCCTACGAAAAATAGCACCTTAAGAAACCTTTTTCTATGCCTACTCGGATTTTTAGACAAATTTTTGATTTTAATTGTCTTGATCTTTTATTGCAATTAAAACATTTTTTGATGTTAGATTAGAATATCATTCAAAAGCGCTATACCTTTTAAAAAAAAAAGTTGAAAATAAAGGCATTGATTTATTATGTTAGATTTTTAAATCATTTCTAAAAATTTTTTATCCTAAATGTACAGCAATAAAATTACGTTGAAAAATCCTCATAAACGTAAATTACGAAAAGATATTTATTGAAAATCTAAAAACAGATAAATTTTTAATATAAATGTCACTACCTTTCAAAGAATGCTGGTTGTAGAATTGTAATAGTATATTTTTGCCTGAAAAAATTTATTAAAATTCTAGAATAATGGCAACTATATTTTCCCGCAGCAGAGTAAATAAACAGCTTCAGTTTATTTTTGAAAATTAAATAAAGAGGATAAAAAACATTCATCTTTACCTGTTTGACCCATGATTTTGGTCATAAAAATAGGGCCACAACCTCTTAAAGAATATATATTACAAGAAATTATCTGAGGCTTTAAAGTAAAATATGTATACTTTTATGTATGTAGACAATTTACTGTGAAATCTGTATGGAACAGTGAAACCTCCAGGAAAGACCACCTCTATGTAGCGACCACCTCTATTTATGACCACTTTTTAGAGGCACAGAATTTTTTCCATAGACTTAGTTTTGTATTGAAGAACAGACCATTAAAATCTACCGGGCAATGACACTTAACTAAACCTAGAATATACAGTACAGAACCCATTATCTGGAAATCAGAAAACCGGAAAACAAAAAAACCGCAACAAAATTCGATAAATTTTCCTGCCATTTAAAAAAAATAATTTTTTTTCCTCATAAAATTTTAGGATTTTTCTTTCTTTTTTGAAAGATGTTCACCTTACCATCATTTTGGAAATAATCATTAGTGTATTACTTCATCGTTTTTTCTTCTTTTTAAGATTATTTCCAATAAAAATAATTTTTTTTTAGTTGGGTTTAACAATAAAAAAACGGCTTTTTGTAGCGATTCAGAAAACCGGAAAAATCAGTTATAGGAATAGCGTTGGTCCCGATCGTTCCGGATAATCGGTTCCCTACTATATTTTGGACATTTACCAAAGCGACTATGTGATTGTCAACATTCACCGGTTGAAGTCAACAACCACCAATTTTGGTCATTCACAGTAACATACATATTTTTGTGCTCAGCAGATTATTTTTTTAAACAAACACAGGAGATTAAAAAAAAAAATACAACTTTAGTCACAAAAAATAGTTTATTCACTCAGAATTAAAACATTTATAAATAAAGAGCTCTTTGTAAAATATCAACATTTTTTAAAATTGTAAAATATAGCAACCACAAAAGGCAAGCAAACTACCTCTCCGATAGAATATCTACAGGTTATAAGAATTATTTATAATTACATTTGTACAAGTGTGAAAGAGAGTCCATAAAACCTACATTACTACATAATTTATATACCATTGTTATATCTGAATGATATCAAAAAGAGTTGAGCATTACAGAGTTCATTGGAAAAAAAAAGTTTTTCAAATACTGAGAATGGAAAGGCATTTTAATAATCACAGCTAAAATAAATTAATAGTCTAAAAGCTAAAATAAGTTAATATTCTTCTTCTTCGTTACAGTCTAGAGTCCAATGCCCAAACACTTCACAGTTATTACAATAAGGACGCTCTTCTAGCTTTCGAACACCTTGCGGGACGAGATTTGGAACCTCGCCATCGTCGATGTAAGATTCTTGTTTGGGGCAATCATCAGTGTCGTGCAAGTCAAACATATCACATATATCGCAGAAGAGTCTTGGAGGAATTTTCTTTACTTCATTTCTAATATGGAAAACGCATTTCGGTTAGTATATATAGATAATACTGGATACATATTTCATATTTGAAATTAACATATTTAAAAAGTTAACCAATATAGTGATCATTATATATTGAATAAGTTTACAGTGAATACATATTTCTTATTGGAAATCGGTGTATTTAAAAATTTAGTTATTATTAAAATCATTCTACAAAAATTGACAAAGTAGCCAATTGCCACAATTCATACGTGAAGTAAACATACTTAAAAAGTTACTCAATATAGTAATCATTCTGTATTGAATATGTTTATTGTGGATATATATTTTATACTTGGAATCGAGACATTTAAAAAGTTACTCAATACAGTGATTATTCTATATTGAATAAGTTTATAGGGGATACATATATTTCATATTTGAAATTAGCATGTTTGAAAAGTTAGCCATTTCAAAAATCATTCTACACAAATTATAAAGAGATATTCAAGTAGAAATATATTTCATACTTGAGATCAGCATATTTTTAAAAATAAAAATCATTTTAAAAAGCATTTTATGATGGTTGTTAACGTTAATAGAAGTCTATATTTCATATGTAATAAGCATAATTAAAAAAATTAGCCATTTAAAAAAATCATTCTACATAGATTGTTAAAGTTAGTGAATACACATTTCATACTTAAAATGGGCATATTTAAAAAATCAACTAATTTAAATAATTCTATGGGGTTGTAGGGAAAGTTAGAGCTGAGTTTGAAAGAAAATTAACAAGACCAGATGAAGCAGATTTATAAAATCAGATATTTGCTAAAAAATATAAAATGTGATTTATTCCATTTAGAAATTACTAGTGTCTTTCAAATTTAACTTTAAAAAATCCCACTCGAGTTTAAAACCTAAACTATTAGCATTTTCAAAAATTAGAGATGTCCTTAATAACTACTCGTGCATTTTTATTTCTTTATTAAAATATTAAAAGTCAGTAAGAACATTTAAAGGAATAAAGAAAATTTTAAATAAATATATTTTACTTCACAATTGTTATCACACAGAATAATTTTAAAGGCACAATACCATTCTTTTCAATATCGAAATCCAATTTGCAATTAGCAGGCTGCTAATGATGTCTAAACTTAATTTGGCTTTGCTTAAAGTACATAAGAAAAAAATGACATTTTTTTTTAAATAAGAAAACATCTCAAGTATTTAATAAAAACAACGCTCTTCACAACATTAAAATATCTATAAAATAAAATTAATAAAAAAATCATTAGTCCTGTTCCTTTGCTGCTAAGGCAACTAGAACACATTTTTTACTGTCAGAATTTAATATGTCATGCAACGTAAATGAATAGTTATCTTGGTAGCACCCTCTGGTGGAATAGTTACAACATATTCAATTTAGGTTATGAGCAAACCTGTATACAGACAAAGTTACAATCAAGTTCAGGCTTGGAAAAAACAACCATTTGCACCATATGACACATAATTTTTTTTTATCTAGTTTATTCTTGCCAGTTTATGACGTCATTTAAGGTATGGCTTGGCTTATTTTTTCAAAATTATGTATTTGCAATATCAAATGTTTCCATTGACAATGTTCCTTATGTACTGCATAATCAATATAATTTTTATTTGACAAAATTTTGGCCTATTTGGCCTTGATATCGATTTCAAATCTGCCTTATGGCCTGAACACCCATCGCAGGCAATTATTCACTTCTTGGTTTTCAGAAGAATTCTTTTTCCAACACTGCTAAGTACTTCACTTCGATCTACCATTACTACTTAAACTACATTAATTGCTTTAACATAGTTTATAGATTATGTATTTTAAGAACTTACTTAATTGCAAGACATGAAAGATATTTTCATAAATCATTTTCTTTTTAAAGTGAGAACAAATGGTTCTTTTGGCATAAAAAATCTAAAGGAGATAATAGGCATTAACTTTATTTCAAACAGTAATTTCCTGTATTTTAACTAATATGTTTGCATATTTGTTTTGATAACAACGAAATTATCTAATTGAAAAGTTTACTTCATAGTATAAGCAAAAATAAGGTAGCCACGATTTTCTAACAAGCAATTGACAAGATTGATTTCCAAGAAAAAAAACTTAAAAACATCATATAACTGAATAAAGCTGATAGATTTCTCCATTATTAAATACCATTAAGAAAGTTTAATAATTTAGGTTACATGTTTAATTTTTCATACAAAAAGATAAATTTAGATAGGAGAGTGAATTTAAACATGCCATCAAAATATAATCCTAATTTTGGCTAACATGTTTGCTTATTTGTTTTGATAACAACAAAATTACTTGTTTGAAAACTTTACATCATAAGTTAAGCAAGAATAAGCTAGTCATGGTTTTCTAATCATCAAATGACAAGACTGATTTTCAAGAAAAAACATGTCAACATCATAAAATTGATGGACCACTTCTTCATTATTTCATACCATTAAAAAAGGTTAATTATTTAAGTTATATGTTTAATTTTTCACACAATTGCTAATAACATTTTTCATATAAAAAGATAAATTGAGATAGAACAGTGCTGTCAAACATGCCATCAAATATAATCCTAAAATGTAAGGGAAGGTAATACTTAGGAAATAAAAAAAATTTATCCATGCTGAGATCACACATTCAACATGCACACATGAAAACTAACATTAAACATATTGTGAAAATTTTTGATTAAGCAACATTCCATGCTGTTACACATTACATTTACTGCTGCCATCACAAAATTAATGCAATAATAATATAATACTAAGAGTAAGAATGAATAGAAATTTGATAAGTTATCAAAATTTCAAAAAAACTTTAAAATTCATAGTAAGTTATTTAACTAAATGTCATAGAGTTTTAGATTTTTCTTTCTCCAGAAATTTAGGAAAAAAAATTCGAGCTACTTTAGGTCTTAATTTAAAAACAAGTTGTGTCAGTTTTGGAGTAAAAACAATAGATTAATTTGAGAAATATGGTATTAGATATGTACAGTAATTTCTGGTACATAGGCCGTGGCCTACCTGTGTTTAAAAGTTCAATTGTCACAATGTGCTGCCTATACCGGGAATTTACGTGTAAAACGGATGTCTACAGAAAATATTCAGAAATTACGAACCTACTTCGGAATGTTTGCTCTGAAAACGTTTTTTTCTTCTTATATTTATTAAAATATGGGGTGATAAAAGAAGTTTTCGATTGACAAAAAACCGTATGATGTCATCTACAAATGGGGTTACAAATTCCGATTTGTGACATAAGAATAATTTAACTAATAAGCTATATTTTTTATGCTCTTCTTCTCATTTATATTTCCTTTGTAAATATTTTATTTTCAGATTGTAATAAAACAAGAATTTTTTTTTTTTTAATTCTATGCATTAATCCAATTTCTGCAGATACTTTTAGCTGCTTTTCTTCTGTGTATACAATATAAAAGAAATAAAATTAAAAAAAAAAACTTCTGTATTAAATAAAAACGCTTAAGAAAAATAAATCAAGGGAGAACATAAATTGATACTGATCAGTCAATTGATTAATATAAGAACAGTCAGAGTATGGCCGAAGAAAAAAAATTACATTAAAAAAAAACACAAAAAAATAGAAAGAAAAAGGAAACTAGGTTTTGCGAAACAAATTCCAGTATTGAGTACTAAATACGAAAAAAAAAAAAGGAACAAGACTTCAGCCTATTAATGATTTTTAATCAAAACATTTGCTTCAGTCTCAGAAATAAAATTTATTCATTCCTCATTGAAATGAATAATTTATTTTATTTTCTCTTAAAAGTATGTTTGCTTTTTTTAAAAAAATAGTTTTGATGATGAACTACAATGTTTGATTTATTCCAAAAGTGAAGAATCTGATTTTGATGAATTTGATTAAATATGAGATCTTCAAAAATAAATAAAAAGATGGTGATTTATTTTCATTTTGTGATTAATTTATTTTTTATCATGTACACATTCTTAAGTTATGATTCTGATTGGTAATATATGTTTATTGTGAAAGTATTCTTAATTCCTTCTTTTTATAATAAGTGTATATAAATAAAAAGATGTATCAATAATAACTGCGTTCTAGGTATAGATTTTATGTTTGAAAGATTATTGTTTTTTAAGTGTATTTTCCCGCATTTCATACCTAATAAGATTCGACATTGCGACTGATGTGGTGCCCACTATTCCACATTTATAAAAATGTTTCTTTCTTTTAACTGTGAATAACTTTTCTTTAATTTCAAACTTTAATTAAGTATTTGGAAAGGGAAATATAACCGGATTTATAAGTAGTACTTCTTATCATTATAATTGAGTAAATCTAGTGACATTTCATACTTTATATTATGGTAGTAAATAAAAAACAGAATTGCGGCCTATACAGGTGTGTGGCCTATATGCTAATTAAAATTTTTCGGGATGTTTTTCACTGGTGCGACATGTCTACCAGAAATTATTGTAAGTGATTCTTTATCAAATTTACAATTTGTTAATATTTAATTTGTTTTCAAAAAAATTTTCTACTGAAGGCTTGAACTTGAACAAAGACATTAATAACAAAAAATAATATTAAAGCTTACATCGAAAGCAAAAAGCTTTAAATTAAATTTTTATAATTCAAATAAGAACTTATATCGCAGTAAATTATCATAAATAGGCAAAGGTGAAATTACCTGATACTGCAACATCCTATTACTTTGGTTAGCATTAGTAATAGGAAAAATCAGGCTTAATTTTTCAAATTATTTAACAAAACAGCATTTTTAATAACAGCTCCATGGTGAAAAATGTATTTGCAAGATTAAAAAAAATCACAAATTAAGTACCTATTTACAAAAATCCATTATTTTCTAAAATAGATTATTATTATTGATTTAAACAAAGAAACCAAAATTAAGAATAACATTTATTAAATAACATTAGATTACATTAAAATTAATATTATTAATATTTTGTTTTTACTTCTTATAAATATTTTGCTTAATTATATATAGTAATCATATATATAATTAAAATTGAGGTGTCTTTCCACCCTGACCTCCCGGTTGCTGTCAACAAACAAAATGATCACCCTGCTGTTCTTAAACAAGCAGCACTTGAGAGAATCTACACTATCCCAACGGAGGCTGCTCAAGTATATACGGATGGAAACAAGGACGAAGACAATCACGCCGGGAGTGGGATCTTCATCAAAACTCAGATGAGCGAAATTAAGAGCCAGAAAAGGAATCACGACCACTGTTCCGTTTTTAGGAGCGAGCTTATCGCCATTGATGATGATGGACTTGCCTCAATACTGTCTCTTTCAATTCCGAAAGAGATTTGTATCCTTACCGACAGTAGAAGCGCGCACTTGGGTAGCTGTCACAGAGTGAGGAACAATACTAGCACGAACATCCTTTATAAACTTTTACACTTCTCCAAATATTGTCGAATTCACGTACAATGGATACCTTCACACGTAGATATATCAGGCAATGAAATGGCAGATAGTCTAACCAAGGCAGGTGTAGCTGAGGCCGCTGCGCCTCCAGTGTCTCTTGCCTTCTCAGAGCTCTTCTCCATTGCTAAAGCCAAAAATAAAAAAGCATGGCTCACTCTACCCAGTCACAATTGGTACCAGGGTACCAGACCGGGTAGCTGTTTGACAGCTGACAAAGACCGCCAGTCTCAAACTGCCACCACACGTCTCCGCTGTGGACACCTGAAATCACTGAGGTACTCTGAAGGAGAAAAGTGTTTTGCCTCTGTACCACATGCTCTTCGGCCCAGGCATCCCCTGAACATCTACTGAACTGCCTCGGTCTTTTAAAACAAGACCTTATAGAAAGACCCTTACTTGTTTTAGACTTTTTGAAGGTGAACAAACTCATGGACCTTATCTAGCTAGGCTAGAAATTGGGATTTGAAAGAAGATAACTAAAATTAAATACCGTTAACTGTGAATACTTTGCCATCCTTTTAAAAAAGAATACTGGTTGGCAAACAGCAGTTACTCAAATGACTGAGCGTGAAAAATAATTAGAGCTGATAGTTGCAATGTTGGAAAAAGTGAGGAAAGAGATTTTCCATTCTGAGATAATTTATCAAAGAGAATTTAATCAAGTCATTAAGTGATTGTGAGTAAGCAATTTGAGTACCTTAACAACTTTGATGTGTGAAGTTTGCAAAAGATATCTGGTAAATTTTTGTTTAATTAGGCAATTTTTGCCCAAGATCTATAGGAAAATGAGAGTTATTTTTTCATTAGCATGAGAATATATTTAAATATAAATCTATAAGTTTACCCCCAAGAGTAGACATTATTTTCTTCTCCCCAACTGCTGTAGAAGCATAAAAAAAAAAAATTTTGGAAAAATTTGGAAAAGTTACTCAAGGTTGATAGTAACTAAAGCTAATTTTTTTTCTTCATTTATTGACTGAGAATAAAATAACTTTTATTTAGAAGTGTTAACAATAAATAAAATAAACACAAACAGGGATGAGAGTAGTCAGAAAGTAAAAAAGAGGAAATCCAAAAAACAAAAAAAAGAAAAGAAAAAAAAGGGGGGGGGGAACCGCAGACCAATCAGTTTGTATTCAAAGCAAAGTTTATCTAATAATGAGTATCATATTTTGAAACTTGCATCGAATATAAACTCCTGTTTGTGAAAATTGCAACACCATGAAGGAATCGTCATAATTGAATGAAATTTACTACACAGTTGAGTGGCAGTGGTACAAATAAATGATTAAACTTTCAAAGCAAACAAACAATAACAAGAGATCGAAANATATAATTATTTTACTTCAATGACTGAATTTTAAAAAAAAACGGGATATTTATTTAAAAAAACGAAACTTTTAGAGAATCGGAGTTTTTGATAAAAAGGCTGAAATTCGAGAGACAAAAAAAATCTCATCCCTGTATAAAGGTCAACCAGTTTTATCCCAAGGAAATGATTTTTAGAGAAACTTCAGAGGGTGGAAAAGGGACTTCAACAATTTCCCTCCGCGGAAAATTAAATTCCTCATAAAACATTTTAACTTGGGCAAAAAAAAAAATTTCAGCGGAAATTAGCGGGAAAAATGGAAAAATCTTAAAAAAAATGGAAATCTGCGAATCCGCGGAAGAATCTCATCCCTGCACAAATAAAACTAGGTTTACAAGGAAACTTCTTAAGATATACTTAGTAGTTAAAAAAAGTTTCTAGTAAATTATAAGGGAATAAAGTTTACATAATTTCAAAACTAACATTCTATAGAAAAGATATACAGAAAAACTACTGCAATTCGGGAAATATAACATATATAAATAAAGATCTGCTCAATTTTATGCATAGATATAACCAAGCCGATCAGCTTTTAAAGATATTGTTAATTTAACAAGAATCTGTGATAAGCAGCAGATGAAATAAAATACTAAATCAATACTAATAAAAATCAGACATTCTATTTTTAACAAAAGTCACTCCTAACCTAATTAATCAAACAGTATAATGTCCTAAGTTAATTACTTACAGATTTAAATCACTGTGCTCGATAGGATTTTTGAACAATTCATTCTCTCTGCTCAATTCTTCATTCTTTTGTTTCATATCAACAATTATGGAGTTCAAAAAGTCAATCTGTTTTAAAAGAAACAATGTAATTAATTTTAATATTGAACTTGAATTAATAATAATATTTTTATTCAACATTTAAGGTTTTAGAGTTTTAAATGCTATAGTTCGAAATTTTCACAGTTAACTTGGAAAAAAAAATCAATGTATTTTCTTTACCAAATAATGAAATTAGTTTTCATTAATTAATAACTCAAGTAGCAATCATTACACACATAAAAAATTATCATTTTATAAGCAGATCAACATAATGATTATATCTTAATGGTTGAAGGGATTAATTTTAAATATATATCATATTTGCTGATGACCTGCTTAGAACTCCTTACAAAAAGGTAGCGTTTTATAACTAATTTTTTTTAAAAAGAAAATTGCAAATTTATATCTATAAAGAAACTATAATTTTGAATAAAGGGTCTTCATAAATAAGATTTTTTGTGCTTTAAGAAAGGAACCTTCTATAAATTTTGTCCAGCACTTGGAAAACCAGCGCCAAGTCTTGATTACCTTGCAACAAAATCAGAGTTTGGTCCATTTGTTCATCTTTTACCGGGATGAAGTTTTTGTCACGTATATCATTATAAACCATTGAATTTGCTTAAACATTTGTGTAGACGATATCAAACTGCTGCCCACATCACAACAGAGCTACCTTTTATTGTGATTCAATAGTTACAAAAGATTAAACCATGCCAGTAATATAGCAAATCAGGAACATTAAGACTAAAAAATTTTTCATCAGTAAACATAAGTTTTGGCCATAAATTTTGATTAACAGCATTAATGAATGATCTTAAATGTGTTATTTTTGCAGCTAGGATTTTGCTTTTAATTGTCGTTTAGATGTCTACAATTTTTTATAACATTTCATTCTGCTCTAAAGGTAACAGGATATTGCAGTTAACGTTTCAAATTTATTAATACTTAATTGATGATGTAATGTTCACAGTCAGAAGTTATCTACGACGGAGACTTGCTTTTTTTTCTCTTTTTGTAAAATATAGGATTAAACAAAAAATTGTAAAATACATAACTCGACAAAATAAGTATTTTAGACACATCAATTCTTTCAGTAATTTATCTTTTACTCAAAGCACACTCTGAAGAAGCAAGAATTTTTTATTTTTCTTTCTCTAACTTTTGTCTGAAAGCTATATTAAAGGCAACAAAAAGAAAAAGACTCATTCAAAACTTTGAATAAGCAAATCAAGATATGCAGAAAGACAATTTCAAGTTATTGAACACATTTGTCAAGTTCATCACAAGTAAAAGTAGTAAAACGGTCTCAAACTTTTTTTCAGCTTTTAACACACACCACTAAACTACGGCAAAATACCTAGCTTTTTAAAGCTATCTTTTAATAGGCATAGCAAGATTGCCAAAAACCAACACAGATGACACCAAATGATGGACAGCACCAAAGCTGGTACCCTTTTCTCTTCTTTCAATAAATAACTAATCCAAAGCATTATTATTTTGCTATAATCATATTCATACAAAATATGTGTATGCTATAATGTACATTTAAGTTCGCAATATTTACCTGACTCAGTAAAGATTCGTGTTCTTCTGAATCCATTTGATTAGAATCAACAGCAGCTAAAAAGAACAATTTTTAATGGTTACAAGAAACAAGGTATTAAATTATAAGATGAAGTTGAAAAACAAAAATTTTTTATGCAAACAAGAAACAAGATAATATTAAATTTTAAAAAGGATATATATTTCCAATATTTTGCACAAAATATTGGCAAAACGATTTTTCCCTTTTTGTTTTTGACTAAACAGTGATTTAAAATTATGTGCCATAAGTTACTCAAATTCTCTTTGTCAACAACTGTCCACTATATTTCACCTAGAAAACTTCAAGAGCATAGATTTTATAACTACTTTGCTTAAATTGCAAAACTCTGAACTGAAACAAATCTTTTAATTTAAATGTTATAATTAAAACTACATTCTTACATATGATTATTTTGTTTTAAAAATAGCTTTTTTTTAAAAAACAAAATAGCTTTTTTTGCAATTAACAGTTTTCTAGCTAGTTTTCAGGTATTTTGAATTTTAAAAAAAACACCAATAATGCAAAAATTGGCAAGTCATAAGCATTCTATCCACTTTTGTGGTGATTCACATTTATAGTCAATGTTTAAAATGCATCAAAAATGTCATATATAAATTTTTTCACCCTATCTAAAAACCAGTCGCAATTGAAATTCTTTAGCGAAAAGTTGTACAGTTGATATTTTGTTTCCTATTGCTTTAAGAAAAATCCAATTACTAATTGAATAATAACGATTTTTGTTAGAGTTTTGATTTGTTCTATTATTTTGTCAAAAAAAAAAAAACATTCCCGACCTCTTAATTAAAGTTCATTTGGATATTTTTTATTATTAGTTTCTTTTCTCCTATTTTTCCATTTAATAAGGTGCTGTGATTAATCAATACCAAAAAACTGCAGATTTTTTTACACATTCAAAGAGTATTGTGACTAATTCTGAAGTTGTTGTACTTCAGATACTAATTTAAATTGAAAATATTTTTTGTCGTAGAACAGAATCACAATCAATTTCAAAAGTTACATCAATGTCATTGGTTTTATTAATAACAAATTATAGAGAGCTGTTTCGAAATTGTAAAAGAAAACACTGTTTGTCACTCTTTGACTAATAAAACTGGTAATTTTATCTGAGTTTATAAAAGTTTTTCTAACAATTGAAGTTCCTTTTAAAACTTAAATATAGATATTAATTGGAAAATTAAAAATCGTTAAAACCAAAAATTATGAAAAGTTATACATCTATAAAAATATAATAACTTTATTTTAAGGTAAGCCATAAAATTTAGTATATAAAAACAAAAAATACAAATATAAATAACATCCTGTACATATTACAATCTATTTTTTAAAAGTGAAAAAAAATTTTAAAAAAAACTAATTTTGTAAAAAAAACTTTCAAATCTTACAAAAAAATAATTTGAGTAAATAAGTATGCATACTATTTTTTTAAAAAAAAAAAATTTTCGGAAAAAGAAAAGTTTAGAAGAAGAGAAAAAACTAATAAAACCAACCTGTTTTACTAGAGAGATTGTCATTTGAAGAAGGCTTCATATCAGCTTTTAACTTCAAAAGCTTATTGTCCTCTTCTAAAGATTTAATTCTAGATTTAAGTTGTTCCGTAGAATCATTTCCTTTTTGCAAAATAAGCATCTAAATTTTGAAATAATAAAATTAACTAAAATTAAATTAAATCTTACATTCTTAATATTATATTATTTAAAAAATCAAATTTTGCTTTCAATACGAATTGTTTACATATTTTGAATTTTGTTATACTTTTATTTTTTAACTACACTTCGAATTTTTTATATGTTTTATGTTCAGTAAGTTTCCTCAAAGCTGGTTTAACACAAGAAAATGTCAAAAGGTAATCTAGGATAAATAGTCAAGCCTTAATACTTATCAAAATGATCATGGATAACAAACGATTTAATTTGAAGAATGTTTGACAATTTTTAATTACATAAAAAAATTAATAATAATCTTTTTAAAAACAGTTCAACTAAATAACTGTAATAGAAAATACATTTCGTAATAAAGAAAAAATCTCTTATATGAATTATAAATCATAAAAGAAAATCTTAAATCTACCTATGATTTTCAGCTTCTAGTGATCAAATTGTTAGTCATTTTATCCTTAAACTTGTTAAAAGACAAAATTTTGTTTGCTGCACAAAATGCTACTATTAACACAATTTTTTAATATTACTTTAGTATTTTGTCTAGAAAGAGAGACTGTCTCATACTTTAATAGATTTACGTGTGATGCTGTTTTTGCAATACTTCGTCTGAGATTCTCCCTTGTCAACTGTTCTACTTTGACAGAAAATCCCACAAATTTTTCTTCTTTTTTTCTTTTATATTTTAAGCAATAATTTTTTTTGCTGTACTGAAAATTTTTTAAGAAAATAATAAATGACAGTTTTAAAAAAAGACGTTTTAAAGCCATAAAACACATGCAGGTAGTATTTCACAAAAGTTTTACAGATTATCCATGTAATTCATTTGTTTTTAAACTCCCACACTCCACACAATTTAATGATCCGCTTGACTTTTAATTTTACCATGAAATATGAAATTAAACCCAGATATCACGAACTTGATAGAAAACACTGAAAATTTCATAAAAATGAAAATTTAGGATTTTGACTTTAGTCAAAACACTATAAACACTTTAGTCAAAATAATAACTGTGATGATAGCATGAAACTAATTATTAGGAATCACATAAATTATTTATTTACATACAGTTTACATTTTGCAACTGTACAAAACTTAAATTTTTTGCTAGAGTGCTCAAATTATCTCCTTAATTAGGTTCTGTAACTGTGTAAAAACATCCAAACTCTTTTTTCCTTCACTGAACTTTTGCTTTCCTGAGCTTCTTTCTTTTCAAAAGAAAATATTTTAAGAAAGCGAGGGTTGGCAAAACATAAATGCTTAATGGGCTACTGGTGCTGGTCTAAGAAACAACCCTAAAAATGATCCAATGAAATGCCTTCACAATTTTGACCCTCTGCAGAATCTTTGTCCGCTGACTGACCACTGCCAGTAATGCTTGATTTTGGTCATTCATTGGGAACTGTAGACAATAACTTACAATCAGTCCACTGTTGGACACAAAGAGAACCAATTGTTTTAACTGGTCTTATAAATTATAATGCAAAAAAAGGAAAACGAAATTTACCGTTGTTATTATGTAATATATGATTTGAGTTTTACATTTTTTAAAGAAATAAACATCAACTTGAGTTATTAACAAACCTGTTCTTTTAAAGATAAACATTCAGCTTCTTTTTCTTTAAATATGTTTTGAGTATTACTAAGAGATTCCTCTGCACATTGTTTTTGCACCTCCACTTGCTCCAATCTGGAAAATGAACATAAATTTAAATAGTCAACAAATAAGTTTTTTTTTTTGTTTTTTTTTGTGAGACATGGAAAACTTACTTTTTAGACTTTTCTTTTATAGCTGCTTCAGATTCCTCAACTTTTTTTGCTAACTTTAAATAAAAAAGAATTAAAATGTAATTAATTTAAAATTTAAAACAAAGATAGGAGAAAAATGGAAGAAAATGAATAGATTTTACTACACTGTTAGGGATAGGTTAATGAACTTCCAGAGGTGCTTTTGAACATAGGTGTGGTATGCAAATTTCCCATATTGTGGGGGAGAGCTCAAATTACTAATGGAATATACATGCATGCATGCATACATACATATTCCAATAGTATGTATGCATAGGGGTGATAGATTTTAAAATTAAATCTCAAAAACAAAGGACAATGAAATAAAGTGTATGAGAAGGAATTTAGAACAAAACAGGAATTAGTTTTTAACAGGATTTATACAGGAATTTAGTCACAAAAGTTGAAAACCGATGGTAGCCTGGCCATTTAAACATAAAAAGAGGTTGTTGCAATGGATAAGGAAATATAAATAACGTATTTAATTTTATAACCGTCGTTGAACAGCCAACCAAATTTTTTGGGTTTAAGACTACTAATGGTCAACTCCATAGCCTTGCAATTTTGAAGCCAATCCAGAAGACAAGGGAACTCTTGGATCAAGTATTTGGAAAAATTTGCCTTCAGGGAGGATTTTTTGATGGAACTAATCTGCTTTTGCATTACATAGAGAGGAAAACCTACCACGGTTAGCCTGACAGCAAGGGGACTGTAATCCATGATCCGTTTACCACTTATGATATTTTACTTCAGCATTGTGGTCGGTATAAGGAGGGTATGGAATTCGTATCAACCAGTCATTGCTGGATTCGAATCCAGTTCACCTCAATGGAAGGCAAATGCTCTATCCCCTGAGCCACCACGGCCAAATGTATTTAATCGAACACTGAGTTTCCTGAACTTTACAGGCTAGTTCATCAAAAATTTTACTTTTTCCAAAAAATCTGTACAGTGCACCTCGCCACCTGCAAGTTACTTTTGTAACCAAATTCCAAAATTTTTGTATAATGTTTTTAAAACTTTCACAAGAGACATGCCATCGTGTCTCTGTCTACCACTCTTTGTTTCCAAGATTTTTTATTTATAAAATTAGTCAGTATGTGCAGATAACAGTGTCATGAGTTTCTCTTACAGCAAAGGAATGAATGGAATAATCCATTTCTGTAAGCAATGGATTATTGACAGCGGATTGCCAATTTTGACTCAAAAATATTTTTATTATTGATTTGGTGGTGAAAAGATATCAGAATCAGATCATCAAGAAAAAAAATTTTTCATTCAAAAATAAAAGAAAAAAAATTCACTGTGAAAAATTTGCATTTTTCAAGTACTACTGCTGAGTTTCTTCTAAGGGCTTATAGTAATAAAAAGTAAAAACAAGCATTTATGTGGCCTTTACAGAACCCGTGGGAAACCTGAATAATCAAGCAAATCAATATTCTCAAAAACTACTCAGAATTTTTAAGCGAAAAAATATTAAAAATGACAATATTATAGGGGATAAAAAAAAGGTACAAGAAAATTCCTGCGGTAATTCTACAATTGATTTCACTGTATTAGGTAGAAACTAATAGAATAAAAAACCAACCTGAGCATTCTCAGATGTCAAATTTGGTATTTGTATGCACTGAGATTCCAATTTTTTACATTTTTCCTCATACTTTTGAAGTTCTTCTTGCAGTTCTTCAACAACAGAGTGTTGCAGATCTCTGAAAAATTATTGCTTTTTTTTTAATTAAAAGTAACATTATTAGCACTTTTGTTCAATAATGCATACATAACAAACAAAAATGTTAACAAGTAAGAAGTTTTCAAATGAAGATAATTCATACTTTCTGCTGTACAGGAATAAAGCTAAACAACATGAATAAAGCACAAATAAAAGTTTCAAAGCAGACATACCACAGTCTGTTACTCTCTGTTTCAACACTATGGAAGGCTTCAGCATATTGAATCAAAACTATAGTATGTCTGTTTTTGTAATTTTATTTCTTAACATTTAAAAGCATTCAAATTATGAATAAAGCTAAATCAACACGCAAAGAGCATAAACAATGTCATACAAAGAAGATACAGGATTATTTTAGTGCAATAATGAAGTGTTTTCACTGTGGTGCCCCATTATTGTAGAACGATTATGGCCATATCTCTCTTTATGGTGGCATATTTGTACTCTTTTCTTGTTGTTTCAGCTTTATTCATATAGAGCACAAAGTTAACCTTTTCTTTAATTGGAAATTATGTAGTTAATAATTTTGAATAGGTAACTTAATACTGTAGAATTGTTTATTTTCATATACTTTTTTTAAAATTTATTTTCATTTTCATTTAAATTGAAAAAAAAAATTTTCAGATCAAGAGGAAGAACAGTTTAAAAGATCAGAGCAGGCCCATTTTTTTATTAAGAGAGTTGAAAAAATTTCGCGTACAGTTATAAAATTTCATTATCCAAAGATAATTCCAGACAAAAATAACTATTAGATAATATTGATTATTTTATTCAAGAATGGTCAAAAAGCTTTGCTTAAAATGATGCTAAAAATTTAGTACGGTATACAATTTTTAGCATCATTTTAAAGAATATAATTTTATATGGCAAAATACAAAATTTGAGCGAAGTTGGTCAAATACTTCCCGAGTCCTGAAACTGAACTTCAAAAAAGTCAGGTGCTTAAAATTCGATTTTTCAGGAACTATTCAAGCGATTTTTAAAAAGGTTCTTTTCACTACTTTAAGCAAATATTCAAAATTTAAAAAAAAAATTATAATAAATTATGAAAACACAAAATAAAATATAATTTGACACAAGAGAAATCAAACGAAAAATTTATGAATTGAAAACATAAGATTACCTAATGAACACATCCTTTTTACAGAATTAAAAGGTTCTTTAATTAAATAAGAAAATTTATTCATACTTAATATTTTAAGAAATATTTGCAAAATGTAAAAATAGAAAGATGATTCACTGCAAACAATGACCAAGACAAAACTTTTACAACTTACAAATGTTGTTTTAACTCTGAGGCAGCTTCCTTCTCCATAACTGATATATTTAATTTTTGCTCCAAATCTTGTTTATGTAAAGAGAAATCTGACTGCATCCTGATGACCTCTGCTTGCAAAGCTTCCAATTTGGCTTCTTTATCTTTCACAACTTCTTGTTGCAGAACTTTTTCTTTCATTAAAGCATCCCTAACTTCCTCAAGATTCTTTTTATCAGTTCGAGTTTTAAGTTCTTCACTAGCTATCTAAATGCAATACACTTTTTTTTAGAAAAACTTTATAATAAATGAATCTAAAAATATGTATGCTTATTAAATACTTAAATTAAAGGTTTATTTCATAAATTATTCAAGTGTATTAAAATTATTCATACAGCTTTTGATGTTAATGGCCACAATTGTGGTCAATTTAAAACTTCCTGAACTTTAATTTTCTCCCTTAAGCTTACAATAAACTTTGTAATTTTACCAACTTATAAAAGTCAATAGAATTTTTGGTAGCATAATTAAATGACAACACTCAGCAATTACTATAAAATTTTAAGTAAAACAAGCAACAAAAAAAAATCACATAGGATATTCATTCTAGGTTTAAAAATGTTGAAGAGCAAAACAGGAAAATAATTAAACATTTGGGTTAAAATTAAATTCCTACTCATAGAAAGGAAAGTCATTTTAATTTACGACATGTGAACAGTAATACAAGCAGTATTTCACACAAAAGTAAATATTTTAAAAATAGAAGAATATGATGAAATTCATAACCCTAATTCTTGATGAAATACAGCAAAAAAATATTTAATAAAAATCTTATAACAAAAATCATATAAAATATTAATTCAACCAATATACTATTGATCTTTTATTTCAGAAATTTAAAACATTAAAACCAATAAGAAAAGAAAAAAACTGATTTTACCTTTGTCATCTATTATGAAAGCAGAGTTAAAATAAAAACTAATATAAGTAACTTGATTATGAAAAGACAATTTGATATTTTCAGAACATTATTCAGAAGAACACCTTTTATAAAGTAACAACCATTATTTTTGTTTAAAAAGCCAATTTAAATTAAAACAAATGCCAGTTTCCTAACAATAATAAACATTAACATATTGAAGACCTAATAACCCTGTCTATTATTTCATTCCTTTTCCTTACTAAGTATTCCTTTAATGAATCAAAAAACACATTTCAAACCAAATAAATAAGTTGTATGGTAATTAGTCATTTACACAAAGTTCACACTTAATTTCAGAAGAAAAAAATCCTTGATTTTTTTCAGGTACATTAGATAAATTTTAATGAAAATCAATACCGTATTTTATCTATACCATGTTATTCTTCATCAGAAAATTTTGATTTTTTTTTTTAAAATTTGTAATGTTAAATAGATTTTGTGAGCAAAAACATATAATAGGATGAGAATCGAAACATGGAAAAGTTTCACTAAAAGGTGGATTTTTTTTAAATAATTGAAATAGATGTTAGAATTAATTAAATCAACACTCAATAATTGATTACTGTTATTGACATTATAAAACTGGTTATTTTCCAGGAATATGAATTTTTTATAATATATGAATTTTTCAGTTTTTTTTAGTAAAAAATTGCAATTTTTCCAGACAATTCTCTGCTTTTTAGAGTTAAAATAAAATTCCCTGACAATTTCAGGTTTTCCCTGTTCTTACTGACATATGGGAGCCCTGTTTACAAATGTTACACAATAACTTATCACCTTTCATTTCAAATAATTTTTTTAGAACATGAAAACTCAATCTAGAAATAATTATATTTTTAAGTGACTAATTACCAAAAAGTGCAACCTTTCTCATTAGTAATGTCACTTAATTTTTCTCATTTCAGCACATATCTGACAGAAATATATAATTTTTTCAATAAATTTTTAAAAAAAAAACAAACAACCTTTCTTTAGCAATATCAAATTGAATATCGCAAATAAAAGCAGAAACTAAAATTTTTGTTTTTGCTATTCTATCATATTTTACTTTAACTTAATCAGTTTTATGTCTACTACTTATAGGTAAAAATTATAGAGTGAAGAAAAAAAAAAGAATCAAATAAAGGATGATACTTAAATTAAACCACTATTGTTATTTCTTAACTCACAAACAAGTTTACAACTTTTAACAAAAAAATATTTCATAATTTAAAGTATGAAATGTTTTAAAAATTAACAAGTTTTTCAGAGAGAACAGAGAAGTTTTTTTAGGAGATAAGAGTTCAATAAGATAATGGGTACATTAACAATTATAAAAAGTAATTCAAAATTTATTATTTTTGTTTTGGTTGTTAAACTTTCACTAAAGCTACACTAATTAGCAACAGACAATGGTTTGGAATGGATTCTAAATGATAATACCATGATAATATTGACACATGTGTGCACTAAACTACCACAATTTAGATCAGAAGGCAGATGATGTTAGCAATCAACCGGCCTCCCCAACTGTGTATAATCAGGAAATATTTCAAATGTGCATAATCTAAATATTTCAGGCTCTAAAATATTTGGGGACATTACATTAGAGTTGATTCAAAATAATCAGATACAATTGGAGAAAGTGCAGTCCAATCAGACAACACCCAACAGTGAGGTTAAAAAAGGCTCATTTTTCAACATAAGTTTAACTGATATAAAAATTAAATGAAGAACGAAATAAAATATTTAAAAAATTAAATTCTTCAAAAAAAATTTATTCCTATTTCCGCTTAATACAAAATAAATGGAAAGATAAGTTAAAAATTTTGTGCAATTACCTTTTCCTTTTCTTGTATCAATGCATGGAATTTAACTTCTAAATCAGATATTTTCTTAATTAATTCACTGTGAGTTTTTCCAGAAACTTCCTCAGCTTCCTTAGTTAACAATTTAGCTTTCTCCACTTCATTATTCAAGAGTTCAATTTGTTGCTCTTGTTGCTGATTATGTGAAGTTAATTTTAATATTATTTCTTCTTTCTGTTGAGTAACTTCATCTTTCCCAGAGATGATTCTTTCAAGATTGACAATTTCTGATTTGAAACTCTGAAATTATTGAAAAAATTTATTAAAATATGCAATTTTGTGTCATAATTAGGACTGGGCGATATTAGAAATTATATATCGTGATGCATCGTCAGTTTTGCATCGCGATATAGCGATGTATCGCGATATAGTATTTTTGAATNAATACCATAACTGGAGAGTGCCAATGGTACATTAAGTTACATTTTTTAGAAGTAACTATTTTTTTTATGACTCTCTTTTTATTGTTCCTTAACTTATTTTATCTCAGTTGAAATTAAACTGTGTTTAAAGGAAATAATTTAGTATGATTAAACTGAAATATAAATGTTGAATCTCGTGCAAACAAAGAAAATGTTTTAAAATAATTATGATTATTCATGAATGCACAAAACAATATTTAATATATACTTATTTTATTATTATTAATTATGCTATTTGAATTTTGAAGATACATAATTTTTATTTCAGAAAATTTTTACTTTAGATACATTTTTCCCTTTTCAGCCTTTTAATGTTTTAAAACCACTATACAATTAATTTTTAGATTATTCCAAAATGCTACTTGGTTCAGCATTAACTAATAATTCATAAATGTTTTAAGTTTAAATTTAACACCTGCAAAATCACAGCTCAGCAGAAACAGCACATATTAATGCTAGTCCAACAACAATGAAATAGCATTGACATATGCAGTACGTATTTCTTACATTAAATGCAGTAACTCTACTGTGATGTCACAATGATGCTTTTTTACCAAATTTTCTTTTTTCTCCAGTTTTGTTATTATTTTTAAAAGGAAATGTTTAGCTAAATCTGTGGATTTTGGATTTGGAAGAGTAAGTGATTTAGTGTTATTCTTTAAATTTTTTTTTCAATTTAACTACGAAAAAATAGGAAAAAAAACATTATACACTAGTTTTTGTTTAACCATATAACACTAGTTTTTGTTTAAATGCTGCTTCACAGGGAAAACAAATTTCAAATGAAATACTATATAACTTACAGCAAAATTATACCAAATCATTGGCAGATCAACAAATAAAAAAATATAGCATTAATTGCAAAATATAGCATTAGTAAGTATACCATGTACAAAAGTGGATGATGCATGGCGAGATGCACACTCACTCAATGTCTGGAACATACTGCACATGTCCCATGTGCAGACCCTTGATCACCTGACACACATTTACACAGTAATCCAGTTCTAGCCATTCGCTCAATGCCATGGAGGATCAGTGATGCGTATCACCCAGGTAATTGAATTTTGCTCCACACAAATTGGCATAAACTTTTTCCTTTAACAAGTTTATCCTCCCACAGCCTGATGGCAAGGGAATTCTAACTCAGGATCCTTCTACCACTCAGGATATATTTTACATGTGCACTGTGGGTGTTGTGATCCAGGAGCAGAATTTGTACCAACAGTGCACCACTGGGATTCAAACCTAAGTCAAGCTCCGTCCCCTGAACTAGAGCGGCTCCATATTGAAAATTTGTCTTATAAAGTGAATATTGGGTGAGTGTGTGTATCTCGCCATGCATAATTCATCTTTGAACGTTTTATACATGCAAATAAACTGCCGTTTAAAAATCATTTAGTCTAATCCTGAAAAGTGTTCAAAAGAAAGTTTTAACAAATTAAATTATACAGATACGTATAAAAAGAACTTTTAATTAATACAAACAAGAAAGAAAAAGTAGAAAATCTCACTATAGAAACTTCAGTTTAATTTAATAAACTTATAACTTAAATAAAATTAATTAGTGAATTATTCTATCACAAAAAACTTAGAGAGATCTTTATTATGAGCAATTGATTTCAATCTTTATCAATCCACGGATTTAGGGTTTGATTTTATTACAATTCACGCACTTTGAAAAGTATGATAGAAACTTTTTAGCTGATTAGTTATTTTAACGTTTTCGAAAAGATAATCAAAAAATCAGAAAATTTAAAGAAAAATTAAAATTAAAAGCCTGAAATGTGAACAGAGGAAAGTAAAATTAATATTGACTATCTATTGTCGTAATTTTAAGGAATATCATTTATCTCAACTGATTCTTCTTTAATTAAAAAGAATTATTAGTATAATGTATAAAATACAGCATGAAAATAAATGTAAGAATAAGAAAAACAAAGAAAATTAAAATATTTTAATCAAATGATAATTTATTTTAGCCACTATAAAAGAAAAACTGCAATTTTGACTCAACATTCCTTGGAAGAAAAAAAGTTTAAACATTTTATAGAATCAAAATTAAACAAAAAGTCAAACAAATAATAAAAGAATATGATAAAATATGTTAAAGTAAAGGCATTTATTAATTAGGGAATGAAAGTGAAATTTTTTAATACTTCTCTGTGCTGTTAACATAATAAAAAGAAAAAATTTGTAATTAAAATTAATGCTTGCCTCTTCCCTTTCTTTCAGTTTGTTTTCTGTCTCCCCCTTAAATTCATTGATAAATATCTCTTTCTCTTCCAGCTGTTTGACATTTTTATCGTTGTTTTCTTTTAGTTGATTCAGCTGAGATTGTGAATCCTCAATCATTTTACTTAGTTCGTCAAACTGGGAGTCTTTTTCAGAGATTATATTGTTCAGAGAATTTATGTCATTTTCTTTAGCCTTCAACTGTGTTTTAGAGTCCTCCAGCATCTTTTCATATTCAGACAATTTTGACAGGCTTTTCTCCACAGCCTATAAGAATATAAATAAAATAATTGCTAAGAATTCGAAGAAAAAAATAGCTATTTGTATATATTTAATTTTAAAAACGTGAGTCCTTTATTGATTTTTATTATTTAAGTAAATCCTTTTCATTAACCTAATTTTTTTTTAAATCTTATTATTTAAATAAATGATTTTTTCCTTAAAGAACTTCATGGAATGATATAAAACATTGCAAGAACATTTCCTATTGAGCATAGTTTCAATTTAATGGTGACATATAGGAAGTAAGTATTCAGTTTTTAATCTAGGTTCAACTATCCAGACCATAATGTTGCAATACATGGCAATATTTTATCAGAAATACAAAAAAAAATATATATATATATATATCAGTAAAACTTAATTTTCAACAAATAAAACCAACTTTTTAATAAAAAAAAATGAAATATTATATTTTTAAGTGAATATTGTAGTGATTATTATAAAAAATAACATATAAAAAACATAGTATAATTGTAAAAAACATCCTTATGTTTTTGAAAATAAGTATTTTAGAAATAAAAAGAAATTCAATTAGCTTCTAGATAAAATGAAAACTAAAAAATTTCAAAATATGTTTCTAAAATCATTAAATACCTCTTCTCGCTGTTTTAATTCATCACTAAGTCCTTCTTTGGTGGTCAGCAGTTGTTTTTGAAGCGTTTCTTGCACATCCTCCTTTTCTTTGGTGATAGCATCAACTTTTTTCTCAAGTGTCTGAATTTGTGATGACAGCTTTTCAATAGTCTGATCCTTTTCTCGCATAAATCCTTGCACAAATAATATTTCCTCATGTTTCTGAGCCAAACACTCATTAAGCTCACTAAGTTCTAGGTTAATTTTATCTTTTTTCTGCAAAAGCTCATTAAAATCCTAAGTGGAAAAACAAAAATAAATTAGTTCAAATTCAAAAAATATTTTTTCTTAAATATACTTGCTTAATATACACTGAAATTATTATAAATATTTATGGTACTAATGAGATTTAAGACTTGGATTTATGTTAATGGATTCTATCCCGTAACACAGAGATAAAACTTTATTTAAAACATAAATAGATTTAATTTAATATCTAATTTCTTAAATAATAGTCACAATTAAGTGTTTAATACATTTTTCCTACATTACTCCGTATTTTTAATAACTCATATTACATTGCAAAGAGATTACTAAAAATGAAACTTCGATTGTTAAAATTGAAGTTTTATTAGGGTAGCTATAGAAGATTTTTTTTAAAAATATCTTTAAAAAATTCAATATTAAAACTAGTATATTTTAAGTAATGAAACTCAATTTGGTATTTAAAAAATTAATTTCAAATACAATATTTTTCTAATTTTACTAAATTTCAATTTAATATTTTTACAAAATAAGAACTGTCAAGATGCCTCTATCAAGTAAAACACAAAAAAAATTGCAAACAAAATTTCTCATCACAACAAATTAAGAATATGAAAAATTTTATGCAATTTATGCTATACTGTCAAGAAGAATTGTAAGCCAAGATAATTTGTTTGGCAGAAATAGCATGATGCACTACCCTTGCTAAGCATTCGCCACTTTATCAAATGCGACAAAATCATAAATTTGGCGAATAAAATTTTGTTCTGGCAAAAGTATTCACAAATGATTTTATCCACTGGAAAGAAATTAAAATTACGTCAAAATGAATTTTTCTAAACAAATCAGTATTTTTTTATTAGATTACAATAACTTTCGGTAGATGTGCCCCGTAACCAATTGGAATTGGGTCCAAATAATATAAGCCTGAAACAAACTCTAAGTAAAGACAACCGTAAAATAGTTTCTTATGGAAAAAAAAATTTATCACAAAAAGTTGATAAGATTTGCATTTTGCAAAGACTTTTGATATTTGACTAATTTACTAGCTAATAATTTGAAATTCTTAGCATGAGCCCTGATTTTGTACTTATAAATTTTAGTATATTTTTACCATGAGAAAGCATTGATACAATTTATTTATTGAGTGAGTAAAAATATTGATATTAATTAATTAGTGATAAAAAACATTGAAAAAAATATTGCCGGGGTAAAAAAAAATTATAAACAAAGATAATTTGCTTGGCAGAAATTGCATTAATCTACAGATTTTAGTATTCTTTTACCACGAGAAAAAAGTGATACAATGAATTTATTGAGTAATTAAAAATATTGAGAAAATCGGTGAATAAAGAGTAAAAGTACAAACATTACCAATTCTTTTTTCTTTAATAGAGAGTCAAATTCCTCTTTTGTCTTTGTAAGTTCTTTTTCATAGGAAAGTTTTGTTTCTTTATTTCGTTCTTCCAAAGCACTCATATCTTTCTTAAGTTTCTCAATTTGGTCAGAGAATTCAGTCAAGTTGGCTTCTTTAGATTTCATTTCATTTTCAAGTTTCAAAATGAGGCTTTCTTTTTCTGATTTCAGCTTTTCCTCATTCAGAAGATTGCTGTTTAGTTTCTCTTTTTCCTCCTGGACTTCTTCCAATTTCTACAACATAAAATAAAAATAAATATAAGTTCCTTCCAATCAATCTCCAATCTAACTCTAAGAAGTTGACAGCTATGCTAAGCTGGCACTATCGTTCCTATTACTAAATAACAAAATTAAAAATCAGTTTGCGATGTAGGGAAGTAACCTAGTGCACCATTTAGGGCATGGCTGCCAACTTTTGACGCTTTTTGGGAAAAATTTGTTTAAGCAGTAGCTAAGTATATGATTTAATGTATTTCTTTATTTTGCAAACTTGATTTCCCACCACTACATGTAAATGATTCGAAAACTCAGATAAAACGCCACTTTGTTCCAGCTCTTGTGGTGAGACTTTCAAAATGATGGCAAAATTATCAAAAATTCTAATAGCTTTAGTTCTTAATTGTCTACCACTCTATAAAATAATTTGCAAAAAGCATAATAATTGGCAGCTCTGGTCTAGGGTTAACAGCTGAAAGAATAAAGATAATTGAAAAAATTTTTTTTAATGAATTGAAAATTATTATAAGACACCTACTTGGAAAAAATAAATAAAGACCATTTGCCAATTGAAAAAAATAAATAATAAATACCTGGTTAAGGTCTGTTTTAATTTTATCACTATCTTCCTTCAACTTGGAAAGTTCATTCTGTAAAGTCATTACATGTTCGCTGCTGTCCTTATTCAGCATTTCCACATTCTGTTGAGCTAGTTCTAATTTTGACATCAGTTGCGACACTTCTTCATCTTTAGATTTGTTTGACTTGCTTAGCATTTCAATTTCTTTCTTATTCGTTTCAATTTCTTTCGTATTCGTTTCAAGTTCTGCAGTCTTGACTTCAACCGCACTTTTGAAATCAGACAGTTGCTTCTCAAGAGATGATATCAACTAGAAAAGAAAAAAAAATTCAATAAGCAATTTCAATAAATTATTTCAATAAACATTGTGACACAGTGAGCAAAGAATAGTTGTGAAAATTCTTTAAAACTTTGGACATTGCATCAAGCTAAAAATTTAAACAAATTTTCTAAATTTTTTTTCTAAATGTGAGTGAATATTGTTATAAATGTATAACTTAACAATAAAAAAGAAATAATTTATATTTTAAAATTTAATAGTGAAAATACATTTATCAAATTACTTCATTTTAAATGCAAGTGGAATTTTTTTCGTGCCAATGCAATAGTCCAAAAATTCAAGATTTTTTATAACAATATCTTCTTAAATTTTTAACCGCGTTATTTTAACGTTTAAATTAATTTTTTGAAGCATTAACAGGGAGAACACATTTTCAAATTCCTTGTTCTGTGCCGATGATATTTAATATTGAATTTTATTAAATAATAAAAAAAATACAGTTGTATATTTTCGCTTATCATACAAATAAGCTTATCATTCAAAATATATAAGCAATCAGAGTAAAATAAAATAGCATTAATGAAAAGATTAATATTATAAAATAATCACTATGTATTTGAAAATAAGGCTGGTTTCATTCAAGACCGTAAAAAGGGCAGGACGCTAAAAACCGTAGAGGGAATCATATCTCTTAAAAAGAACAACCATCAGAAAAAAGAGCATTGAATTTCACAAAAATCTGCATCGATTTTAAAAAACCCAAAATGTACTAAACTATTAATTTTATCATTTAAATAAAGTTGTCTTCAAAGAGATAGTTTAATTTAAAAATAATTCTGCAGTTAAATTAGTGAATTCCACAAAACGAGTATTTTGAAAATAATGCTTGTTGTAATAATGTTCTAAAAATATTGTAAGTTTAAAAGCGATGTAAGAAAGGCTGAAAAAAAGATAACTGTGATAACTGCCGAAAAAGTGTATGGAATTTAATGTGGATTTCAAATGGCATTATCGTAAATTGAGCGCGTAATAAATTGATTACTAAAATACGAAATTCGCTAACTTCTTATTAAAAATATCATAATTGAAAAATATCACATGGAAAGAGCTGAAAAAGAGACAAATACCTGTCATGAAAACGCTTCATAAATAATGCAGAATTACTTCAGAATCGTTACGAACTGAGCTGGTCAATAAGTGACTCTTTAAGTTTGAAATGTACGTTTGTCGTAATAACATCGTATAAAAACATCAGATTACGAAAAAACAAATGGAAAAGCCCAGAAAACGAATCAGAAAAGAGGGGGAGTTACGGAGTAATCGTCATGAATCTAACACGTCAAAAAGTGACAATTCTAATTCAATCACACATCGCAATAGCGTATTAAAGAATACTAAGTTTGAAAAACCATGTGGAAAAGACCTAAAAAATTATAATCAACAGTGAAAAAGTGATGCATTCAATAACGTAAAATAGATGAAATCGTCAGAAATCAAACGTGTCTAAAAATGATGACTCTAATTCGAAATTCTCACGTCGTAATATCATACTAAAAGTATCAGAATTTGAAAAATCATGTGAAAGGCTGTGAAAAAGTGGCATAAATATAACTAAATAACTTGTAACTTAAGAAATAACTTGTGAAATAACAATGACCAAACAACGTGAAATTAAGATGAAATTGTCACGAATCAAGTGCGTCAAAAAATAATAACTCAAATTCGAAATTCACACATCGTAATAACATAGTATTTAAAATATTATAATTTGAAAAACTATGCAAAAAGAAAAGAATGGTAAGCAACTGCCGAAAATCTATCATAGGAGGACATGAAATTAAGATGGAATTGTCCCGAATCGAATGCATCAATAAATTATTAATCAAATTTGAAATTTGTATGCAACATTGGTAAAAAAAAATCGGATTTTGAAAACCATGAGAAAAGGGGCTGAAAATTATAAATGATTTCCAAAAAAACTATCATCAGAAGAAGAAGAATCACGATGGAATCGCCACAAATTGAACATTTCAAAAAAGTTGTAGCTCAAATTCGAAATTGGCTTGTTGTAAGAACGTATTAAATACATCAGAATTTAAAAAAACCATAGGGAAATGACTGAAAAAAAATGAAGATCTCAGGTTGAAAAAACAAATGGAAAGATTAGGATCACTGAGAAAAAATATGGGAGAAAACTCTTGTTTGTGGCATTCTTAGTGAAGCGCCACTCACGGATTAAAGCATTCATTGATCAATTGTTTGAAAACTTTTACTTGTTTTATTAAGATTTTTGAGAAATTCCCTGAAATTTCCAGAATTAATAAATGCCCTTATAATTTCCAGTTTTCCCTATCACTGAACACCATGATGGATAACACAAAAAAATAAGTGAAATGTGCTACCTTCTGAGTAAAGTTCAAAATGCCAAGGCAATATATATATAAATATATAGTCTAATCTCAATATAACAAATTTGCATGATAACTTGCATATATCAAATTTGCTTGACTACTTCTTTAGATGACTGATGCAATTTCTTTTCAAACATGGCAATCTCTTTTTTATTAGGATTCCGAGAAATAATTAATAAAATTGCTCAGGAAAAGATTTTAAGAATTGGAATTTAAACATTTTAAGTTCATCGGAAAAAAACTTCTTTGATTAAAAATATTTGCAAAATTAAGGGCCACTGAGAAATGTATTCTGTTATAAGAAATCTTTTTTCTATGAGCAGCATCATAGCTAATGCATAAGGAATTCAGATTTTTCATTATATTGAAAAATTTGCATTATTGAAGTTCGTGATATCGAGATTTGATAGTAGATAAGTTTAAATACCATGATTCGACTCTGTGCTATTGCAGGGTCATTGAAATACACACACATAAAACTTTAAAATCGTAATAATAAGAATGCTGAATGAAATTTTTCTTACTTCTTCTTTATCTTTCAAAGAATTTATAGCTGAATCTTTATCTTTAGTCAACTCTTCTCTCGTGTTTTTAATATCAATTAACTCCAAATTAAGTTTTGAGAATTCGTGTTCCTTTTCCTCTATGCTTTGTTTGTGAGAAATTAATTGAGATTCAGCAGTAGATAAAGCAGTTTTACTTTCAATTAACTCCCTTGACGCAGCATCAAACTCCGATTGAAGTTTTTGAAGCTCCTATGGAAAAACCAATTCATATTCAAATTAAGAATATCAGAAGTTAAATATATACAATTAAGAAAAATAGAGTAACATAAAATTTAAAACACTCATACACCATTCTGAAATACAAGATAAAACAAGTGATGGTAGATAGAAGTACTATTTATTAAACTTATAGGGTCAGATGGAGTAAAGTGGGTAAATGGGATAAAGTGGGTAAATGAGGTAAAGTGGGCATATGTTAAAAATCCTCTATTTTTATTTTTTAAATTGAAACAATTAGTTTAGTGGTTTTATAGACATTTATTAGGAGTGCAGCAAGCATTTTTATTTCAGTTTTAGAAACTGATAAAAGTTTGTTTACAATTTTTCAGCTTATGTTCAACTTATACAGTAAGTTAGTTTATGCTGCTGATGAACTCTCTTTTAATATCATTATAAACCGAAAAAAAAACTATTAATTTTAAATCAAACTAATAGAGGGAAATCTAAAGAAATCTACAAAGAAATTTAAGAATAATTTTCAAAATTTTTATTAATTACGAATCAGGGGTCAGTTTAGAAGAAATTTGGGTCCGTTAATGGACCCTTCACAAAATATCTTTTCATAAGAACGGACCCTTCAAAAAATATTTGAACTTAAAAACGAACCCTTCACAAAATAATTTATCTTTTAATCGGACCCTTCACAAATTTGTTTATCTTAATTATTGGTTTGTTAATTGAATAAACCCTTCCCGGGTGGGGGGGGGGAGAGAGAAGGACAGATGCTAGTTTTGTCTTCGGCAGACGCTTCTTCCTTTATTCGTCGAAAATTAATATCCTGTGTTGTGCAGTATAGACTAAATATCAAATATTTGTATGTTGCATTACTAATTTAGTAGCAGCAATAGCTGTTTATTTTTGAAATTATAATTTATAATTTTTTATAAATTATAATTTTACAGTGTTGAGCATAATCTTGCATCTCCTTGCCATTTAAAAATTTGTTGAAAAAGTTTTTTTGCAATAACAGGACTCCATTTGCACAAATTCACAAAAACAGAACCCTGGTTGAAAGAATGCGACTTTCGTCGCATTCTTATATATTACGTTTATTTTATATTCAAAAATTACAAATAATTTTTTACAATTTTACAAAAGCGGACCTTTCACAAAATGTCTGGACAGACCCCTGCGAATTGTTTTTTGAGGTGGGGGAAAATGGGTAATAATTAGGCTCAGCTAATTGTCGTGTAATGGGGATATTTTTTTTAAATTTTGTGTAAGCTTCATAAGTATCTAATGCCCTATATTTAATAATGAAATAGCTAAAAAATAATCTACTTATTTGATTTTATTGAATCATTGAATATTGATTGATTTTATTGAATTAAGGAGACAGTTCATTTGAGTCATATTTCAGTTATCTGACATCTCTTCCAACATGTGCTCCATTATTAAGTTAAAAGTTTAAAGTTCTTAAATTTAAACTTATTAATGGTAAATTAATAATATCTACATTCTAAAAAAATAGAAAAAATATTACCATAGATTTTATGTTGATTTTCTCAACTACTTCTCCTTTTTCAGCTTTGAGCGATTCGAAAGACTCTTCAAGGGAAGATAGCTTTTTCTGCAAATCAGAACATTCTATTTCTTTTGTCTTTATAGTATCTCTCATTGTCATCATTTCAGTCTCTTTCTCAGATAAAAGGTTTGTCTTCATTTCCAGTTCTCGACATGCAGTTTCAGTTTCCAATTTTTGTTTTTGAAGCTCCTGAATGCAATTTAACCAATTAGTTTTGATTATAAATTAACTGAAAAACTCATTCTCAAATAAAATTACAGTAATGAAAAAATTTAGCATGTGGAAGGAAACATATATATATATACATATATATATATTGTAGCACCTAAAATAATAACTAAATAGAATTAAGTGATCTAAAATGAAACCTAAAAAGAATTATATTTAAATTGTAGATTAGCCCTTCCTAACATATTAGAATATATTAATAATTTCTTTCTCACAATTAATGTGCCATTTCCTGCATAAATCATTGTTAATTTGTCAGAAATATAATAACCATTAATAAAATTAATTTATACTGTCCAATAAAATGTCTTTCAGAAGCCGAAATCCCATTCGATTAAATAAATATTTTCTGATTTTAATAATATCTTCAAGTTTCATGATTAAATCTTACAGTATCAAACCCAACAAAGAAAGCTGCCTTTTATGGATCGCATGACTTGAAAAAGAGAAAATAAGAGAGCATAATAGCAAGAGAAAATAATAGCAAAAAAAAAGTGAAAAAGTGCGTACTCGTATTTTGGAAATGAACATGTAAAGGCCTGGTTACTTTGGACAGGACGCCTTCAGTTGGAAATCAGCGCTAACCTCTGATTGGTCCATTTGTGAGTTTGATAGTATACGTCATCGAACACTCATCTTGAATTACAATTGCCGTCCAACTCAACTGCAGTTGGATTAAAACATGACGTTAACCACAGAAGCAACGGCGGACAGCATCCAACAGCACATTGAAATCAGCCAAGATTTTAATTTTGACATTAAGCATAGCTTCTTCATTAAACGTAGCACTCTTCATTTAGCTCAGCTATAATGTGTTTTTTCTTGGACAAAGTCATTATTTGTTCTCTAAAAAACTGGTCGACAATAACAAAATCAATACAATGCGCAATGAGAGATAATGTCTGCGTTGGACCGACTGCTCACGCTGAGCTAACAAAAAAGTTTTTTTTTGGCGTCAGCTCTATGTCAACTTTCCACTGATGCCCAGATAAGGCGCTAGTCCTAAGAAACCATGCCTTGAGCTAACAAACCAGTATTTTGTTGGCGTCAGCGGTACGTCAACGTCCGGATAACGCCCAGATAAGGCGCTTGGCTTAAGAAACCAGACCTTAAAAGTATTTGAAGAGTTACAGCTACTTGTAAAAATATTTTGTACATACTTTCATTCTCTTTTTCCTAATAAATGTTCAATAAAAATCATAGTGGAATCATCATTCTACAGAAACTATATTAAAATTGACTTTGATAGATAAAAATTGAATATCAACTAATTATGTAAATTTTGATAAATTAAAGATAAACTCAGAATGACGGCATTACATACATAAGTATAAAGTATTTTATATGCAAGTACATATATATTTAAGATTTTTATATAATACAAAGCATAGCCAAAATTATATACAATATATTCTTTCCAACAAATTTAATAGTTTTCAATCTATGTTAAAATATTTATAAAAAATTAAATCACAACTATTTTGATTTGTAACTATCTATGAGGGTGGGTGGTAGAGGTACAGGTGGTTAAAAGGACTAAGCTATCATTGTAAAGGACCAGGTTTTATAACCAGTTACGGCTTGAAATCTACCCAACTTATGGTCAATGTTTACTAACTTAAGCTGTGATGGATCAGGAAATAAAGTGTTTGCTCCCAAGAAGGTGACTTAGGTTCAAATCTAATGATAGCTGGTGGATACAAAATCTGCTCCTAGTTGGCACTGATCACAGTACTGACAGAAAATATACTCAGTGGTAACAGGATCATGGATTTGAAACCCTTTTCAATTAGGATAACAAACTTAGAATTGGGTCCAATGTTCAATGCCACTTTTTAAATAAAGTATAAAATGTCTACAGGTTTGTCTGGAAAGTTGCACTTCTGACCTATTGCATCAAACCGTTGGTCTCAAAATTATGTAGCATAAACCTTCATTATCTTTTTGGCCAACAACTGGCTGAGTACTTAACTATTATTTTATGAATAAAATTTAAAATAGCAACAAAAAAAAAGAAAAAAAAAAGCAGGTTGGGTTTATATCACATTTGCTCATTTTTTAAAAAGCTATAATTCTCACAAAAACTGTTTAAAAATGAGATTAACTTTCTTAAATTTTCAAACTTACTGTTAGCAAACAGTTAATATTTTGCTGAAGCTTTAAAATTTATAATATAGAACTAATAAAATATATAAAAGAATAGATGAATAGGAAGATGATATGAAAATAGTTCAAAGATAGTCGAGACTATGTCAAGCAAGATCTTTCTGGATTATAATTTGAAAACAATAACATGCTTCCCAAAAGTTCAATAAGAATATAAAAGGGAAAAAAGTGTCTACAGATCTGCAACTCTCTTCTCGTTGCCCAGTGAGCACCTATGGCCAAGCCACGGCGGTGGAGCAGCATCGGCCACGTCACACAACCACAAACCCGTTTATAGAGCGGGTCACATTTACACAGAAGAAAAAACATAGAACACAGAGAGAGAAAGAAACATTCATGCCCTGGGCGGGATTCGAACCCGCAACCATCGGCTCCGCAATCAGGCATGCTAACCATGACAAAACATTAATGAGAATAATTTAACACTGTACTAAGTTTTGAAAAAAAATAACATTGTATACAAAGTTAAAATAAACTCTTTTTCAGTTTTGTTATATATTTTATTTTATTGTTTGTACCATGTCCTTGTCTCTTATTGCATAAATTGTATAATTTTTATATCTGGTCTTGGGTCTGGTCAGATTTTGTCTTTTTTTTTCCCCCCAACTTTCTACCTAACCATAAACAAACATGGGACTCAGTACTTATTTACATAATAACTTCTAGTTACCAGGTCAAATTTGCTTTTTATTTCAGACTTTTCTTCTTTTAATATTTCTAGCTCTTTTTGTAGGGCAGCCAGATTTTCTGATGACTTTTTGTCTGAAATTGTTGCATTTTCAAGAGCAACATTGTGCTCAGTTCTCGCTTCTGACAGACTGTCTGACAACTCTTTAACTTTCCCCTGAAGTGAAGTGATTTCTGACAGCTTTTGGGCAATTGTGTCTTCTTTTTCTTGAAGTGAACAGGTAAGGCCTTCAATTTGTTTTACCAAATCCAGAATTTTCTAAAAGATTTAATTTGAAATAAGTGAAAATTATTCAATAGAAATATATAAAAAAGAGGTTTCTCAGAAATAAAATTAAATATACATAGTAACTCTAAAAAAAATACCAAGCTTTAATTCAGACTATACCTTTTCCTTTTCTGGAATTTCAGTTTCAACTTTGAGTTTAAAAGCAGCCACTTCACTTTCGAGTGATTGTTGGAGAGTAATTTTCTCTGTAAGTTCAGAAGATTTCAGCTCAAATGATTCATTCAAACTCTGATTAAGACCCTCAGACTCTGCTATCTTTTGAGTTTGTGATTTGATTTCATTTTCAAGAACTCCTATTTTGTTATCTCTTTCTTGTACTGACAGCTCAAGCTCTTGAAGTTTGGCAGACTTCAATTTTAGTTCTTCGGAGAGGTTTGAAACTTTCTATGGGTGTCATGCAATCAAAACAAAATACATATGAAAAATGCTAAAATAAATCAAACTAAAAAAAAGGGAAAACAATGAACAAAATAAAATATTGCTATGTTGGAACAAATAAAAGAAAAAGCAAATCAACAGCAAAACAAAACTAACACAAACAAAATCTGGCTTGAATTTTAAACAATAATTAATGGTAGAAAAAAAAATGTGTTTACAGGGGATGCATTAGCCAGTTAATGCTGATAGTTTGCACGGCGAACCAAATTTGCATTGTATAATTGTTGTGTAAAATAAAAAATTACAATTGACTGCCAAAACTCAAAATTTCAATAATATACACTGAAAATATTATATGGTAGTGTTTCCTTTATATTTATAATTATATTATTTCCTTTATATTTATATTATAAACAATAGAACTTAGTATTATATATGGGCAGGGGTTAACAGTTACAAATTACATATCGGAAATTACAATATGCATAATTTTATTGATTTCATTTTGAGAAAATTTTCATTTAAGCTATGTAAGTTCTAAAAATTTTCAATATTAATGTAGGTATAAATATATATTAACATAATTCTTTTTTCTATTAATGTTTTTATTAAGTTATCGTGTTAATTTGTTTAAAATACTTTTACAAAATTAGATTTCTAAATGTACGTCTTTGTCCTAAACATTAAATTTTCTCGGTCCAAGTGGTGTCCACTTTACTGAAAACTTACCAGGGCTGTGGAGTCTGGATCAAAGAAAATTTTGTAGGATTCGTAAAAAATTTCTTAGACTCAGACTCTGTCTAGCTAAAAGTCATTAGGTTGTTAGATTAAAAGAAAAAATTAGGATTTTGATTGTATGGTAATTATTTAGATGAATAATTATAAGTATGAGAACCAAAATATTATCTAATGAAAATTATAATAATTCCTTAAATCATAGCTAATCATAAATTTAAATTATCACATCTGAAGGTTAGAGGAAGAATCAAGCTTTAAGAAAAGTATGGAGCTGCATAGGAACATTTCAACTACAAAATTCTCTTTACATCACTTTAACAAATAAATCAAGCATTTTGAGTTCTAACTTATTATTTGCATTTCTTTTTATTCATTTTCATTTATGTTCCTTTTGCACTTATGTTTTAGCTATACTATATTATGATGTTTATTTTTGTTTGAGCAACAAAAGTTTTTTGTAACAAGCTTCAACTGATAATTAGACATTTTGTTGATTCAAGCAAAGCTAAAAAAAAAAAACATTACTGAAGTGTTAGTTGAATAAATAAAAGTTCTAAAAAAATGCAAAGCATATAAACAGAGAAAAGCTTAAGAGGGGACGTGCTTGTAGATTTCCTAAAAAGGCAATGCAAATTCTGGCTAGAAAGCTTCCATCATTTTCATGAAAGTGCACCAGTTAAATTAATTCTAGATACGTATGAACAGTGCTATAGATTTAAAAATATATAAAAGTAAAATATATTTAATAATTAAATTAACAAACATTTATCTGGTGTACTTGTAATAAAAATTTAACACAAAAAATATTAATTAGATCATAAGATTCGAGGTGTGCAACCTAAACACTTCCAAATACAAATACATGAAAGTAAAATACATTTATAAAAACCAACAAAAAATATTGTTTAAATAAGCCTTACCTCCCCAAATTCTTTAATCACTTCTTCTGTATGTCCTTTTTCAGTATTTGCTTGTGAAGCCATTTGTTCAGCTAAAGCTTGATTATCGGCCACTAAATTGGTGAGCTTTTCCAACTGAAGATTCAATTCACTTCTCAGGTTAGTTATGACATCATCTTTTTCTTGAACACTGTTGTTAAGAGCATACAGTTGTTCTTCTGTTTTCTTTTCTACTTCCTTGAACTTCAAATTCATGGTTTCTAAATCATTCATAGATTTCTAAGAAAACAAAATTTTGTCAAACCTTTTATACAAAACAAAATGAATATAAATTATAATTCTCTTATTTATCTTATAAGCAAACTCAATCTTATAAACCAATCAATAAAATTTTTATACTATTAAATTATTTCCTAAAATGTTTTAAACTGTTGCTAGAGCAGCGGGGAAAAAAGATACAATTCAATAAAATAACATGCTATTAGGTAGAATTTAATTTTATAAACTGATTTTTTTCAACCCTCTTCTGGTATAATTTATCATAGGTGCCCCTCTTCAGTCCTATGGACTGAAATCAGTCTTAAGAAAATATTAGTGAACTGAATTTCATCCTCTAATTAATATTTATTTCCAGTTTGTTTCGTAATTTTTGTTTTAAATTAGTCCTGTAGTGGACTGATCTTAAGGACAATCCCAGTAGAACACCAAAGTTAAGCATTACTGGTTGCGGCCAGTAAGCGGGTGGGTGACCACATTGATCAACCTGCATAGGGATCGAGGGTGTACCATATCTGTCCTCGTTAAGCTGCTCTACCGTAAAGTGCTCGACTTCTCTCACAATCCTCAGGCTACTGAAGTAGGGAAGCCATCCCCTCTACAGAGGATCAAAATTGCAATGGCATGTCTTTGCATCATCCTCAGGGATGTTTCCCAAACAGTCAACAATAGCCCATTGTGCAGTTCTAAGGCGACGTAAATGAAGTACCTACCTGATTTTTAAATTAGGTTCTCAAGAAGAAAAAAAAAAAATTTCCTAATTCTTTAAAGAAGAACGTGACAAATATCTTCTGTAGAAGTAAAAGAATATTTTTTAATAAAAACAGTTATTTTACATCATTATAGCAAAATCATCGAATGATGATGTACCACCACAATGAGAGAATTTGACTGACTGAACTTCAAAATCTGCTTGTGTAAACAAAATTTGCATTATTGTATCTGAATATTCTTTAGTTTGTATTTTCCTCTCCCACATTTCGAGATGTTAGGCACAGTTAAATTAAGATAATTATTTTAAAAATTGAAATTTATAGATCAAGGATAAAATATTATTGATGAAATTAATAAAAAAATAGAGCTATGAATGCCTATAAGAAAAAATTAGTGGTGCATTTCACCATTTGTTAAAAAAAAAAATAGGTTAAGTGTTAATTATTTATTTTTTGTTTCCTGTAAAAAGTAAACTAACCAAATGAAAAAAAAATAAATGTTTTTTTAAGAAAATAATCATCATTGATACAATATGTGGGCCATATTTATGAAAACTGAGTAATAAATTTTGGAAAAATTTTGCTATATAATGCTAGACCATGTTTATTAGTCTAAAAATAAGTTGAGTCTTGAAATTTTTTTAGAGTGGCACCCATGAATTTATATTATTACGAAGTTTAACTGTATTTTGTTAGAAAATATTAAGGAAACTAAATTAGAATTCAGAAAACTAAATATACAATATTTAAGATCTCTTCAGATAAATACAATACTTTAATTCCGATTTTAAACATATGATTAACAAAAATATATAATCTTTTCAGTAGTAAATCTGTATTTTGCTGAATCTCCCTTTAGGCAGGACACAGTTTATGGTCAAAAATTATATAGTATTATTAATAAGTGTGTTTAGAATATATAGGGAAGGAAAGAATGCTCACATCTTTTTCCTCTCTTAATTTAGACAAGTTTTCTTCAAGCTCTTGTATTTTTTGTCTTAGACTGGAGGTTCCGTCACTTTCTTGAGTCTCCACTGAATCAGTCAATGCTTCTTTTCCGTCCAATATTTCTTTTATGTTGTTAAATTTATTATCCTAAAACAAATTTAAGATGAGATTTTAAGTTTAAATACAAGATAAAAAAAATTTATATCAAACACACATTAATGTAAGATGTTTATGCGGCACAAATAATAACATCCCCGACCATGGTTGAATATCAAGTATCTCAATAGCCATGGTTGGAATACCACATAATTTTGAGCCCGATCAGATGTCAATAGCGCTGAAATCGGAACCACTTTCTCCAAACTTCTACATTCGACCAAGAGAAACAATAATGAACCACTGTATAAGCTAACAGCTATAAACTTGTTACTTTGAAAAAAAAAACATATTATACTATAGTACAATATGTTAACTCTCTTCATCCATTTTCCTGAAACGCCTGATCAACCAGATTACCAAGGCAGCGGCTAAATTTTGGAGGTATATTTTTTTAGCCCACTATAAGCAAAGCAGAAATATATATATATATATATATATATATACACACACACAAATGAGTGTGTGTGTTTTTTTTAAATAGATTCAATATCTGTGTAAGAAATAGTCATCAATCAACGAGACTATTATCCTCGAGGAGAAATTCTAGCAGTGCAAAAACTATAAAAAATATTTTCTGGAACTATGGAAATTCCATAGTATACCTTCCATAGGGAATGTGTTCATGTTATAAATAACTAAAAGAATATGAGTTAACTAGGACATGTTTGACCAGCTATACGTCTTTTCAATTTAAAAACAATATTTTAGGAAATGCGACTTACGTGCGATTTAGTAAGAAAATCTTCTAAGCGCTTAAAAATAGAGCCTTTCTGTTGCAACTGCATCTATAAAATTAGACAAAACAATAAATTATAATCAAATAAGTTAATAATGAAAGTAATATCTCAATCAAAAGATGTAAAACAAAAAACTTTTGAGGTAGAATTTCTAAAAAAACTACAGATTTAAAATTTTTTTCAACTGGATTGAAAAGTTAATACGTTTATAATAATCAAATATTAAAGAAATTTTTATAAATACACTTTCAAAATTTGAAGAATGAACAAATAAATTAAATAATTTATTTGTTGTACAAAATTAAACATTTAAAAATAATGTAATGAAAAAAATTTATAAAACACTTTGATGAGAGAGGTTATTTTGTGTAATAATCATTCATAATAATTTTATCTATTGATAGATAAAATAGCGAATTCCAAAACGAGAAAAGAGTTATATTTGAACAATCAAGGCATTTAATTAGGATCACCTGCATAAAGGAAAAATAACAACATAATATGATGTTCAGAATTATTCTTATTTTTTCCTTAAGCGCGAACTATCTCACTTTTTGTATCCTCTATTATTATTCTTTACTCCTCACTATTTATTTGCGTTTTGAATATTGATTATCGAAAATTTGTAACTGAGAGGAAATCCTATTAGAATTAGCACAATTGTCCAAAATTGATTGCTAGTTTACAAAATATATTTATAATTCAAAATTTATGAAATAATATTAAATCCCATGTATACATAAAACATATTAAATTAAGATATATAAATAAAAATTAAGATATATAAATAAGAACATGTTACCTCCAAATCACTTTTTAAAATCGCACCTTCCTCTACTTGAAATTGCAAATCTTCCAATTTCCTGAAATAAAAGATTTTTTCTTCCTTTCAAGTTTTTAGGTTAGAAGAACTGAATCATAATCCATAAAATAAACAACAGAACATTCTAATCAATACATAATGAAAGAGGATCCTTAGATCAAAAATTGGTTCTGTTCCTTATTTTATGCATTGTACAAATAATTAAAATGAAACATAAATAATTTTATTTAAATAAAATAACAGCTATCGCAATAAATATATAGTGTATTTAAGAAGATGACAAGTAATAACAACAATTTCCCTTTAAAATATTTTTCAAAATTATTTTTAATTCTATAAAAGTGAAAAGATAGTAAAAAATAAAATAAACAAAAAATGATCTATTTCATCATCTTACATTACAAAATTTCAAACAATGCTATATATACAGTAGGGAACCGATTATCCGGAACGATCGGGACCATCGATATTCCGGATAACTGATTTTTCCGGTTTTCTGAATCGCTACAAAAACCCGTTTTTTTATAGTTAAACCCAACTAAAAAAAAAAAAAAAATTGGAAATANAAGTTATTTTTCATAATTATTGCACACAATGAAAGTATTTGACTGACTGAACTTCAAAATCTAATTGTGTAAACAAAATTTGGATTATTAAATCTGAATGTTCTTTAGTTTGTATTTCCCCTCCCACATTTTGAAGTGTTAGGCAGAGTTAAATTAAGATAATCCTTTTAAAGATTGAAATTTATAGATCTAGGATAAAATATTATGGATGAAATATATAAAAAATAGAGCTATGAATGGCTCTAAGAAAAAAAATTGTGGTGCATTTCAGCAATTGGTGTAAAAAGATATAGGTTAGGTGTTATTTTATTATTTACTTATTTTTTGTTTCCTGTAAAAAATAAACCAACCAAATAAAGAAAAATAATTTTTTTTAAGGAAAAATAATTATCATTGATTTAATATGTGGACCATATTTATGAAAAGTGAGTAATAAATTTTGGAAAAATTTTGCTATATAATGTTAGACCATGTTAATTAGTTAAAAAATAAGTTCAGTCTTGAATTTTTTTTAGAGTGGCACCCATGAATTTATATTATTACGAAGTTTAACTGCATTTTGTTAAGAAATATTAAGGAATTCAAACTAAATTATATTTCAGAAAACTAAATATACAATATTAAAGATCTCTTCAGATAAATACCTTACTTCAATGCCACTTTTAAGCATATGATAAACAAAAATATATAATCTTTTCAGTAGTAAATCTGTATTTTGCTGAATCTTCCTTTAGACAGAAAGCAGTTTTGAAAAGCAACTCATTATTTTATGGCCAAAAATTAAATAGTATTATTAATGAGTGTGTTTAGAATATATAGGGAAGGAAAGAATACTCACATCTTTTTCTTCTCTTAATTTAGACAAGTTTTCTTCAAGCTCTTGTATTTTTTGTCTTAGACCAGAGGTTTCGTCACTTTCTTGAGTCTCCACTGAATCAGTCAATGCTTCTTTTCCATCCAATATTTCTTTTATGTTGTTGAATTTATTATCCTAAAACAAATTTAAGATAAGATTTTAAGTTTAAATACTGATAAAAAAAAAAGATTTATATCAAACACACATTAATGTAAGATGTTTATGCAGCACAAGCAATAACATCCCGGACCCTGGGTGAATACGTAGCCCTGTTTTTCAGAACTATCTCAATAGCCATGGTTGGAATATCACATAATTTTGAGCCTGATCAAATGTGAACATGGAACCACTTTCCCCAAACTTCTACATTCCACCAAGAGATACAATAATAAACTGCTGTATATGTTAACAGCTATAAGCTTGTTACTTTGAATAAGAAATATATTATATTATAGTACAATATGTTAACTCTTTTTATCCATTTTCCTGAAATGCCCCGATCAACCAGATTACCAAGACTGAGGCTAAATTTTGGAGGCATATTGTTCTGGCCCCCTACATGTGCAGCAGTATGTATATGTGTCTATGTATGTAATATATGTAATACACATAATATAATACATATATAATATTATGTATAATATATATATTATACATAGATAGATAGATACAAATGAGTGTGTGTGATTTTTTAATAGATTCAGTTTCTGTGTAAGAAATAGTCATCAATCAACGAGACTATTATCCTCGAGGGAACCATCAACTTAATGGTTCGATAGTCAGGAAGGAGAAATTCTTGCAGTGTAACAACTATAAAAAAATATTTTTGGAACTATGGAAATTCCATTGTATACCTTCTTTAGGAGATGTGTTCATGTTATACATAACTAAAAGAATATGAGTTAGCTAGGATATGTTTGACCAGCTATAAGTTTTTTAAATTTAAAAACAATATTTTAGGAAATACGACTTACGTGTGATTTAGTAAGAAAATCTTCTAAGCGCTTAAAAATAGTGCCTTTCTGTTGCAACTGCATCTGTAAAATTAGACAAAATAATAAATTATAATCAAATAAATTAATAATGAAAGTAATATATTAATTGAAATATGTAAAACAAACAACTTTTGAGGAAGAATTCCCAAAAAAACTAGATTTAAATTTTTTTCTTCAACTTTATTGAAAAGCTAATATGTTTATAATAACCAAATATTAAAGAAATTTTAATAAATATACTTTCAAAATTTGAAGAATGAAAATTTAATGAAAAAAATTAATAATAAATTTTGATGTGAGTGGTTGTTTCGTGTAATAATCATTCATAATAATTTTATTAATTGATAGATAAAACAGAGAATTTCAAAACAAGAAAAGAGTTAGGTATATTTGAACAATCAAGGCTTTTAATTAGGACAGATCAAACACCTGCATCGAGGAAAAATAACTATGTAATGAGATATTCAGAATTATACAAATTTTTTCCTTCAGCCCCAACTATCTTATCTTTTGTATCCTCAATCATTATTCTGTATTCCTCACTATTTATTTGTATACTGAATATTGATTATCTAAAATTTGTAACTGAGAGGAAATCCTATTAGAATTAGCACAATTGTTCAAAATTGAATGCTAGAATGCAAAACATATTTATAATTCAAAATTTATGAAATAATATTAAATCCCATGTGTATATAAAACATATTAAAAAAAATTAAGATGTATAAATAAAAACATGTTACCTCCAAATCACTTTTTAAAATCGCACCTTCCTCTACTTGAAATTGCAAATCTTCCAATTTCCTAAAATAAAAGAATTTTTTTCCTTTCAAGTTTTTTGGTTACAAGAACTGAATCATAGTCCGTAAAATAAACAACAGAACATTCTAATCAATACATAATGAAAGAGGATCCTTAGATCAAAAATTGGTTCTGTTCTTTATTTTATGCACTCTACAAATATTTAACATTAAACATAAATACTTATATTTAAATAAAATAATAGCTATCACAATAAATATATAGTGTATTTAAGAAGATGACAATAACAAAAATTTCCTTCTAAAATATTTTTTTCAATTAAAATCCAAATATATTTATTTTCAACAAGATTGGTTTATAATTTATTTAAACATTTGCTGCTTAAACGAAAAAAATTATCATTATTTTAACTAATTTTCTTATGTACTTTTACAGGGATTCCAAATAAACTCATTATAAAAAAAAAATTAAGCAATGTTTACCGTTTTTCAGTTGACAGTTGTTGCTCCAGTCCTCTTTTGAGCTCATCAAACTGCTGTTGCTGACCCGNGTTCCGGTTTTTTGGTTTTCCGGTTTCCGGATAACGGGTTCTGTACTGTATATATATATATACAAAAATTTAGAAGAATAAACAAAATATTGGAAACAAAAGGTATTTTTTTAATTTATTTAAAAAGATACATAAATAGGCTACAAAATTAGGTATATATGGTTGCTTTTTCAACTACAATGAGCTATCATTTGTTTATTTTATAATTATCTCCATTCGTTTACTTATTTGTTTTTTTACAAAACCGCTTCAATAGTTTAAAAATAAGCCAAACTGGCTACAATTTAATTTTAAATCCAAATATATTTAATTTCAAGCAGATTGGTTTATAATTTATTTAACAAAAAAAAAAATATCATGATTTTAACAAATTTTTTTTATGTACTTTTACAGGGATTTCAAATAAATTCATGATAAAAAAAAATTAAACAATAACCGTTTTTCAGTAGACAGTTGTTGCTCCAGTCCTCTTTTGAGCTCATCAAACTGCTGTTGCTGACCCGAAAGCTCTGTGTTTTTCCTTTCAATCTGTTCAAAACCAAAATCAATTAATGGTGTACAAATACAAATCATTCAGTAAGAGAAAAAAAAGTTTTTTTTCCTGAGAAAAAATGTATTATTACAAAAACATATATATAATGTTTTAAAATGAGTTATTTAACAGAATGATTGTAATGCTGTGAATTTCAATTATGTAAATTCTAATTATCCTGATAGCCCAAGATCAGTATCATTTTAAGGAAGAAAAGAGTAAATAGGTAATGTATGGCCTTCACGAATTCGTTTTAACTGATTGACTGAATTCTTTAACTGAAAACAAGTACAAAACAGAGTAATCCATACACAATTCTTGGAGTCGTTAAAAATATGTTATAAACAAAACTTTTTTCCTTTGTGATATAATCATTTTTTGACAAATTACCTGATTAATTGATTATCAGGTTTGGGTCTGGCCTCAACTAAAATAGATAATTTTAATTTTACTGATTTCTTTTAAAATCAGTCTGTGCAATACTACTCAGAAACTCAATGGAATTTGATGCCTAAAAAAATTGCACTAAAGGGCTAAAGACAAGCTACTTTAAAAGGAAATCTATGTCCAATAACTATTTAAAAAAATAATAATTAGAACCAACTTGTAAATAATATTTTTTAATACTAAAATAAAATTCGCACAGTATTTCTTTAAACATAAGTTAAACTTAAATAAAATGAATTCTGTGATGGAAAAAAAATGGCACAAAATCATAAAATAAATTTTTAAAAAATACCTCTTCGCAGCGACTTGTTAACCTAGCAACTTCACCTCTTCCAAGATCATGCTCCTTTAGAAGTTGCTCAATGTGCTGCTCTTTTTCTTTAAGGGCTTCCTATAACAGAAGTGTCAATAAGCAATAAATTCAAAAACACATTTAGACTATGGTTTTTTCATGATCTAAAAAAAAAACTCCTACAAATGCTCTTAAAAAATTTTCTTAAAATACCCTAATAATTAAATGAAAATATTAATCTAGATCAATGCTTTTCTCTTTAAAATAACTTTCTTTTAAGACAATATATAAAGTGATGCAATACACATTCATTACAGTTGAAAATAAATGTCAAATGCTAAAATAACAAACAAAAAAAAGGAAAATATATTGACTCCTTTACATTTTCCTTCTGTATATAAATTTTAATGAACATAAAAACTTCCTATATTAGTAGATATTAGAATTATATTAAATATTTAAATGTCTTTTGATATTTTTAAAAGAAATGAGCTTCCCTTGTCTAAAAGTAAATTTTTATACCCGAGAAGATTTGAAAGTTGTAACAAAAATTACTTTTAAAGATCTTATGAACATAAGACAATATAAAAAGAAAAATTGGTTGAAGGTGGTATTGTAAATTACATAATAAATGCAAAATGTAAATAAAAATCTTGCATTTAAAGTAATTAAAGTGACTAAAAGAAATAAGAGAAACAAAAAAAAATATTATCCCAAAAAATTTCAAAGAATCTGTCAAAAATGCACCGAAATTTTTAAAAAAATATCCTAAAAATCTTTTTTAAAAAAATGCCACGAAAGGGAAAAAATGTCAAAAAAATACAAATGTCATCAAAATTTGGGCCTGTTATCACTAATCAAATTGATGAATTGAAAAAATAATCCTATTGAATGCTTACCTCCAAAGCACGACTTGTAGTCATTATTCCTACTCCGGTTGTTCTAGACTTCTGAAATAGAAAAGAAAAAAATGATAAAGGGGGAAAAGACAATATAGAATGCATGTATTTCATTAAAATTATAAGAATGAAAAGTCAGTAATATTAATTTTGAGAACAACAAAAAAAGGAATAAGCAAAATTTTTAAAATAATTTTACGAAAATTACAGTATAAAATATTGCAGTTTCACTAAAAATCTCAGTAAAACACTAATTTGCACAATTTCAGGAACTAAAATTCTCTATGACTATCTTCACAAACTGAAGAAAAATCTTGGACTCTTTTATCATTGTAATAATCTTATTCCATAAACATAAGTATTAAGATTATACAAAACTAGTTTATTAGCAAAATTAAGTATTAGTTCTTTATTTAACTTTATTATGTCATTAAAGTTTGGTGAACAACAAAAATAAACTTTGAGGCTATTGACCTTAAAGTACTTCATTGTTGCTAACATAACATTGGCATTATAAAAAAAAAAGCAAAGACATATCTATTTTAAAAACAATAATTAGTCTCCGTTTTATGAATAAATTTTCTGTTCATTCACTTAACTATTCAGTTCTAATTAAACTAAACATCATGAAAGAATATAAATAACTTTGCAGAGGGGAGGCAACACTTGCAAGACTTGTACGGATAAACTTTACAATTGCTGAGTTTTCAATGAGAATAAAAAAGGGCAGGGCACTTCCTCTTATAAAAGGGCACTTTGAATTTTGAAAGGACACTCACTCAACACCATAAAAATGTATCAAAATGCATAATATTACATAATAACTGAATTTTACCCTCAACAATTATTAAATTGCCTTCTAATACTATTTTATGCGTAGATTTAAAAGTAATTCTCTCTCATTATCAAAATAAGAGAAAGGTTTGTAGTTTATAAAAATAATTAAAGGCATACTAACAGACATATATACTTCTCAGAAAAAGTAAATAAAAAAAATTAAATGATAAATAACTTAAAAGCTTATTTTTATAATTTAGCCTTAAAATTATGAGAAAATTAACATTTAAAGATGCATTTTAAAAAAAAAATTTTATTAAAAAAAATAATTTTGAATTTTAAAACCACTTAAAAAATTATTGATATCCTCCATAGGGCAGAATTTTTATTTCATTTATTTATTCATCTAGGAGCACCAGCTGTTTTGGGGCTAGTACTGACATTAAATTGTTTAAAATTATGAAGAATAAGTAATTTAAATTATGCTTAGATAAACTTGAATTACCTGAGTATTTGTGAGGGATGTCACCCCCAATTTGACACGACTAGATTTGGAGCAGTTACTCACAGAACTGCTTATAGATTCTCTGCTCGTAGACCTCCGAATGGGTGCACCCCGCACAGAAGGCGTGCGAGAGCTAGAAGTACCACCCACAAGTGAAATCTTATGAATTGGAGAAAACAAACCATACTTCATGGGGCATGTAAAATACCTTTAAACAAAAACATTTAAATTAGAAACACACACAGAAATTTTAATACTAACGAAATCAGCTTAAGTAATTAGTTGAATAATATTCTAGTATAAAAGCAACAAGTGAAATAAAATTTGTTGAATATTTTGAATATTAAATGCAAGCTAATTATTTAAAAGTAAGGAAGATATTTTGCAAGGCTAGAAATCTAAAAGAAACCAAATTCTTCTAGAACACAGGAAGAAACAACCCATACAATAATTTAAATGTATTATAAAAGTCTTTCCAATATAAACAAATGAAATATAGCACCAGAACGTTTGAAATGTTTTAAAAGAAATAACTATTTTCAAACTATTTACTTCAGTTTAATTAAGAATTTTAAAACTGATAGGTATAAGTGTCAGTTTAAGTATTCATACATAACAATATTTTATTATAAAAATTAGTAAGCTTTTTTAATTGTGAATTTAATATAGGATTTTTAGTAGTGTACAAGATTCATACAAATCTTACAAATTAAAAATTAAGAAGTTCTTAAAGACTACTTTCTCTTTTTTTCTCACCTTACCAATTATTTTTTTTTTAATAGCTGTTAGTTAATTTATTTTTATTAAGTAATTTTTATGGATAATTATTATAGTTTTTTTTCAACTTTACCTCATACCAATAATATAGCTAAGTTTTTATTATTTTTCAATGATGACTAAATGTATTTATATATAAATAATATTTATTAGTGACTTTTTTTTTTGTCTAATATTCAGTATTTGGCAAAATCACTCCTCTTTACATCTCTCGTAGAAATGGATAAAATTTATCAAAATTATATTATTAAATTATGTGCAAATATCAAAATTACTTGCCATATTATTTTAAGAAATTAAAATACTTATAATTCGCAACAATATTAATAGACATTTCAATTCTTAACACAGATTTCAAAAATTTTCGAGAAATAAATAGTTATTTTAATAATAAAAAGATTATTAAAATAGAACTTATATTTAACTTATATTATTAGAATAGAACTTATTATTTTAATAATAAGTTCTATTTCAGAAATATGGTATAAAAATTTTATTTTTGTAGGTGTGAGAACAACGAAACAAGGAATGTTTCGGATTATAATAAAGCTAGATACAAAATTCACATTTTTATGTTTTTTAATCCAAGAATTACTACCTATTGTCAATTCTTAAAAATAAATTAGAAAGTTTGATTCATAAATCCAGTGAATATGAAATACAATATTTGATTCTAGAATTTTGTGAATATGAATCATGATGTGTGATTTCAAAATCATGTGAATATGAATCTCAATATGTGACTTTCAAGTTGCATGAATACAAATCTTGGTGTTCTATTTAAAATAAAGCGAATAGAAACCAATGTGGGCATTTTTTAATTGTGTAAATATGAATCATGATGATGTTTAAATATCGTGAATACAAATCATGACATGCAATTTCAAAGTTGTGGGATTATGAATTGTGATGTTTGGTTTTAATCATGCGAACACAAACCACAGTGTAAGATTTTTAAATTGTGTGAATATTGATCAAAATGCTTAATTTTCAAATTGATCACATTTTTTAACTTTCAAATCCCACAAATATGAGTCATGATGCGTGATTTAATTACTAGGCAGACAGTTACTTCCTTACTAGGGAAAAAAAGATAATTCCTTTAACTCTGTCAATTGCAAGAAGTTTATTGCATGAAACAGAAAAATATAAGTTAGGTCAGATGGAGGATTAAGGTAAACTGGCAATAATTTATCACAAAAAGTGAAATTTTTTACCTTTTTCCAGCAACTGATCCATCATTTTTTCCAACTGGTTCGTCAAGTTCTATTCCAGCCCATTCACCCTTTGCGAAATCAGTCTCTCCAATAAATCTCAACACACCTGTTTTAACACCAGTTGTAGAACTTGCAACAACTCTTTTACCCAATCTAAGTTTGGAGCACACTTCTCTGGTGGCACTGGTAGGAGATGTAACAGAAGTACCAGGAGTTCTGCTATTAACAGGAGTTGCCAAACCCACACCACTCCTCAGGCTAGCTATACTTGTGGTGCTACCCATGGTGGCACCAGCATTCCTAAGATTAGTTGTGCTGCCCATAGTGTCACTAGGAAGGGCTCCCATGGTTCTTGTCAGTTTTTGTGGGCGAGCAAAAACACCATAATTGGGCTCACACTTGAAGTATTTAACTCCTGCCACTGAACCATCATTCTTTCCAACAGCTTCATCAAGAAGCACACCAGCCCAGATACCGGGAGCAAAGTCAGTTTTACCAAGGAACTTTATTAAACCAGGTTTTGTGCCATTGACCCAAATCCGATCTTCCAATTTAAAACCATGCATACTTGCAGAAGAAGCATCTCCTATTTCTGAAAAGCAGAAAATATTCATAAATATTTAAAAAGTCAAATAAAAGATATATATTATGTACCAGAAAATGTATTGGAAATATAATGTGAAATTCAGCTATAAGGAAAAGTTTAGTTTATGAAGTAGCATTTGTCAAATTTACAATTCATTCAGAAAAATAATATGTATAATGAACATTAGAAAAGGAATTGGAATTATAGTGTGACATAACCCGAATCCACTATCAATGGCCTTTAAACATGATCTCATCTCATCTCATCAGTTCCACTGACACTTCCCATTATTTCATATGACAGATTCGTTCATATAGAATTGATTACATTATTAAGTTATGTTATATTTGAATATTTCCTACCTATGAGGTAAGTTTAAAATTTTATTTCTTGCATGTCACTAATTTTTAAAAAAAAAGAAATTGAGAAATATCATTATGATAGATTTCTACAAGATTTTTTATAGATGGTAAAAATGAATAATATCCGGTATTCATAATGACGTTTATTAATCGTGCCTTTTAAATAATTTTTAAAATTACTATTACAAAAGTTAATACATGCCATATTTTCATAATTTTTTATATATTAAAGTTAAATTGTGTATTTATGTTACTTCCAACACAAATAAAAGCAGATTGCTGTATAATCCATGAACTATACGATAGTGTCGATTATCCACTGAAATTTTTTGCCGGACTGCAAGTAGCACCTGCAAATTACATATGGTCATGGATTATACTCAGAAGCTTACGGTATTAAATAAAGTGTAAATTAAAATATATATTGAATTCAAAACTTGCAGGAAGGTAGCCAGTAAAAATACCTTGACTTTTATCAATTTTTCCCTGATTTTACTAATTGAGAACATAAATTTTATTATCAATTTTTCAGTTATACCAAATATATATATAAGCTAGAAATATGAAGAAAACAAGGGGAAAAAAACGATTAAATGATGATTACTTTGTCAAATTAATTTTAATAACTCCTCTACTTACTCATTTTTTCACATTAATGATAAGCGTACAAATCCAGGTAAATGGGGATCAGGATGCAACAAAAATTCTCCTTATAGTGACAAATTAAAGATAACTTTTATTTATAGTAAGGAAAAAGATTTTAATAAACATTACAATACTAAACAAATGAAATATTTTGTTTTCTCCCATAAAGATAATGATATCCATAAGCTGCAAGATCTTATTAACAAGTTTCTTTTACTAATTTACACTTTAAAATTCTATGCTTCCATCTTGTGTAAACGAAAATGAATAAAATTTCACCAATTAAAATAAAAAATTTAGATAACTTATATTTTGTTATTAGCTTTCAAAACTATTTTTAATATGTTTAATGTTCATAATACATTCCACAGTTAAAAAATTTGTTTCCATTAAAAGATTTCAACATGATTAAAAGTTATAAATATAATAAAACTCTTGGCAGAACTATTTTAATTATAATGACATTAGCAAAAATTTAATGAAAATTAATATATCCCACATTATGAATGTCACTGTGAAGAAGAGAAATATTTTGAATTCGTTAATAAACATCATAAACATGGTAATTTAAAGATTATAGAAAACTTAAAAATAAGAAATTTAATGTTCAAAACAAAAAATTTAGACTAATTTATCATATACCAATTAATAAAATTCCAAAATACTTTCTTAATGAACTAAATTTTTGTTTGAAGACATCTTTAATAGATTCTCTTTACCTTTAGGTACGTAAACAAAAAGGAAATGGGCTGTTTATTATTACATTAAAAACTTTATTTTTAATAAAAAAGAAAATTTAAATAACAGTAACAATTCAACAAATTTATCTAAAATTAATCCTGCAATTAAGCAACTATAAAAGAATTTTGTAATTACCCCATAGACAAAACAAACAATAGTTATGCCATCTTCTGTAAAAAATCCTATGTTGAATTTTTAAATTGATAATTAATTAACAGTAAAAATTTTAAGCTAAGTAATTTAATTAATAATATTATTGACAAATAAATTTCTACTCTATAAACAGAAAATGCGAGCAAATAAATATATTTTTAATAAAATAACCAAATTTCTTTTTATTTAATAAATTAATTTGCTGTCAATTGAAAAAAAAATATTTAAATTTATCAAGTCTTAGAAAATAGTAGATTTTTAAAGCCTTACCAGAAACAAGATCTGAAGCTGAAGTTAAGTTTGATACTGATGAAGATCTTGAATGAGTACCACTATCACGACCAGAAGTAGGAATTTTAGTAGAAACAGGTATGCCTTTTGATATTTTACTTGTAGCAGCCTTTGCTGCAGTTTTCTTTTCACTCATTCTTACTGATAAACAGTTGAAAACTCTAAAAATATAAATAAAATATGACTAATAAAGAAATATATTAGTAAAACCAATCTTATATAAGAAATTAAAGGAATTTTTTCTATTTACAGTCAACTCATTATTGATTTAAATTAAACAGCATTATTAATATATTATTACAGTAGAAGAGCTATATAATGCAATTCTATACATCACAATTCTCCATAAACCTCACGAGCTCTGTGAGCGTAAACAATGTAATTAAAGTTAAGAAAATTATATCATTAAGCAAGAACTATTCATTTTTTATATTGTTTGAGTAATTATTTAAGCAGTTAAAATTTCAAAAGTTAAGCAAACTAAAATTAATTCGTTTGCTATTAGTTCTAATGCTACAGAAAATTTCAATTTTTTTATACTTTCAACACTTAATGCATATTTTGCATTTAACTTACCACTAACTTTAAAAAATTTTGGAAGATCAATTTTTTAAATAAAAAGCAACGGTTTTTGCCTAATTCGTCATAGAAGGGGACGGTGTCCCTTTAATTCGTATTTTCGTGTCATTCAATTTATTTATTTATTTTCTTTTTTTTCCACTCGTTCACAAAAAGAATATTGCCAGATCCGCAAGTTTATCAAATTTAGTAATTTATTTAATTAAAATAATTTACAATAGAAATATCTTTCAAGAATTTAATGTTTCTTATTGTATCTTTTATAATTTTTTATAGCTCATATTTTGATATTCTTTTCTGTTTTCTATTTTGTCCTTCTTGTGTAATTATATTTTTCTTTATGTATATGGCAATAAGAAAGCACTTTTGTTTACTAAACAAAGTTCAGGTGGTTTCAGCTGGTTAGCGATTTAAGATCAACTCACTTTCCAAAGATTCCTTTTGATATTTCTGAAAATTTTGCTGTCTGATAACAAGAGAATTCATTTCCAAAATGGTATTTTTTATTATTAAAAACTAAAAAGGGGGGACATTTTGTTAACACTACTATTGTAGAATTGTTTAAAGTTCGTAATATGCATCAAGACTTTTAATTAAGAAAATTGTTTTAAATCATGTCGTATTACATTTAAATGCGACGTAATTTTGAAGAAATTTATCATTTTCTGTGAAACAAGGAATTTTTCGTTAAACATTTAAAAAAATTGGATTCAATTACAATTTTTCTAGTATTAATATCAAATTCAGATTTTCAGTCTCTTAAATTTTTATTAATATGTATGAGTGTGTGGAGAATATTTCCGTATTGTGATCTGCCGTCTCTAATCGCCATTGTAGTTTAAAAAAAACTTGTCTGGTAATTAATTCTTTTATATTGTATAACCAACATGCATAGAGGATAAACATGGACGATTTAATGACGATATAAGTGTACTTGTGTAAGAATTAATTCATTTAAACTGTTTAAAACATATGGAATGAAGCTAACATTAATAATTTTGATTCTCTTGATAGGCACATGAAAAATTATGGGGTGGAAGATTTAGTGAAGGCTTGAATCCTGCTATGGAATCCTTCAACAACTCGATAACATTTGATAAAGTGTTATGGGATGTTGATATAAAAGTAAGAATGACAAAGTTTTTGATTTGCCTATAACCTTTATAGATTTCTGTCTTAAAAGTCCAATAAATTTGTCAATCATGTTCTGTTTTGAAAACTGTATTCACTCTTTTGCTGAGGTGTTATTAACAGAATAATTTAATAGAAACAAAAAATTGCAGTTTATTAATTTTTATGAGGTTCAAGTCAATGTTTGTTTAGAAAAAGAAAATATATGTGACCATGATTTAATTGGTAAGCATTATTTAATATTTTCTATTACTATGATAATCACTCTTTTTTTCTGCTAATGATGTCGTTGTATCTTATAATTTTTGGTTCAGCATCATTAAATATTATTAGCTGTCACTTAAAATTTAATGAGTGACATTTTAATGTTTTTCTTCATTATAACTGTCTTACAATGAATCTAGATACAGTGGATTATGTAAGTGAATAAATTAATGAAAAAAACTGCAGATGGAATTATGCACATTAGTGGATTATTTAATCATTGAATAGAAGTAACACTAAATGAGCTAAAAATCAGTGATTCCGTTTCTTGATAAATAATAAAATAGTACTATTCTAATAAAGGACAAATAAAAAATTCCCAAACTATTATTGAAGCTGGTGATGATGCTTTAATTGTGGTAATTGGTAGAACTCATAGGCATTGAGGTTATGGTTGCTGTAGTAATAAGTACTTAGTATACTAATATGTGTAATGTGGTACTATATTTATGTTCCATGGGAGAGAATAGCACCTAATAAAGTTCGTAATTTGTGATACAACAGCCTACTACTATTTTTTTTTAATTTTTAAAATTTTCATAATTATTTTTTGAAATTTATTTCAGGGAAGTCTTGCATATGTGAAAGCTTTAGAAAAGTGTGGTTTAGTAACTGTGGAAGAAAGTGAAAAAATTGTTTTTGGATTGACTCAGGTTAGTGTTTTTTATTTATAAAACTATGTCTTGACTGTTGTTGAGCTTTAGACTTTTAAAGACAGGTTGATAGAGGAATAAGCGCTTCTCTTTGCTCATAAACTTTGAGTCTATACATACTAAAGAGTTTATATTTATTGACAAATTGTAATACAAGTGTCTGATATTGAGTGATCTTAGGCCATTGGAGACAGAAAGGTTCATTTCATATATGATATCATGAACCATGAAGTTAAAAACACATGATCACATATATGAGATCACAGTCCTGAAGGATTTAAAAAAGCCAATTTTACTGATCTATGAAAATCTTTATGTTCTGTGAAAGTAAGGGAAACTTATAATAACCACAGAGAAAAGTAAGGGAAACTTAGAATAACCACAGAATTTAATTTTGGTAAAAAATAGGAAATATTGTTTGTTCTCATCAAATTGAAAAATCATCCCATTGTTACATACCTGGAAAATTATTATTGGCAGTAGTAGTTCAACTAATAGCAAGTTTAACTTCATTGAGAAACTAGGACCTCACTTCCATTGTAGAAATAAATCATTTCTACTCAATTTAGCAGAGCTAAAAAAAAATTAAAATAATAGTTAAAATGTTAAAAAAAAGTATATATAATATAACCTGCATTACTTCCATTTAAATATGCATTATAGCAGAAATTTCTAACATTTTGTTCCCCTTATAAACATTCCATTACAATGTAGTCATATTTAAAACTTTAATCCACACATAATAGAATTTATCAATGCAAATTAACAGTTTATTATTTTTTTTCTTTTCATTTTTCTTACGATTACTTCTTTTTTTAGCATTAAAAATTTTGCACTTAAGCTATAAGTTTTACTGTATAAATTAAGTTTCATTTACAAATTTCAGTTCTTAATCACTAGAGGCACGTCACATCAAGGCACTAGATTATCTTCTTTTGTTTTGTCGAGAAGCTAATTAAATCAATTTCTTAATAACATGAGATTGTACTTTGGGAATTACCCTTGTACAAAATACTTTTCTTATTCACCTTTATAAACATTACCTTTCTTGATATTTTGTACCTACAAAATCTAGTATTTGACAACATTGTAGCATAATTTATCCTTGGTTCGTTGGAAAAAGAATACTGTGGTCTCTCTAGCTCAAAATTCCTTGTGAACGCTCAAAATTTCCAGTGAATTTGATTCATCATAGTTCCTAAAAAAATATCTTATGAATTTTTAACAGACTTTCCAAAGTTAACAAGGCCACTGAGTTTCATTCATGCAAAGCAAGTCAGACCTCTCCCACTCATATACTTAAATGTCTAAATTTAATAAGGCCGTATTTTATTTTTTGATTGGTTTCAATGAGATGGTCTGGTGTAGCTGATAATCTTTGATTTAAAGCAATAACAAAAGTATGATTTAAAAAAAATGAAGATTGCAATTTAGAAGAAATACAGTTTGCATACATGTGTTTCAGGGCATAATAGTATCTTTTAAATTATCATTATTTAACAGGAATTTTTTATAGGTATCTGAGGAATGGGCTTCAAAAACATTTGTTTTGAAAAATGATGAAGATATCCACTCGGCAAATGAAAGAAGGCTAAAGGTTTGAGCAAAAAAATATTTTATTTGATTCTTTAAGTAATTTTTTGATTCATCATGAATTAAAACTTACCTACTTGTTTAGTTATTGGCTTAAAGCAGTGTTATATCAAGTACCTATTAAAAATATTTTGTTTGATTTTTTAACTAACTTTTTGATTCCTCATTAATTAAATTTATTTGTTTAGCTATCACCTTAAAGTAGTGTTATATCAAGTGCCTATAAACAAAGTTTCATTAAAGATTTAAATTTTTTCAAAATTTTCCGAAAAACATTTTAAGTTCTAAAATAAATAAGAAGGGAGAATTCTGTTTCTAAAACTAGTTGCTGTTTTTTTTTTTTTTTTTTTTTTTTTTTTTTTTTTTTTTTTTTTTTTTTTNTTTTTTTTTTTTTTTTTAATATAAGGGAAATAAGTATTTATTTTATTTCTGCCATCCCCCCCAAAAAAAGGTTCAGTGAAAATGTGTCAAAGTCTAAGATTTTCAACGAAAACAGAAAATGTATTGTAATGATTAAATTAAATTCATAATTGTTTAAAATTATTAAAATTTATCATTAACAATGTCCTTATTTTTTCAAATTTTAAATTACCACGTTATTTTGATTCTTACAGACATAAAAATATGACAAAAAAACGAAAATTATTTCTTTGAGTTGGACAAAAAATTATTAATTTGAGTGGAGGATTGCTCTGAGAAAAGCAAGGGTTAAAACTTTTCTTTTAAAAGGTGTAAAAAATAAGACAAAAAATTAAATGAATTCATTTATAGAATCAGGTTAAAAGTAAAGTCATTTAATTTATTTAGTGTATAAGTCATTTAGTGTATAAGTACTTTATCATAGCAACTTTTATAATAAATAACCATCTTGTCTGACATAAATAAAACTACATATCTAATTTTGTAATAATTTATAGGAAATTATTGGAAACGAAGTTGGCGGTAAACTGCATGTTGGTCGCAGTCGTAATGATCAGGTACATTTATTTTTGTTAATGTTAAACACTAAAGTAGATATTATTTATACTCAGTTTAACTTAGAAGATTTTCTAATTTTTAAGTGAAAAGCTACTGTGTTTTACTAAATCAGGTTAATTTTCTTTCAACCCTTGTACAGTCCTGCTACTTTAATTTTTTTTTTATTCATATAAAGAAAGATACAAAAAGTTTCAACCCAGGTAGTATTTCTTTAATGAATAATGTAATGAAGTATTTATTTTTTAAACTGGAAAATATCCATTTTGAACTCACTCTGACATCCTGAACTCACCCTAAACTGAGTTCAGGATCTACAGTTTAAGAGTTAATAAAGCAATTGAAATGCTTATCATTTTGCTCAAAAGAACTTATAAAAAATAGTTATTGTTTCTTATTTTAAAAAAAATCTTTATTGATAGTTGAAACTTGTATTTTAATTTGAAAATAAGTATAGTTTTAAATTTGATTATTTTTAGTAAGTACAGTTAAGGTTATTGTCTAATTTGTAAAATTAAAAAAGAAATTTTTTTTTGACAGATTTGTAATGCTCTATTTTTTTTAAACCAGGAAACCTTAGTGCTAAATTTAAAATATTATTATTTCAAATGAGTATTTCATGCAATTAATAGTAATATTTTTGAAATTCATCTCTTATGTATGAAATTATTTTACACCAGGTTGCTACTGATGTCCGCTTATGGCTAAGAGAGCAGTCATCAGTTTTAAAATCAATGTTGATATGCTTTATTAGAATTTGCTGCGAACGAGCTAAGAGGTTTGTGTGAAAAATCTTCTCAAAATATGTTGTTTATCATTTTCGAAATTCTTATTTATTCTTGCCTATTAAACAGGGTACGAAAGTATTAATGTGAACATTTGATTATTTTCTAATGCATAATAATGGAACAAAACTGTTTTCTTTTATTGTTCAATCATCAATTTACAAACTTTTGTATATTTTTGTGAGCTGTGTTAACAAAAACATGCAGTAAAATATTATCGTATTTAATTCTTTAAATTGTTATTATCCACTTTAATGATAAATGGATTTATGATTTTAAACCATTTTATATACAGTAAAACTTAGTTATCTGAATTAACTAAAACTAAACCTATCTTAGGTAACCAAATTCTTTGGGTCATAGAAGTTCACCATTTTAACCATACCCTTTTATTAATAAACTATTATTAGGTATAACCTTTTTATTTTTTTCTGAGGTAGTGAAACTAAACTTGTCTAATAAATAAATGGATAAAAACATCTAAAGTTGCAACTATCAAATTCTTTTATTTTCTTGTATTTTAAAAAGTAAAGATTTGTGGCAACAGCCAGGCAATCACGTAAATCAAGTCTCATAATTTTATAATTAAGACCATGAAAGTAACAATGTGATCAGAATAACATATCAAATATGATTACCATTTCTTGTGACTGTAATGTTTTTTTCTGATGTATTTTCTCTGTTTTGCAATTAATCAGCAGTCCATTAAAATCTTTCTATAAAGTTTACCTAGTGCCAGTTTAGAGGTGAAGAAAATACATTGGAACCTCAAATCTATGTTTTCCATCGAACTAGCGATAAAAATCGCATGAAGCAGGAAACGTAAAATAAGTTTTTTAAAAAATGCAGTATATTTTTAAAAAATTGCACTTACGAGATGACTTTTAGAAATAATGTGTAATCTTTCCTTGTTTTTCGTTTTTAGATACGAATTCAACAATATCCCTCCTATCTCTATCTCTACTATTGTTTACAAACTTCTTTTTTGGTTTACATTTACAAATAAATATTGTTTCAGAATTTTTGTGCTTTGGAATTCTTGATCAGTTGTGGTTATATCTTCCTATATTTTTTACTCATGATCATCATTTTCATCACTATCATCGGGAACAAGCATTAAATGAAATATTAAAGGAGTTGAAAAGTAATGTTTGTGTGTTGCAGTGGATATGCACGTCATTGACTTTGGAAGATTTTTAGCCAATTTTATTCTGAAGGCCTTATGCTCTCATTAGATGCCAAGAAGTCTGCTTTATTAAACCTATTTAAATGCATTTTAGTCGACGCTATCTAATGCTGTAGAAATCAGAGTCAGAGCTTCCAGAACATTTATTTATTTATTTATTTTTTTGCTTTAGAAACATTTTGCAAGTCACCTGATTTAAGAAAAAGGATTACCTAGCCAGTTGTTTAGTGTAATGTTCTTTAAAAGATTTCATTATTCCAAGATTCAAAGGTTGAAGTTAGCTGAAAAAAATTGAACTGGCAAATTTTACATTTTAAGCTCCCACACTTCTTTTAATCTGCCTTCCTGTGCTTTGAATATCTCCCCATCTTTCAGATTTCAACTCAAGAGTGAAATCCCCTCTCACAGACAAAAGGACTAAGAGATTGATTAAAAAGAATGTCAGATCAGCTTCAAACAGCTGATAAATAAGTCTCTTTAAAAATAAAAAAAAGCTGAAGAACTCAAAGGTTAGTTTGAGCTTTGTAAATAAAAAATTTTTTTGATCTGTTTGAAGTTAGATTTCTTGAAAAGTGCACTGTAAAATCTGGAATAATTTTACATTTTCAGTATAGGCAATTTTCACAGACCAGCCAAAAATGGCACATGAAGTTAGACAACGTACGAAACGGACAACATAAAAGTGGGATTCCTCTGTATTTAATTAAGAAGACATAAATTACTTAGCCTTATTATTGTTGGTGTAAAGAAAACACATTTAATTTTATATCATATATTAAATAATCTTTACCAAGTGCATTGAAAAATGTATAAAGTAAAAATAATTCCATTTATTCTTATTTGTTTTTTACAGAGAAATTGATATTCTGATGCCTGGATATACTCATCTCCAAAGAGCTCAAGCGATAAGGTGGAGTCACTGGCTTCTCAGGTATTAAGCATGAGCTATTTTAAAGTGTAATTTGTTCTTTTATATAGTCTCCTTTAATTTTCTAATAAAAGCCATTCATATATTTCTGCGCTCTTGTTATGACAATCAAATTTTTTCTTCTTAACAGAATTCTTTGAAAGGCTTCGGAAAGTTAGTCGGTCATTTATTAAATTTTAAGCCTTCTGAAAAAAAATTTGTTGACTGAGAACTGAATTCATGTATATTTTCTGGAATAAAATAACGCTAACAATACTTATTAGGCATTATTTTAAATAAATTAACATATCTAATGAGAAAATACCTGAATCTCCAATATAACTAAATCCACCTACTGTAAACATTCTGTGGATTAATAATTTATAACATTCAGTGGATCACCTGCATCAATCCACTGACATTATTCTCCAAATTGTGCTTTGTTTACATCAAAGAATATTTTTATTTACCTCTTGTGAAAGCTGTTTGGCAAGTCACTAGGTGGCAGAGTTGTTGGCTGCTATATCAGGATTCCTGTTAGGTAGTAATTTAAAAAATTTTTAATGTTTTAAGTAAATTGTCTGCAGTTTTTTATTTAATTTTTAGTGGCACTGATATTGTGTAAATTATTATATGATGAAATTAATCAGGTGAGTTATCTCTCTTTGGTTTTCTCTCACTACTCTGCTGTTCTCTAACATCACTAACTACCTTTCCTGTTGCAAGTGGATCTTTCCAATATGATTTTATCCACCCATAGCTAACCAGGAAAGCGGTTTGTCGTAACAATGAGGTTTAAGGTTGAAATGGTCAGTTATCAAGGTATTCAACAATATGTTCTTTAGCCATTTTCCATGTCGATCGTTGAGAATCTCTGGATTATGACAAATGCGAACAATATTAAAAGAGGGTCAGAAAGATTAAAAAACATATTAAATCCTATCAACCAAAATATATTTACAAATTAAATGAAATATATAGAGATCTTAAAACATACCTACTGAATTGTTGAAATGAAAGTGAAATTAAAATCTTTAAAATTTACTACAACCTCATGAAAAATGTGCTACTATTTTTAAAATTTCTCCTTGTAGTTGCTACCTCATATCCATAAAAACTGTTTATCTCTTGTTTTGCCTACAATCTGAAATTGATACTGCCTGCTGTTGTTCATTAGAGTTAGAGAGGTGGTTCCCAATTTTTTTGTATATGTGACCCTAAATGATCGAGCCTCTTTTGGCAGAATCTTGGCCTTATAAATAAAGTATATACGAACACTTGTGAGTGTATTAGCCAATAAAAGACTTTTTTATTTTTACTAATAAAAGAAATAAAAATTTTTGATTGTTTTATTATAAATAATCTTAAAATTTATATTGTGTCTAACAATTGATCTAGAATGGGTCTCCTGGAGCTGTTTCTAACTTAGTTCAGAATTTGTTTTTGTTTTATATACATGTGCTAAAAAGAACTGCCAAAAATATTGAGAGTGATTATTAAAATATTTCTTTTTGAACAAATTCAGTTTTTATTTCTTTATTTTTTAATTGAAAAGGAAAAGTGTAACCGGAAATATTAATGCAATTTTTTATAAATGCATAATTAATTCAAGATATTGTTATTAAAAACTTTTTATTTTTTTATTGGAAATTTACTTTAAATTGTTTCATGAAGGCAATAAAAAAATTAAATACCTAATTGATTGTTGATATAAATAAAGGTTGGTACATGTTGAATGTATGAAATAATGCATATTGATAATAATTAGTTTGTTATTGTTAAATATAAATGCAGGTTTCAAAAATTATTACTAGTTCTGCAGAACTCCATAGTTAGACTTTCATTAGCGTTGTTGTGTGTGGTATCTATGATTATCTGTGATCAGTAGCAACTGTAAACTCATAGTTATTGCTAACCAATATATCTAACATTATCTGCATAAGTAATATCATTTATAATTAATTTTCTTAAAGTACTTGCTCAACAAATACTAAGTTCTCATCTTCTAGTTTGAGTTTTCACTATCACCAACTTGCGTAACATCATGGTTTTCAATTAAAATGCGATTTGAAGAAAAATAAAATATCTTATCAATAACTTTGTTTATGAAATTTAATACCATTTAACTTTGTTTTTTTTATCTTAATTAGTTTCCTATTCTTTCAGTTACGCGTGGTATTTTCACAATGATGCTAATAAATTGGAGGATGTCATTTCTAGAATGAATATAAGTCCATTGGGAAGGTGAATATTAATTTATAATAGATTATCAACATCAAAAATTTACTATTACATCAAAAATTTACTAAAATCAAAATTAAAAAACCAGTACAAAATTATTTTAAACTCAATCATAATATAAAGTTTAATCAGGCTGGTATTCTATGTACCCCTACCTAATTTAAACTTAGTAAGTTGCAACTACTGGGTTAAATTTTTTGAGCTATGCAGAAAATAAAACTTTCAAAAACTATTAAATCCAAAAATGTTATTTAAATTTTAAAAGTAACCAGATAGTTTGAATGAGTTTTGTATTGTTGAGACATATATATTCTCAGTAACGTCATCTTTATCTTTCTATATTTTCACTGAAAAATGAAAAATGACTACAGTAAAAATGTGTATGCTCAAAAAATCCTAACATGCATTCAACTGCTTTTTTTTAATTGAATCTCACTATTAACTATTCAAAGTATATCAGTTTTTTATTTATTTATTTTTTAGTGTAACTTAATTGTAACCCTCTATGTAAACAATATATTGTAACAATATATTCATAGTTTTGCTAACAAGTATTTATTTGTAGTTTTGATCTAAGTCATTTTGATCTAAGTCATTTTGTTTACGGTATATAAATAGTTTACTCAAATGGAAAATCAGACTATGTAAAGTCCAAAAAAAGATTAAAGTTGTTGTTTAATTAATTTTAGTAATATGAAAAGAAAGTTACTTTTTAACGTTAATGAATTATAAAATTATTGCTACTATGCAGCACAATTAATTTTCTAATTCAAGTTTTACTAAAGTTTTTTTTAAGTTTATTTTCTGAATGAAGTTTTTATTTTGAAAAATCTTTCATAATCACACTTATTTATTAATTAATAGAAATGATACTTAAGTTGCTAAGATAAGAAATATTTAATTGAATTTTCTCCTTGCTATTTGTTTTCAGTGACACTGTACTTAACAGAAATTTATTCATGTTAATTTTTTCAAAATGTAGAACAGTTAACAAGTTAATATCAAAAAATTCTCCTGTTCTAAAAATTTTTATGATTTATGATAAGCTATTAATTCCTTGTTATCCTGTTTTAAATAAAGCTTTATTTATGAATAAATTCATATTTATTTTTTCCAGTGGAGCACTGGCAGGTAATCCCTTTCCTATTGACAGGGACTTCCTTGCAAAAGGTAATTTTTGAAATAAACTTTCTTTTTCCAATTTTTTTCTTTGTGTACATATATTCTTCTAACAGTTTTATGCTATGACGAAAACAAATTTAAATTCAGCCGATGCTTAATATAAGAGCCTTCGTGGTCTGGGTGAAAGCAGACTTAGATTGTTATATTGTGAGTGCACAATTACTATAACTCATAGCTAAAATAAGGCTTTATTATTTTTAACAAAGCAATGCTTTAGTTTAATGAGAATTTAGTAGGTAACAGAAAAATTTGTAATAACCCAACTTTTTTCTATGCTAATAAAAACATAAGACTACCCTTTAAAAGAGTACTTCATTGGTGAAGAGTACATTAAAAATAATATGCTGGTTCAGGGCTGCCATTTTGGATAAATAATACACATCAAAATAATTTTGAAGACAGACTTTATAATATGAGATCGTTATATTGTGAATGCACAAAAATACCATTAATTGTAACTCATAGCTAAAAAAAATGCTTTATTATTTTTGACAAAGCAATGCTTTACTTTAATAAGAATTTAGTAGATAACAGAAAAATTGGTAATAAAGCAACTTTTTTTCTATACTAGTACCCTTTAAAAAATACTTCATAAAAAAAAATGCATTAAAAATTATCTGCGGGTTTGGGGCTGTCATATTGGATAAATAATACTTGTCAAAATAATTGTGAAGACCTCACGATTTTGAATTGAAATATAAAGCGCACTAGCGGAATGACATTTCACAAAGAGTTAAAACAATTTTCACACAAGAAGGGTATGATTGGTATATTTATTGTATCCTTTAAAAAGAAAATAGCATAGATTATGAATAACCATAAACAACTACCGCCTTGTACTTAAGATAAGAATTTAGGAAGTTATATAACTCTTCATTCAAAGGGGATTCAAGGTATTTTACATTTGTTGTGTGATAACATCAATGGAAATTATGGTTTTATTACTACACGAGGATGTGGTGTTGCTTTGAAACCTTTTCTAAATAAAAGGACGTAATTTGGGTCGCTATATTAGAATGAACAGTTCAGTGTGGACATTATAATGGGCATTAAAATAACATTGCATCTATGAAATAGCAAATGGGATTTTATTTGTAGTGATAATGGAAGAGTCGCTGTAATGAGGGTTGAGGGCTGTGATAATGGGAGCTGTGCTAAACGTAATACACTGTATCATATTTCACAAAATAATATTAATGCCATTTTGTGCTTTTAGTAATTACTATGAAGACAAAAATGTAGTTTTTGTCATTTACATGCTTATAGAAAATGTTGAGGATGGTTAAAATAATTTCTTTATTATGGATACTACAAATTTTGTATTTGGTGGATGTAAATTTTATACAATTAGGTATTTGAAATTGTCATATTAGCTTTTTTAACATATGTGGAGTTATTAAAAACATATAAAAGTTTTATCTTCTCTTCGTTTAATGACATTAAATATTTTTTGTGAAATTATTTTTGTCATTTTACTTAATATAAAAACCTTTTTAATTTTATTTTAGAGCTTGGGTTCTCTGGTTGTACTCCAAATAGTCTTCATGCTGTAGGTGACAGGGACTTCATTGGTTAGCATATTTATTTATTCTTCTTTTTAAGCTTCATTAATATACGTAGACAGCTGTTCAAATATTACAAAACAGCTAAGGTAAATTGCGATTTGCTTATGTTTGCCACAAAGAAAAGAATGAATACTTACATGAAATACTAAATTACCTACACCAGGAAAAAAAACTAAATTATCAAGATAATCAAAAATATGTTTATGCATTATTTGAATAGCTCACATGCAGAATATACCCCCTTACTTTATTGAGGGGGTATATTATATTTAAATAATAAAAAATAATATATTTATTTATTATTTTTATTATTTCTTTTTTATTTTAATTTTTTTTATTTATTTGTTTATTTTAATTTTTTTATTTATTTTTTTGTTTTTGTTTAAAGCGGAATTTTTGTTCTGGGGTGCATTAGTCGCAACACATTTCAGTAAATGGGCAGAAGATTTGCTTCTATATAGTACAAAAGAATTTGGATTTGTATCAATTGCTGATGCTTACAGGTATTTCTATTTTGCATATTTTTATTTAAATAAAATTATGTTGTTTTTTTTGTACATAATACATATTAATTTAATTTACAATTTATTTAATTGTAAAGATTGTTGAATTAGTATTTTTTCACTTCTAAAACTGATAGATCATTTTTTTTTTGCCTATTTTTTAGTACTGGTAGCAGTTTGATGCCACAGAAGAAAAATGCTGACAGTTTAGAATTAATCAGGGGGAAAAGTGGTAGATTAATAGGGAATGTATGTATACTTCATTATATTTTTTCCCTAATTATTAAAAAAATAAATATTATGTTTTAGAACTAACTTCTTATCATAATAGTTCAGGACCTAAGTATAATACTGTAGGAAAGTTTGAGTCTGGAGGATTTCTAGTTCTAGTAAGCATTTTGAGTGGATTTGGATTCTGTCACCTGGTACATTTTCCAGCAGGGATATCATCAATGGTGGAGGCTGCGAAAGAACCAAAACTGCTCATATCTATAACTTTGTTAATGTTTGACTGTTTTGAATGAAACTTGAACTTCTTACATTTATTCTCACTTAATAAGTTACTAATACATGCAAATCCTCATGGTGTATATTTTTTCAGGAATCAATTTTTCTTTTTCTTGAGTGTATAATTCTACTGCAATTGTCTGAGGGAAATCAAATGGATGCTAAGAGACACTATGTTGCAGATGAAATCACATTAAAAAAATATGCCACTGAGTCTTACACTTTTAATATTAAAAAGTTATTTCACATCCAGTACAATATTTTTTTGGCATGGAGAAAAGGCAAATTATATAGATATAGATGCTAATTTTGAAGTATTTTACAGACTTTGATGATTTTGATTTTCTTTTGTGGAAACACAAGAGTAAACAAACACAAGAATAAATTTTTCAGCATGGCTATTTTCGAAACTGTACCAATTTCTAAGAGATTTGATCCATCCCAGTAGATAATGTCTTTGAGAACTGCCTTTAGACTCAATACACAATTTTTAACCTGTATTTGCTGTGTTGGATTGTGCCAGTTATCAGCAATTTTCTTCTTTAAATCTTATAGACGTGAGAAGACTACCTAAGGCAGCTCAGGAGGTGCATAAAATAAGTGGAGAAGCATATTATGAAAAGATTTAATCATAAGTTTTTAGCTATTGTAGCAAATATGGCATTAGGTCTTAATAATAGGTCCCAAATAAGTTCATTGTAGGGTGTACTAAATATCTTATTGCAAATGTACAAATAGCTCAAGCTTGTGCAGTATTTGTGGTTTTCATTTTATGCAATGCAGATTAATTTTGCACAAAAAAGTGCTCCTTGAGAATGTTTGAGTTCTTAGTTACCTTGTCATCTATGTTAATTTTATGTTTTGTTAATTCTATGTTGTGTTAACTCTATTTTTGTGTTAATTTACATGAATTTTAAATCTATGAGACAAAGAAATCGATAATTGACTGAGATAAATAAATCTTCATGAACTTTTATTCTAAAGACAGCTCAAAATGCATACTTACATAAATGGGCATAGCTTGAAATGTGTTTAAGAAAATGGATGCTGCAAAAAATGTGACTTTTCAATGTTTTAAGTTATGGTTTAACAACTAAACGAGAAGTTTTGTTCTTGCTTTTTTGATCATTGAGCATACTCATTACGGGGCAAATTCATTTTAATGCCACTGTTGTAAAGTTACAGAACCCGTCACAACCTTATAAAAAGACCTGCTGTCTTTTAATATTTTTTCTTGAGAGTGATTGCTCTTCAAAAAAATTTTAAAAAATATTAAAAAATTTGAAAATCAATTTTAAAAAATTAACTAAAAAAATACAAATTGGTTAGAGAAAAAATTAAACAGACATTTTGAGCTGTGTCCATAATAAGAAGTTCACCGACAAAATGTTTATATCAGTGCTTTGGACTTTTTATTTTAAGTTTTAAGCTCAGGCATCTTTAGATGATCCTATGATTTTATTTGCCATTTTGTTACTTTCAGGTTAAAAGCTTTTGTGATGTCCCTGTTGTTGCATTTCAAAATGCTTACTAACAATCTGAAACTTCTTTACACTAATTATATAATGTCTTAATTGCTCAACAGTCTTATGTAACTCTTAATTGCTGCATTCTGCTTTGTCTTTTATTGGAGGCTTCATTGGGTAAGTATTTATGTTTTGCTTTTGCAAGCTTCATTTTGCGAGTGTCTTGCTTACTGTTTTGAATCGGCATATTCAGGGTTGACATGATTTAAATCAAAGGTTTTCAAAAAGTGTTCCGCGAAACTTTAGGTTTCCGTACAGGGGTTCCAAGATATTGGTTTTTCTAACAATCAATGATTTTATTTATATCCGACCAAAACAACTATCTATAATTTATTAAAAGTTTGGTTGCTTTGATGAAATTTTTTATGTAAGGAATGCTAAAGAAAAAAGTAACAAAATTTAAAATAACATTCAATAGCATGATATTGAATAAATTATGTAAAGAATATGCATTTTTAAAAAATTCTGTAAGTATTTCTCATCACGCTTTTCAATTCAAAATAAAATAACTAAATTCAAGAATAAAAAATTGCACTTTTCTGATGTACAAATGTGTGATTATATTATCGGTGTATCGACCTCCTATTTATAGTGAAATTTTGGGGGTTTGAAAAGTTGACTTATGCACCCATATACTTGGCACTATTTTTTTCCTGAGCAACCTGCATAATACTCTATCTGTGCTGTTATATAAAAGTTAGTTAAAGGAATATCATTAATTCATGCACACAAAAAAACATCAAACCAAGTTTTTTATTGCAAAAAAAAAGTATTAATTTGAATGAAGCATTATTTTTAATAAGCCATTGTTATAGTTTGTGATTCTATAAATCCACATTTTTATAAAATAATTCTATAAATCCAAATTTTTAAAAAATTTTTTTTTCAAGTTTTAAACAAGAGATAAGTCTGGTCTAATGTTTGGATAACTGAGCTATAGAATTTTTTATGTTCTTCGCTCGAGCATGCTTAAGACTATCTAATATTCAGATTTGGTTAATGAAAAATTTAGCTGATTCCTTGGATCTAAATAAAAAATAGTTAGTTATTAAAAACTTCACCCACTAACCCTTAAAAAATACATGATGAGAAAAGTTATAATTAAGACGAAAGAATTAATTATTTTACTTATAAGCTTTGCCTTCTTGAAAAAGAGGAGAAAAGGAGAAAACATTCATAAAGCTTTATTAATTTAAAAATCTTATCTGATTTTGTGCTTAATTTGAGATTTTTATATTGATAACTATTACTTTAACTCTGATAATTAATTTCTTTCTTACAATATACATTTAAATTTAATTAAAACATTTATAAAATGCTCTCTTAACAATTTCTATTTTAAATTTTTCAGTCTTAAGTTAAAGTATTCTATGTTATCACTATCTTTCATGTTATTTCAAAAATGAAATTTATTGAGATAAAATTTGCTATTTTATATGCACCAGTTTTTATTAAAAATAAAGTTATTTGAAACACGAAATTTATGCATTAAAAAATAAAAATCACACTAATTGATAAAAAAAAGGTTTTCAATCATTTTTATTAATATTATCAATGTTTAATTTTTAAAATATTAATACAGAAAAAATTTAAAATCTTTATTTAATATTGTTTAAGCATATTATTCTTTAATAGTGTTTTTTGTTAATGTAAAAAAATCTCCGTACTTTCTTTAATTTGCACTCTTTCTTTCTAACATGCACTTCATGATTCTTATTTTATGATTTTTGGAGAGTTATAAAATATGTAATTGCTGTTGCTTTGGTAATAGTACTAGATATTTTCTAAAAATGGAAAAAATGCATTATACTGTAACCAATATTTTAAAACTTTTATATTTTTAAATACTTTTACCATTTTAATATTACAAAACTTTTGAGTCTTATTGATCAGTTATGAATCTCCTTTATTTCAAAAATTGAAACGAATACCATTTGTTACATTCTCAGTTTTAACTTATTCAAAAAAGAAGAATATTAGCAAAAGTTTATGACAATGAAGAAGGATAAGAGAAATCCAGAGCTGAGTATTTTTTTAAAAAATATTTCTGACTTTTTATTTGTTTTTGAACACTTGAGAATTTATGAAAAACAATCAAATAGTTCAATAGCCTTTAATATGATTTTTTTTCTTTTTGCAGTATTGAAATTAAATGTAATCGAACACTTAGCAAGTATTTTAATAGATATTGCTTTTACACCCTTTGCATAAACATGAAATTTAAAAATTTTATTTTATATTTCAGTGTATGGCAATACTTGTTGTTTTGAAAGGTTTGCCTAGTACCTTTAATAAGGATCTACAGGTATGTTTCTTCATTTGTTGTAACTAATGACACCACATTAATTTAAAATCAATGACTCTTGCTAATAAAATTTAATTTATTCTTTTAAAGGAAGACAAAGAGCCTATGTTTGATAGCTATAATACTTTGGCAGAATTGTTTCAGGTGGCTTGTGGTACTCTGGAAACTTTAACTGTAAGATATATTTAACTGTCTTATCTTTTCATTGAAGTACAAGCTGAATATATCTCTGAAACTGAAAGTTTATTTGTATCTAATAAATTTTTTATGTATAGTCAATACACGGTTGATTAAAGTGTGGCAACTTGTATGCACTTCTATTTTGAGCAAAACTTAACTAATAATACAAGAAGATAGTGCAAAAGTTCAACAAAACCGTAAACACTTGCAAAGTTTTGAAGAAAATTCTTGAGGCATTCTCCATATAGCCCTTATTTAGCCCTTCCATATGTTATAAGACATGTTATTTGCAATTCTATTTTCAAGATTATTTTATTTGTAAGAATGCTTTTTTTTTTGAAGATTATTAGCATTCATTAGTATCTCATAACCAGGAACGAATCATAACAAAATTTTAAAAATGTGTTGTTTTCGAAGATTATTAGCATTAGTATCTCATAACCAGGAATGAATCATAACAGAATTTTAAAAATGTGTTGTTTTCGAAGATTATTAGCATTAGTATCTCATAACCAGGAATGAATAATAACAGTATTTTAAAAATTTGTTGTTTTTGAATATTATTAACATTAGTATCTCATAACCAGAAATGAATTATAACAATATTTTGAAAATGTGTTTATATTTAAATATATTTTATAAAAATCCTTAATTCAATTTAAAATTGTAACGTTCAATCTTTGTACAGCTATCTCCAAGCATAATAAGCTCAAGATAATGTTTAGAACCATAATTTTTCTATCATTAAAAAATATGTTATTATAAATACAAATTAGCCAATGCCTGTCAGTAACATCTGAACAATATTTTCTAACATTTTCCAAACAATAATTGATTTTTTATTTTAATTTTCAGATTCATAAAGATGCATGCTTTTCTGCTCTCTCATCTGATATGTTTGCTACAGATGTTGCTTATTATTTAGTTCGAAAAGGGGTCAGTAAATTGCATCTTTGACTTTTGTACAATGTGTTCTATAAGGACTGCCCTTAATATATATTTCCTAAGTTTTTAAAAATTGAAATTAATAGAATTATAAACTGCACATTGATATTTAAGTGAGAAAAAAATGCAATTAAACTCTGACAAATTAGAAATTCAGCCATTCAGAGCAAGGGAGGGTTTAAAATCACCAAAAACTACTTTATTTGAGAATAAACTTAAAAGGCAGTTTTGAATGTAAGATCCAGCTTAATAAATAAATAGGTTTTAATGCCTACTTAGCTTTAGCTAGCCTTTTTTGTCCGAGTCTGATAACATATTTTGACTCATTTAAATAATCACTTCTGATCTCTTATTTAAATATTTGTTGACTTTAATAGCTAAAAAAATCCTGAAAGTATATATTAACCCTTTGTGGTTGTATATTTACTCCAGCAAGCAAAGCTTTATTTAACAGTTCTAGTGACATGTCTGTCCACAGGCTGGCTACTATGACACCTATCTACAAACTTAATGGCAAAATACAACTAATGTACAATGTACAAACTTAATGTACTATGTACAAATTAATAAACTGTGTACTAAAATTTATGGACATTCATTGCAGAACTCTAAAAATGATTTTTCTACTGTTTTATTTCAGATCTTAATTTTATATTAATACTTATATTAATATTTTAAATTAAAATTGAGTTTAATTTTGACAGATTGCTTTTCGAGATGCTCATAAACTTGCAGGGGAAGTTGTTGCAAAAGCTGAAAAAGAAAATTGTACTATTTCAGAGCTTCCTTTGTCTCATTTGAAAGACATTAGGTAATAAAAATTTTAAATAATCTATGGGTTTTTTTTTTTTTTGTTGTTTTTTTTTGTAAAAATAGTCTTACTGTGCACATTAATCAATAGATGTACTTTTTAAGAGCATTCAATGTTTAAGAAGGAAATTTCGTATTCATTTTGTTTAATTGCATTATATATTTTTACTTTATTTTAATGTATTATTATTGGAATGTCAAGCTAATTGTAATTGTTATATAAAATTAAATGTCTTGACATTTTTTTTAATTGATTCATTATTTTAGAAGTACTTTTTAATGATTTAATTAAATGATGTGATGTTATTTCAAATGAAGAGAACGTATTTTTGATGTACTTAATTTCTTTCAGGAAATAAAAGAGCATTAAGCAATCAAAATTTTTTAAGGATCTGATAATTTTGCATTCTTGAAATTAAATATTCACTGAAAAGTTGAAGATTAAATGAAAAAAAATCCAAAAAAAAAAAATGAAACAAACTAGCTCATGTAAACATGAATAAATATTTCTTAACTTAGAGTAGTGAAATAGTTACTACAATTCCAAAGTAGTTGTAGTTACCTACATTTGTAACAAAGTAGTTGTACTAAACTACAAAAATAATGTAGTTTTTTCGATCACTGAACAAGACTCTTTTAATACAAACCATTTTTATTGAATTCGTTCTACTATTTGAAAAATAAAATTTTTGTATAAAAAGCTTTTTAGAGGTTCATATAATAAGAGCTTATGAAACCGTTTTAAGAATTTTTTTTCATAAATATTGATTCCAAACAATGTTTAATTAAAAATACTTATTTTTTTCATGATTTTCATTTACTTTTATCAGAATTCTTTAAGTTTGCTAATATGTAAAAGGAATTTTTATGTTAGTAAAATGTATCCTAAAAACAAATCCTTTCAAAGAGAGATTCTCTTTTTTCTGATTAGATTATCCAAATGCCTTCCTTAATTACTTTCTGAAATATTTGTAAATAAATACTTTTAGTGGCATCAATTGACAATTTTTGTAACAAAATTTAAAAATTGTATATAGGAATGTTACTGCATTCATTCAAATGTTGGTTTATGTTTCAAATCCTTTATAGTAGAAACAATGGTACTATTTATTTAAACTTTCATGACCCGACTGTGCTGTTTGTTTCATGCTTTATAACTCAAACATTGGTACTGTTAATTTCATCATTTATGGCCCAAACAATAGTAGTACTGTATATTTCATCTTTTATGATCCTGAAAACTGTACTGTTTATTTCATACTTTGTCACCCGAAGAATGGCACTGTTTATTTTATTGTTTATGGTCCAAACAGTGGTGCTGTTTATTTTGTTTATTATTGTTCTAATTAGCTGTGCATTTATTTCACTCTTTAGCCTAAACAATGATACTTTTTATTTTTTCATTTGGGGCCTCAACAATGGTATTGCTTATTTAATCTTTTAATGCCCAAACAATGGTACTGTTTTTAAATCCTTTTATCTGCAGCCCAATCCCAAATATTATGCATAGTATATTGGATTATGCATTTTCAAAAAAATTATCCCCTCTTTATGAGTTGTGTGCTACTTTGAAAATTAGTTTTGGAAGTTCCTTATAATATTTAATAGTTTTTTTTCTTCCTCTTTTTATCTGCATTTTCAGTGACCGCTTTGAAGAAGACATATCTTCTTTGTGGAACTATGAGAGTAGCGTTGAGCAGTATCAAGCTTTTGGTGGAACAGCTAAAGAGAACATCCTCTTACAAGTTGAGCAGCTGGAACAATGGATCTGTGATAGTCAGATTTTGACCACTCAAGTTTAAGTGATTTTAACATCAGTGCTTTTGATGTTTGCCAAATGATTTATAGTCCTATTGTTATTTTCTAAAAATAAAGTTTTTGAAGTTTATTTTAATGCTCATTTAATCCAGGTGAAAAAGTATTTTCAATTGTTAGCCTCTTGAGGATTGTAGCCTTTTCGACATTAGCAGCCTGTGATCACACGGATGTGATTTCAATTTGGAAAGTTTTATTTCAATTTTTGAACAATATTAGATGTCGGAGCCCGTTGTAATTTCGAATAATGATAATGTCTCACCAGCGTTGATCTTCAATATGCGCTTTGAGTTAAGAGTTTTTATTTTTATTATTTTTTAATTTATTTATTCGATCCTGGTTATTTAAACACGTAAACAATTTCGTTTGTTTGGCTCTTACAAGATGATTGAGCTCAAGATTTACTGTGCTCTTTGTTTTAATTAATACGGCATAGTAAATTAATATATTTAAATGAGAAAAAGAACAAAAAAAGCCGGAAAGAATAGTGAGGAATTCAAATTTATCTGAAATAAAGCCGCAACTGCTAATAGCCAATATATCGCCCATGTTTTCATATGACCTGAAATATATGATGTTGTGTGTCCTTTACCATGGAATCCATTAGGATCAATATTATCCCAGGTTTCTATGATGGCAGACTTCATTTCTTCCACAGACTGAAACTGCTCCTTTTTTAAATGTATGTAGTCCTACTGACGATGGCCCCTAACGTTTTCTTGGGGATTGAGGTTCGTGTTAAGGGCAAACTATTGGTGACAAGAGCCTTATCCAAAAAGAGCCACTGAGAAGATTTTCCAACATAAATTGAGGTATTGTCCTACTCTCTCTACAAATATTGTTAGCAAATGAGGTTTCTATTTCTAGCATCTCTTGCAAATTAGTAGCCTCTACATGCAACGTGAAGAAGAGGCAGAGTTTAAGTTGACCACAATTACCGAAGCCTTCCCTTTCCTCCACCATTAATGAACTTGTGCTCTTGCTGACTTTGGGAGAATTTCCCTGTATTTCTAAGTGCAAATCAGAAGATTACAAAATGAGGGTGGGTGGAGTTAAGGTGGGTTTTCGAATTCATTTTACCTAAAATCAACTTAAATGAGAGGCTTCCTTTTGAACGAAGAAGCGTACATTTTACTATGAAATACATTTTAGGGCATTTAATTTAAGGATCATTCTTACTGCCTGCAATTTTTCTGCATGCGAAGAAATCACATGTAATGTGTAGAAATACCGCAAAAAAGAAAGAAAAAGTCAAGGAAAATATTTTTATTTTAATGCTTATTAAAGATTCTCTTTATTTCGTGTATGGGGTTACTATATACCTGTCAAAGTTTTTTTTTTTTTTTTTCAGTTTTAACGATTTTAAAATTTATTTTTTGAATAAAAAGTTATAAAACTATATTCGTCTCTCCATACTAAAAATAAATTGGTGCACCACATTTAATTTTTGAAAAAATTTCAAATGATGAAGCCAGGGAAAAAATAATTAAAATTTTTGAAGCATCAAATAATTTCATAGAAAGCTATTCTTTTTTTTTTTTTTCAAGATAAGGATTTTTAAACTAATTTTAATTCAATGAAATGCATTAAAAAAAATTTATATCAGATTTTAAATACCATTATACATTGATCAAATATTTGTTTTTATTAGTTAGAAAAAAATTGTTGATATGCTATATTTTCTTAAAAATTTATATCTTTATATTATGTATTTCTTTTTCTTTCTTTTTTTTTATTTTACTATAAAAAGTATTTTCACACAAAAACTAAGTTCAAAACACATTGTGTTCTGTTGAATCTGTCAAAGAGTAAAATTTGCCCAAGATATACCAAAATATTATTTAAATTAATATTTAGCCTATAGCTTATTTCTTTATACACGAATTACATTATTTCTAACCTTCTGGCTGGCCAAATAAGGATTTTTTTTTCTTGTGTTGATAAGCATTCTTTTTATGCACCTTACGTTATTTGTGCTACTTTATTTTAAAATTTAACTATTTGTATACTTGAATATGGCCGATAGGCCTGAGTAGGGGGCAAGGAATTGTCCTTGCATCAGAAAGGTTCTGTGTTCAAATCCCGGACAAGGCATGAATGTTCTTTCCTTCTCTGTGCTATCTGTCCTTATTGTGGGAGCGACGTTGGCCCACCTAATATGGCGCTCCTGAAAGAGAGGTCAGCAAAATCACCCTGTATATGCTTGCATTGACGGATGTTAACACAGGTGGGCATTGGAAAAAGGAAAAAAAATACTTGAATAAGTAATTGCGTCACAAAAAAGTAAGTCTAATCTGTGAGCTAAACCAAAATAACTTTAAGAAAAATAAACTTTCACCTGTTCAGAAGGAGTGCTCTGTTTCTATCTCGCATAATTATTTTTAAAATAGCTCATTAATTGCTAATAATTAACTATAGTTAATTACGGGAAATATATATAGAAAGCATATATGCTTTCCGAGAACAAGATTTTCACTTAAAATCTATCTCTGGCTAAAATTGTAGATTCCTACTCTCACCACAAATCATCTGCGTCGCATTAAACGTAGAAAAATCCAATCCGAGTATTAGATTGAGTCTCAACAAGAATAAAAAGATAAGGAATGGAGGAATCCTCCTCCAAGTCGAAAATAAGAGTGACATTAAAAAGATTGAGAAACAGATAAAGACACAGGGACTGGATAAAGAACTAATTTGTGAGACTCCGAAAAAGAAAAATCCTAGAGTGATTCTTTATGAAGTAAATGAGTCGTATGAAAAAGAAGACCTCGAAGAAAAATTGATTGACAGTAACAAAGAGCTTAGAGGAGCTGAATTAAAGGGCTTATTCAAAATTAGAAGTCGACAGGGAGTCCATTGCATAATTGAAGTAGATTCTTGCACATTCACTAAGATTATTAGAAGAGGAAGACTAAATCTCTGATGGCAGTCTTATAAGGCCAGAGAATTTTTACGGCCACTTAGATGCTATAAATGCTATCGATTTGGCTAAAACATGTACCAATGAGGAAATTTGTGCCAATTGCGGCGAAACTGGACATAAGAGAGATAGTTGCAAAAATAAGAGCTCCTGCATAAATTTCAAAGAGGCCAACACAAGATTCAGAATTGGACATAGGACGAACCACTGCACTACTCACTCCAGTTGCCCATCACTACAGTGGGCATGCGAAAACTTAAGATCCAGAATCCAATACAGGTAGAGTCCACCAACCAACAGTTCCGGAATTGTGAGCCCTCGGGCACTCATCTATTGATTGTAATCCAACGCTTTTAATATTTGCTATTTTGATTTGTAATATGGTTTTTAATAAAGTTTGTTGGTTTTTGGCATCAGCTAAACTTAGAGCTTTCCAATCTTGTCACGCCTTGATTGACCGCGGTGTGGCGGACGCCCACTGCTGTCGGCCCTGCCCGTCAGCGTTGGTTGACGCCGTCATCCTGTTGGTTCGGACTCTCGTCTAAATTTCTCCTTTGGCCGTCGACTGCGACATGTGGTGTTTTTGATCTTGCGTGACTCGGGGCCTCGTGCCAATTGAGTCCCTTTCCCTGCACTCCATGCTGAGCTCGGGTTCTGTTCTTCGGCGAGGCATCAAATACTTGGCGTATGGGCCCAATGGCCTTTGTCACCGTAATTATATTCCTTATAATACATATTTTGTACAGAAGCTAATGTTTAATAAAATTGTTGTTTTTGCTTATTTGCGTGAGTAAAGTGGAAATTCCGAGGGGAAGTCCAAAAATTAATTTTCCATCCAATTATCAAGTGCGTTTAGGTATTTATCATACCGCTTTATAAGCTTCAAAAAACCCTCCAGGCTCTTCATACGAAACCAGCATGGAACTGCTTGTATGACTTCAGCACGGATTACAAAGCACCTGTCACCAAAATTTTTGTTCAAAACTAAATCGAAATCAGGTGGAACTTATTGGGAGCAAGATCAGGGCCGTGTGGTGGATCGTCTCACCTTGTCATCAGCAAAAAATGTGAGATGGCCAGACTATGATCATAAATACATTGCATTGATGGTTCCTACCTCCAAAAAAGTCAAGCAACATAGCTCCTTGTGATCAAATCTTAAATCAACAAGCCGTTCAATGCTTTTTCAGTATGCAGAGCTCTGATATTTCTTCTGGGAGAATTTTAGAAGCTTATAAGATGGTGTAATAAATGTACTTCATTATCAAGTGGACACGTCTTATCAACAATGAATTTTTATATTCTCTATCATAGACACTTTCAGGGGTGATTGTGACCCCAACTCAAAAATCCTGAAAATTTCTTTCTAAAAATTAATGTCTTAATAAATTTAAATCATTGATTATATTCAAAACATGAAATCTAAATAAATTATGTATACCGCATAATTTAAATGAACAATTATGTATAAGTTTACTTTTATCTCTAATCAGTCCCGCAGGGGACTAATCGTTAAGACACGGTTCCCAGCAGATCACCGAAGTCAAGCATCACTGGCTACGGTCAGTGTGCGGGTGGGTGACCACTTGGATCAGTCTGCGTAGGGACCGAGGGTGTGCGGTATTGGACCTCGTTAAACTCGACTTCGCGCACAGGTTGTCGGGCTACCGAAGCGGGGGTGCCAGCCCCTCCGCAGAGGATCAAAATTGCGATGGCATGTCTTCGGATCATCCTCCGGGATATGTCCCAGACCGTCGNTCCCCTCCGCAGAGAATCAAAATTGTGATGGCATGTCTTCGGATCATCCTCCAGGATGTTTCACAGACCGTCGCCAATAGCCCATTGTGCAGCTCTAGTGCGACGTAAATTAACAACAACAACAACAACTTTTGCCTCTAATCACATTTATTATTCTACCAGAAAAAATATTTACAAATAAAAGAGATGCCAAGTATATATTCTAGTTCCAAAATTTTAATATAAAATAGACAAGAATTTTTATACATAAACTTCTGGACCTTGGATTTCAGGAAACTTCCGGAAATCCAGACTTTTTCCGGAGCACAATCATCGATGCACTTCTGACAACAGCCACCAGCTTATTTTAAAAATTAAGTGAAATGCTGATAATAGAGAGATTTCGCACTTCTTTCGTCCGTAACATTTGAATCAACTGCGCATGCTTGCGTTTATTTTAGATGCTGTGTATCTTTATGTTATGCTGGCATGGTTAACGCTACAAAGACAAAGCTAGAAGCATGCTGTTTGTAGTTTTCAGATATGTTTTCTGTTCAAGCCTAACTTAAAACATGGACATATAATGCGAATATGAAGAAATATATTAATGAAATTTAGACATTAATCATGTGATATTACAACAATTTGTTGAATGAAGAGATTGTCTATGTCCATTGTAAATGATTTTGTAGTCAGAACGATATTCCACGACATTAGCTTTTTTAAACTCTTATTTTCACTTACGCAACTTTGATATTTTTTGACGGACACATGCGCATTTCACCAGAATTGACGCATGCACAGTAAGAGTGCACATGCGCATTTACTTCAAATCTAAAGCTTAAGAAAATTTGCGAAATCTCCCCATTCACAAATGTCTTAAATACATAGCCTGCACATTTCACAATTGATGGCAGCAGAGTTTTGAATTAAAAAATATATATTTTTCAAAGTAAAAGATGAAAAGAGACACAATGTAAAATAAACAATAAATTCTACAAGAAAAAACAATATAGAAACTGTAACTAAAATGTATAAAAATCAGGAGAATTTTAATTAAACCACTAGACCATGAGAAACTGGCAAAATTCAGTAGAGTTAGTAGCTATGCAATCACATTTTATCAAGTGAATGTTCAGTACAGTAGTACAGTATAATTGCTACGCAAGAAGAAAAAAATGGATGGTTACATTTCTCTTGCCTGAATGATGACTATTATGTTTAAGGTTGCTGCAAGTTTAGCCTGCCTTAAAAAACTCAAATAAAATATTTAAATTTGTGGCTATGAATTGCATTAGAATGCAACTAACAAAAGCATTAAAAATTCAAAACATTTCTGTGAAAATTTGCTGATTTGCAGTTATCTTAAGCTGTTATTTCTTAGAACTCTTTAAATTCATTTCTTATTACTTTGGTTAAAATTAACATCATTTGTGCAAATTAGCAGGATAGCAGTTATACATTGTTTAAAGCTAACTCCATTACTGAGATTGATAGCAATTCGAATAGATGTATTTAAGTGAAGTGTTCGATAATTATAATTAATATAATATAACATTTTTACATATTTACAATACTTAATTTAACATTTTTACATAGATACATACAAGAATCATAATACATTTATGATTCTTGTTATGAAGAATTTTAAGTTATCTAATGCTGCAATACTTGTTAAAAATTATTAAAACTTAAATTAGCATTAAGCTGGCATTGAGTAAATATGTTTGTCATATTTAAGTTTACTTTTTAAATTAAAAAATAATACTTTCGAGATTCAAGCTCAAATACTTTTTTAATTAAGAAATATTTGCACTTTGGTCTAATTGTGTTCAGAAAAAAAGAATTTTTAATAAATTTTGAAAAGTGATAGTCTACACATTATAACAAACTCAGACAAAAATGTTGTAAATAAATCGATTACAGTTTTTGACATATTTATATAAACAATTGTACATTAACCATAAGATGGTTGGTATATACAGGGCACATAGCCAAATATTTGAACAAAAAATAAACTCTTAAGCACTCCAAAAATATTAAACTTTTTATTTAAAAAAATATATATATGTAAGGGAATACTTCAGTTGAATGAATTGTGAAAACATTAAATAGAAGTGTGAAATCGCTTTTTGCATAAATCATGGCAAAAACAGATATAATAAAAAAAATCTCATTTTGGAAAAGGGAACATTAAGGACTTTTTAGAAACACCCAATGAAAAAAAGCACCTATAAGGGCCTTTAACAAAAGAAAATAAGCACCTTCATGTACTTTTTAAAACGCGAGGCATGCTGCATACAGAAAGTAGCCTTTTAACCTTAATTCCTTCTACATACATAATAAGTTTTTTTAATGTACATATAATGAATGATTTAGTAAATCAAGGAGAAATCTCATGAAATTGTTCATTTGGATACAGCAATGAAGGGGTAAGAACCTTATATGATACAGATTATGAGTAATTACAGATGTCACTAATTCAAAAAGTGAATCAAGTACTGAGCATGATGATAGAAAAAGATTTACCAAAAAATAAATTGGCGCATGTTATTTTTTTTTGATACAGAAATTTTTTTCCAAATGAACACTTTTAATGATTTAACTTTTAAAAGCTAGTACTATAAATAAACCAAAGAAAAATTAAATTATTTATTTGAATGAAGTAAAAATATGAAAAGACATAGGGTCCTTTTGATATTATAATAAAGAACTTTCTCTGGTTATAAAATACAAATTTTATGTGAAAACACTTGAGAAGATGCTTTCGTACAGTTTAAATAGATGATTTTTTAATGTTATAGCTTCATTCATAGACTTTCTTTTTTAAGTAATCTGTTTGGCCAACTAATAAGAATATTATAACAAAAAAAACTAGAATGAAAAATAAAATAATTATATTTATACATACATGCATAAAGTAATTTTATAAACATTAACATCAAAAATACTGAAGAATGATCTAAAACAAAATAGATATGAGAAATATTAAATGCATATAGGATCTTCTTCAATGAACATCAACACAAAGAGACACCATCCTAGAGAAGAAAATACATTTAGTAACAAATAGAAGGAAAATTTTAAATTTAAAAAAAAACGTCGTTGCTCATAATAAAATTGACAAATTAAACAAATTAAAAAAAACTATAGCAACTAATGTAAAATTTCTATCGGTTTGTCAACACTAATTATGAATACGTAACTAACATAGGGATATGTTCAGTACTGAATATTATGTTAGAAAAAAAAACTTACGAGAAAACAACGTACTCAGATTCAGAGCGTGTGCATTTTAAGACAAGTTGCACTCAGGAGTTAATTACCTAGACTAGTTTAGTTCTCCAGTTATGTTTGTCTTCTAAAAGTAGCGAAGTAATGACTACATTTCGAAAATAGGTGGTAGTTAACTGCAAAGAAACTAGCGTTTTCGATCACTGGCTGTAGCTTAGGGCATCGAGAACTGTCGATGGTGTTACAAGTCAATATACACTCTATAACAAAAAAATCGACACACCAAGAAGGAGTTGTCCGATTGAAACGAAAATTAGTGGATAGGAAGACAATGTACAGAATAGTAAATGATTAAAATTTTAGAACAATTGAATAATTTATTGCAGAGTTACAGTAACAAGTTCAATAAGGTGTTGGCCCGCCTCTAGCCTGGATACAAGCTGCCACACGGCGTGACATAGACCGATAAAGCTCCCGGATGGTCTCTTGCGGAATTTCCTACCAAATTCGATCCAATTGTCGAGCGAGATCATCAACATTCCGTGCCAGATGCAATCGCCTTCCCATCATATCCCAGACATGCTCGATGGGAGAGAGATCTGGTGATCTGGCAGGCTAAGGAAGAGTTTGACAAGCTTGCAGATAGTTCATAGCAACACGTGCCGTATGTGGTCTGGCATTGTCCTGCTGAAATACCAGCCCAGGGCGCTGCAAAAGGAACGGTAGCAAAACAGGTCTTTGGATGTCGTCGAAGCACCGCTGTGCAGTAAGTGTACCTCTAATGATGACCAAAGGGGTCCGGCTGTCAAAGGTAATGGCACCCCAGACCATAATGCCTTGTTGAGGGCCGGTGTGGCGTGCAATAGTGAAGGCAGGATCCTTCCTCTGCCCTGTGCGTCTCCAAACACTTCTTCGATGATCGTCAGGACACAGTTGGAAGCGAGATTCGTCGCTAAAGACTATACGTCTCCAGTCGGCATCATTCCAGCCTAATCGAGCGTAGATTTTGCGCGTCTTAGTGCGTCGTTTTTTTTTTGTTATAGAGTGTATATTTAAAGAAGACACTAGCTCTTGTTGTTTGATCTGAATTTTAGAATTATGTTTCTCACGGGTGTAATTTGTTGGTCACGTTTCTCTGCAGTCTTAAAAAGCATCTATTTATGATCTGTAACTGTAACAAACTTTTGCAATATTCCTTAATCGCTTCCCTTACCCATTTTTTTGAAGGAAAAAAAAATGCAAAAAATCAACATAGTTTATTTATTGAATTAATAAATACAAGAAACTAAAACAAAACATAATACACAAGTTCGAAGTTGAAATTTTAATTTTTCTGTGAGTAAAAAAAATTTTATGTGTAATTTACCATCAGTTTACTATCCCAAATTAACTCGGGCAGATGAAAAAAGTTAAATATTAGTGTTATTATATGTTTATAATCTGAAAAGTCATCTGCATTACTTTCACTTTCGCTCACAAGCGCCATTTTTTTAATTCTTTCTTCTATGTAAAATCATCAACCATCGTATATACCAGGGGTGGCCAAACTTCTTGATAGTCAAGCCATTCTTCAAAATTTGTAATTTTTCGCGAGCCGCAATTAAATACACATTTAAAAGGTATGCAAAAAAGGTATTGAAAAAATTTTTTTTTCATAAATTACATTTATTGAAAACATATAAGTAAAAGTACAAAATATGTGTATTGAATTTAAATATTAAAAATTAAACACATTTATTTTACTTCTCTTGATAATTCTTTAAAATTTGGTGAATAATTGGTGACAGCACTTCTCAGTATTTCTGTGAGATGCTGGTTATTGTATACTGATCGGTGTTTGGATTTCATGAATTTTAAAGTGGAATAAAATGATTCACATAAGTACGTTGTTCCGAATATTGAAATAATTCGACTGGCAGCCTTTTTTAAATCAGGATATTTCGATTCTGCTACAAATTTCCAAAATTCAGTGATCGACGTCGACTTATATTTTCATTGTAGAGCTTGATCTTCCTGCATCTCTATTAATTCTAATTTTCCAGATCCTTTTTGTGTCATAATTGTATTAGAAATGGAAAACTTACCTTGAATTGAACAACGTTGCACTTAGTCTTTCATATTTGTTCTCAGTAATTTAAAAGACATTTTGAAACAAATACGAAACGATAATAATTTTTTAAAATATAATAGCACGAACATGGTTGGTTGTTCATTTACGTCGCACTAGAGCTGCACAATGGGCTGTTGGCGACGGTCTGGGAAACATCCCTCTGGATGATCCGAAGACATGCCATCACAATTTTGATCCTCTGTAGAGGGGATGGCACCCCCGCTTCGGTAGCCCGACGACCTGCACGCGAAGTCGAGCACGAACATGAAAAGGAAACTACATTTATCGGGAGCCACAAATAATCCTTCAAAGAGCCGCTTGTGGCTCGCGAGCTGCAGGTTGGCCACCTATATACAATATATAGGTGGTTGGCCACTTATATGCAGGCTGGCCACTGGTATATACAATTGTACAATACAGGTCTGCAGTCCCGCAAATGGCAAAACTGAAGAAAAAAAAATTGGCAAACTTCCTATCAGAGCAGATTATTATTATTTTCAGTTTTGCTTCCGGCCGAATGAAAAGGTGATAAAACAAAACGTATTGACGAATTTTGCTATGCCCGGGTTTACTCGGGAAAATAAATATTTGCAATATATCCATCATATTCGAGTTCACTCGGGATAATCAGGGAAGCATTTAAGTGGAGGAAAAAAAAAGAAAAAAAAGTTATACAAACCATTTTTCTAGCAACTTTTCTCAATACAAAGTTTATAGTCTTCAATTTCAGAAAGTTGCTCATTAAAACTCTTATATATAAAAGGCTTCTTTTTTCTGAAAAGGTATTAAAAAAAGTTGTTTAAGCAGAGTGAAATAAACACCGTGTGATTGAAACCATACAGGATATCTGCTACATTTTAGATTTTCAAATTCATGACTTTTCATGCTTAATTCCAAGAATTTTTCATGACTTAACGAAGTTATTATTTTCTCCGACATAAACACAACAATAAATTTAAAATAAATTGATAAAATAAAAAATAAATAAATAATAACAAAAATTCTGAAATCACAGAAATTTACAAGATAATTCGCTCTAGAAATGATGTTATTTCTTTCATTTTTGAAAGAACACCATAATTTTTAAAGAACTTGATTAAAATATTTTATATTTTAATAAAAGATGACTATGAGTGAGGGTTTTGTTGCAAATGCAGATATTTGGAACACCATGGAATTAGGGGGGGTAAGTAATTTCATTTGAAACGTAAGGTTATTCGGTGACCTAATTCTATGACTTTCCATGATTTTTTTTTTTAAAAAATAGTTAAAATCATGACAAATTTTGTTCAATACCGAAATTCATTAATTCATTTTGCTAAGGAAAGGGAGTAGATAAAGAAACAGTTCTGTTTAATGATAGCTCCTTTTCATCTGAAAATATTTTAAATTTTACTAGGTTTGACATTGAGAAGTCTAATTTTGGTAAAATTTATTTTCAAGTAAAAGTAATTTTTGAACAAAAATAAAAAATCAATGATATAGGGACAAAATGCCAAATATTAAGACAAATAGCATATTTTTTATCAGGAATATCAGGACGATGACAAAAATTATTATAATGCATTAAATTGATTTTCAATTATTAGAATGTCTTTATAAAACAATTTCTCAACTTGGTAGTACAGTAATTAGAGCAACAAAAAAAAGGTGTTTCTAAAAAAAAAAAATTATATTTAGAATATTTTTTGACAAAAAACTTTGTGATCTTATTATAAATGACACCATTGGAAAATTTTACACTGCATTATAACAAAATTGAATACTTCACTTACATGTTTAAGCAATACTTCTGCAGCTCTAAGTGCACTCTTAAGCTGCATGTTCTCTGTTAGCAGTAAGTTGATTTCATCGGCAGGCTAAGAATCCAATAAAGAAAGAATAATTATTTTGGAGACGTTCAAAAAGTACATACATCCCGAAGGGGGAGGGGATTTCCTATTTTGTACGGTTTTGTACGATGGGGAGGGGGGAGGTATTATACAAAGTACGTACATTATAAGCATACACCAAATTTAAATTTGACTTTTTCCTACACACTCCTTTAATAAATATTTAATTTTATTTAAAACATAATTTTTTTAATTCTTATGAAAAAGGGGGTAGACTAATAAAATGTACGTACTCTAAGCGGGGGGAGTAAGACCTTATGTACGGTAATGTACGAAGGGGGGGGTCAAAATTTCTCCATTTTTGTGTACGTACTTTTTGAACGGCCTCTATAGAGAGAAAAAATTTAAATAGTTTTAATTAAAAAAGAAGGTAAAATTTTTTACCATTCAGTGACACAGAAAATAAAAAAAACATATCCTAAACTCATGAATAAGTGCAAAAAAAAGAAGCTAAAAACAAAAAATTTAAATGCTTCTAGAAATAAAAACACATTTTCAAAGGTGACTTAGCTGAAAATAATTCAGTTAAAAGAGTTCAGAAAATCAGTCATAACAATTTGTAAGAATAAGCGAAACCACATAAATAATAATAGTAATTTGGAAGTAAAATAAAGCTTTGATTCAACAATATTAAAGATATAAAAATAAATTAGCATGCTGAAAGGAAGTTAAAACAACACATGTTTTATTTAATTTGTTGAAAGCTGAAAATAATAAAAATTTGAATTTGTTAAAAAAAAAAAAAAAATTCAAACAATTTGTAAAATATAAAATACAAGAGTTTTTAAAGTGGAACAAAAAACACATCTTAAACAATTGAACTGAAATACAAATTAATGAATCAACTAGATTACTAGGCTGAAAAAAATTTAGAAACATTTTTGTTTTTTAGTAAATAGTTCAGAATTGTTACTAAGCTGAACAGCTAATCTAATGAAATCAAAAAAAAAAACAAAAAAAAAAAAAGAAGAAAAATAAAAAAGAAAGCATATTTCGGATTTTAAATAAAGTTCTACCCAGGGGCCTTCTGAGGGGCCTCAAAAATTAGTAAAAATTTACTTAATTACTTAAATTAGACTTAAGTCTAGTAAAAGGTGGGCTAGCTTTGCGTTTGTGTTAGTACTAAATATATAATTCAGCTAATCTCAGTGACTTTCAGCAAAAATCACTGATCTCAATTGTTTGTGGTCACCAAACTATTTTTATTTTGATATAGCATTGTTTTGTTGTTTCATATTTGCTGTTGTTGTTAATTTACGTCGCACTAGAGCTGCACAATGGGCTATTGGCGACGGTCTGGGAAACATCCCTGATGATGAGCTTCTCACGAATCCTNAATTTATGTTTTTCTGTTTTTAAACAAAGATGCTAAAGCTGATACACCAAAGGAGAACAATTAAAAAAGTGAATAAAGAAACAAAATAAAAGCTGAAAACATTTCATACCATCTCATTGTCTAAGAACATTTCATACCATCTCATTTTCTTTTTTCTTTTTCCATCAGTTTTCTCATGAGCGATTCTTCTTTGTTCAGCTATTTCATAAGCGATTCTTCTTCGTTCAGCTATTTCATGAGCGATTCTTCTTTGTTCAGCTATTTCCTGCCAATATGCCTGACTTGGTTTTTCTAAAAAATATAGTTGATTGTTGGAATAAATTAAGCGGAACAGACATCCGCACAAAAAATTAAGAATCGACAAAACATATTACCAGATGTTAAGAGCTGAATAATGTCCTCTGAAATGCAGTTTCCTGAAAAATAAGAACTATGAAACATCTGTAAAATTAATTTTGTTTTTTTCAAATTTAAATAACTGTGTAGTAAATCAACGATTCTCAACCTTTTTAGATNAAAAAAAAAAAAAAAAAAAAAAAAAAAAAAAAACAATAATAAATGAAAAAAAAAAGCTTTGAGGCTCATTGACTCATAGGGGTCATGACCCCCCCAAAATTGAAAGAAAAAATAAAAATAATAATTTTTTTAATAGTTTACAAAAGAAATAAAATATTTTAAAAATTATTTAAGGGGGAACATACACCAAGGTAGGTCGAAAAAATTGAATTTTTTTTTCTCCATCTAATTATGTCACTGCTTCAAGAATCACTGTTTGTCACTGTTTCAAGAATCTGTATAAACTGAGAGATATGAGAGCTGTATGAACTGTGCACGGATCCTCCATTGATTCATACAAAAGAGCCTGACTCATACCTTGATTCAAGCCTGAGAAAATACTTTGGGGGCCTGAGTTCCATTAATTGGACACAAAAGCTTGAGACTCAGGCCTAGGGAGGCAGAAATTCTCAGAGCCAAATATTTCACCAAAGCATAGTTTTCCCTTCGTTTTTTTTAAAATTTCTCACCAACTTATATGATTAGTAAATTAAATCACATTTCGTAACAATAAGTTTTCGTAATAATACGTTTTTTAAAATATTTTTTTAAGATAAAGTGTTTATATCGTTAATATTTTTTGATAACATTTTTTTAAATAAGGAATAAAAATTATTTGATTTTACTTGATTTTTACATGAATAAACTAGCATGTGTGTTGAATATATTAGAATTTATGATAGGTATGAACAAATTTAAGTTATTCAAATTAGTAGACAAATTGATATATACTTATTTGTGTGACATTTAACATAAGAAAAACTATTTTATTGTACTCTTGTCTATCAAGGCAGTCCACGTTCGTTCTTGTAAGAGTTTTGCAAGGATTATTTTCTGTTCTATTATTTTACAGGGGAAAATATTGCTAAGTGAATTTTTTTTTTTTACAATAAAATTTTAAGAATCTAGAATTTTTTTTACAGCACTTTTTTCTTTAAAGTAGACATAAAATTTCCTCTGGATTTCCCTAAATTTCTCGAACTTTATTTGTGTGATCAGACATATTCAGCATCCCAGCTCATTCTTAAAGCCTAAGAGTTGGCAAGACTGCAATCAGCAAGTCCTTCTCCTAAGTGGACCATTATTTTGGTTCTAATGGTAATAGCAAGGTTTCACTGCATAAACTGCTAAATATATAAATACAAGACATAGTATAAATAACTAACCCAAATCTTGAGCAGCCGAATCATTTGATATATCACTAGTGCTAGCACAAGAATAAAGGCTAGTTTCAAGTCTAGACTGATTGAGTGTAACTGTTGCTTGCAAATCTTCTTTCTGAGTACAAGCTTTAGATACAGCTTCTTTCTTGGTTACTGTCTTGGACAGTTTTTTAGGTTTATTTACCCTTCCAACATTTTTACTCTTGGAATGCTTAGCAGGACAACTTTTACAGCGCTTAGCAGGAGTCTTTTTTACAGCGCTCAACTTTTTACTTTTAATGTTTTCATTAGTATCAATGGCTTCCTTGTTTACCTAACAATAAATAAAGAGGATTAAAGTAACTATAAAAAAATATAAAGCATGGTTGGTTACAGTAAATATTATTCTACATACAAATAAGCAATTATAAATATTTTTTACATTGATGAGTAAGCATTAAAAATTATTTTGAATTTTAGAAATTTTAACTAAAAATATAAGTGTTGCTTCAAAATAATTAAGATAAAGAATCTTTTTCTTGTTTTTTTTCTTTTTAAATTGTCATGTATTATTTATTAATACTAATATGCTATGCATAGCATATGTACAGTGCGGGGAAAAAAAAAGACCACTCTGGATAACTTTCGATCTAATGATCAGATCTTCATGCTCTAGGTAGGACTCAATCTTGATGCCTCGAGGGGGTGACAACAGGGCCGGATTACCCATTAGGCTAGACTAGGCCATGGCCTAGGGACCCCTTAAAAAAAATTTTTTTTTGAAAATAAATTTAAAAAAATTAAGAGAAACAATAATTTCAAAAAAAAATTTTTTTTTCAAATATATATTAATAAAATACGATAATTTTTTAGTTCCTATTTAACAAAATAAAGCAAAACTTTATTTATTATTTTTTATCTTAATTTCAAATTTGCTTTTTAAATGAAAAGATATATAAATACCTTTATATTTGAATAAATAAAAAATATACGAGAAAAAAATTTAATCTAAGGGACCCAAAAATTTCAATGGCCTAGGGCCCCGCGTGCGCTTATTCCGNAAGAAAAAGAATTTTTTTCTTGTCTTTTTTTTTTTTTAAATTGTCATGTATTATTTATTAATACTAATATGCTATGCATAACATATGTACAGTGCGGGAAAAAAAAAGACCACTCTGGATAACTTTCGATCTAATGATCGGATCTTCATGCTCTAGGACTCAATCTTGATGCCTCGAGGGGGTGACAACAGGGCCGGATTACCCATTATGCTAGACTAGGCCATGGCCTGGGGCCCCCTTAAAAATTTGGTTTTGAAAATAAATTTAAAAAAATTAAGAGAAACAATAACTTTAAAAAAATTTTTTTTTCAAATATATATTAATAAAATATGATAATTTTTTTAGTTCCTATTTAGCAAAATAAAGTAAAATTTAATTTATTATTTTTTATTTTATTTTAAAATTTGCTTTCTTAAATGAAAAGATATATAAATACCTTTATATTTGAATAAATAAAAAATATACGAGAAAAAAATTTAATCAAAGGGACCCAAAAATTTGAATGGCCTAGGGCCCCACTTGCGCTTAATCCGGCCCTGGGTGACAAGTTACAAAACTGTATTATTACTGTAACACATCAATAGGTTTGTAAAGGATAATTAAAAAAAATTTTTTTACCCCAAAAGTTAATACATACTAAAGCTAAAAAGAAAAAAAAAGTATTAATGAAAATCACTGGTAGGCACAGAGTTGATCTGCAAAATAAAATCTATTTAAGTGGAACTTTATAATATGTAGATAATTATGGAACTTTATAATACTTTATAATATATAAAGTGAAATCTAAATCTGCAATCTACTAAGGCTAATTTTCATACATTCACAAAAACAGAACTCTGGTGGAAAAGAAAACCCTAACATAATTATAGATTAAAAAAATTATTTAGTTTCTCAAATTCCCAAAAACAAGGCTCTTTAAAGTAAATTTGTAGAAACCACCAGTTTTTGCAATTTTTCACAAAAAAAGAATAATTTTTTAAAAAAGTTTAAAACAACTTTTGATGATTAAAGATATGAAGTTTGATAAAAGACTACAATGCTATGATTCTAAAAAATTAAAAATTTTATTCTTATGAATGATTTTGCTTAAAAAGCAGTTAAGATAATTTAAAAAAGCGATAAAAACTAAAGATAGATTAAATGAGGGGAGAGAAGGTCACATGTAATGGTTAGAGGTGGCACTCATCTAAAATCTCAAAACTAAAACTATTTTTATGGTAATTTTTTTTTTTTTTTTTTGGGGGGGGGGATACAGAATACAAAGAAGAATTTAATTTAAAGAAAAAAGTTAATCAAAAACAAAATTCAACAACAGTAGGTACTTAATAAAATCCAAATCAAGTTAACAAAACAATTAAAAACTAATTAACAAGTTAGGAAAGGAAATTTATTAGTTGTATAAGGGATTATTGTAATAGTTGTAGTATATGGAAATCATTATAAATACTTTTTCTCCTTTTTTCATTTTAGTCGATCCTTTGAATTTCACTGATGATTGTTGCAATTCGTGGAAAATCTTTCTAGTCATCATCTGAAAAAATCAAATAATTGCTTTTTAGTATGGAATAATTGATGAAAAATATAAGTAAAAGTTTTAAGACATTCTGGCACGATGTGACCACATGTATCACAATCTTATTCCACATTAAGCTCAGTGATTTTATTTCTCCTCCACTCCAGTTAAACATAAATTGGCAAGCCCACACAGAAGCTGACATGAAAAACAATTTATGTTCTACCATGTTCTGCCCCCTCCTCACATCCCATTCAAAATCACTGAATTGATAAACATGTGCAGTTGTACTACTTTAAAAGAAACAACTATGTAGGGGGGTGAGGAAGGGAATGATTGATGATATTTAACACAAGACTCTTTATTTCTCTTGTCAGTGTAGGATGAAATCTTATCAACTGGGATGAAATTTATGATAATTTTTATTAACACCCATCAAACCATCTGAAATTATATAAATTGTTTTGCTTAAATTACATTTTCTTATTCGTATTTTAATGTAAACTGTTAAAAAAATAATTCTAACAATTTTTTATAAGTAAATTTATTTCTTTTTCTTTCTTTCTTAACAACCAATTTACTATGTATGATAAATTTATAGATGAGTTATTTTAATAATATTGTTAGCGCCATGAGAAAATCTTATTTTCACTTGAAAAATATTTGTTTTGGTGCCCTGAGCCTATGCCCCTTTTTACCCATTCTTTTCGCTGGCTTTTACACTTACATTAATGACAGGAATAAGCAGGGACAACAACAAAAATTGATTGCTTAAGCATCTTCTTGCAACAGCTCTTTCAATAGTTTCTCTTAATACAAAAAAATATGAAGGCCCCTTTTATGGGGAAGGGGTTTTCAGGAGTCAAGAAAAGTGATGAATGTGAAAGAAAAGTTCTCACATTCTTATTTTTCCCAGAAAAAAATATCACAAATCAGCGACTTCCAAGTTATTCAGAGAATTTTAAATTTATTATCTGTCATTGGAGAGTTAATATATTATCGGCCAAAGCTCGTTAACTTATTTTTATTTTTTCTACTTACCAATTTGAATTTAAAATTTTTTCAAATATCTCTTTTATTTCAATACATAAAATAAAACACTAGCAAATTTTGTTTATTTAAAATAGAGGAATTTGGAACTAATGTTTTCATATTCAGAGAGAGAAAAAGAATTAAATTTTAGGTTCACAAATACGATTGTTCAAGAGTTTAGAATTATTATTTTTTAAAAAAAAACAATCGCCGTTTTGCTCTGTTTTCTGCTTCTTACTAAAGTATAGCATTGTTTTGTCCAAATTAGTATGATAGTTTTTTTAATTATGAATAATAATTTATGGTATTTTTGTGTCAGTTTTTGTTTGTTAGGATGTTGATTAACTGTATAAAATGCAGGTTTCGCACGTAACTATTAATACGATTGCTGTGCTTAGAGCAGCCATTTGTCAAAACTAGTCATTTTATAAAAGTAACTTAGGAATTTTTTTTAGAAAAATGACCGTAAGAAATTCTCAAAATTTTAGAAAATGTAATGAGCTCTTTTATACTAAATTAACTATGATAAACTAGTTTATTAAATTTGGACACATAATTTTTTTTAAGAAATTATTGTCCACGTTCATTGAAAATATATATCTGCTGATCTTAAATTATTTAACCGTTTTTTTTTTTTTTTAAAATAATATGCAAGTTTGTATAATTTTTTCTTAGTTTTGGGTAGGAGCAGTCAAAACGTAAAAATAGGGATTACTTATTTATTATGTTTGCCATTGTAAATTTTACAAGCTCTTTATTCTTTAAAAAAATATTTCGTCAAATTTTATAGTTCTTGCATCATTTATCAAAACTTTTTATTTGATAAAAAGAGCTTAAGAGTTATTTTTAAAAAATGACTTTAAATAAATAAATTAATTAATTTAAGGACTTTTTCCTTAGCTTCATTAGCAAAAAACTCAAATACATTGTGCACAATTTTGCGTGCTTGTGATTTTAAAACTTCGCCTTTTTTAAATTTAAAAGGTATTTCTCAAAATTCAAAAGAGTTAAAAGAGGAAAAATAAAATAAAAAAATTTACTACAAAAATAAATCTGTTGAAATTTTTTTCTAAAACATCTTTTGAAAAAAGAGAAAAGATTTAAAAAAAAAAAAAAAAAGGAATCGAACTAACGATGTTTTAGGCGCGTTCAGGACTTTCAACTAGTATCTTTGATGAGCTGTGTTTAATTTTCTGAACGTAAAAGTAAAATTGTAGGAAAATTAATGAAACTCTTTCATTTCAGTCTTGCTGGTTCATAAAAAATATCATCATTTCTGTTGTAAGTATTAATTATAACATTTTCGACTGAACTTCAAGTAATATGGAAACTTTTTTTTTCCATCGTGACAGCATACTAAATAAATATTATTAATTATGATGTCACTTTGAAATTTTATTTATTAATAATTTAGCTTTGTTTAATTTTTATAACTATCAATAGTTATATTTGTTACTTTTTTCAATTTAAAATAATTATTAGTTTTCTTTATTTTTAAAATATGTACTTAATAGCAATTAAAAATTGAAATTAAGGTGTATTAATACGGAATAGAAAATTATATTTCTTATGCTTAAAATATAGTTCTCATAAATTATATTTCTGAATTTTATCTCTGAATTCAGCTTTGTTTGTGAGTCATAATTTTTTGTTTCAACATTTGTTATGTTTTTAAATTTTGTTACTTGTTATAATTGTTATTTTGAAATAATTATTAATTTTTAAAATAAGTATTTATAAGCAATTATTATAGAAAAAGAATGAAACTATAGATTTTAGAGTGGTTAAAATTTATAAAAAAAATAGTTACAAAATTTAAACTATTTGTTTATTTTTTTTATTTAAAATTAAATTTTGGTATATTAAATTTTTACCTCCAAAAACTTGTAACTAAGTAATACTTAAAATGATTTGAGTAATTTAAATAAACATACCTAACTTCCAATGTGATGAACCGGGTTCGAATCCCAGTGTAGGCTGGTCGAAGCGAATTCCTATCTAACATTGGGAGGTTTTCGTGTTTTTCCTCTCCATGCAATGCAAATGCGGGTAAGTTTCATTCAAAAAGTCCTCCACGAAGGCAAATTTTCTCCCAGTACTTGATCGAGAAGTTCCCTTGTCTTTTGTATCGGATTTAAAATAACAAGGCTACGAAGTTAATCATTAATATTTGTAAATCCAAAATTGGGTCGGCTTTTCCACGACATTTATAAAAAATTAAAAAAAAAAAACATACCTTACTGTAAGAATATTTAGTCCAAGGTTTGATACCGATATGTGGAGGGTTAAAATAGGAGTCTTAAAATTATTTTAATAAATATTCAACCAGGGCTCGAAAAACCGCCCGTCCTCGGCGGTCAAAAATCCCCCCCGGGCAACGAATTTCTGGAATCCGACGTCCACGCGGACGGCCATTTTCCCGTCTTGACCTTTGTCATTTAAATTATTTCATAAGAGAAAGACTAGGTTACTATTAGTAACCGAGTAGTTCTTTTATTACTGTACAATGTAATCCCAGTAACTACTAATTCATTGTGGAATTTATATAAATGTTTGTTATAAATAAGGGAAAATTATATTTTTATTTATTTAGAAGCTACGAGTAAGTTTCAAAGGAGGCCGGGTACATTGTTGGACAAGCCTTCCTCAGGGGCGGGTAAAATTTCTGAGATTTTTCGAGCCCTGGAATCAACCAAATACACATCACACGCAATAATTTAATTTTATAAGAAAATTTTAATTCCACATCATTTTAAATTTTTTTCAATTTTTGAAGAACACTTTCCTACACGTCTTAAAGTTTATAAAACTTTGATGAAGGGCTAAGCGAACAAATTTTTCTACAACAAGGACTGTAAATTCCTGTAACAGAAAAGATGGATTTTCTTACATTAATATCCTATATTATATTTAACTTTCAAATTTTTAATTTAACTTTTTTGTTCATTTTAAGGTGACAAGGAGATTTCTAAGCTTTGAAAATCGGTCTAAATTTTAATTAGACCGATGCAATTTTTTCAAGAATATTGGTTAAAAAATTTTGCCCACTTATCGTCTCAAATTAGTTAAAAAAGAAACAGTTTTGTGTGCAGCATCAAATTTCAATTAAATTGTAAAAATCTAACTAATATTTAAAACTTTGACTTTAGTGAATTTAAACCAGTTTTAACCAGTTAATATTTAACCAAACTTCTGCATATTATTTAAAAAAAAAAAAAGAAGGTATGCTTATAAAATTATCGAATTTTTACCGATGACTACAACACTGACCAGAAGCCATGATGGGCAAACATTGTTTTTTTTATTTTTTATTCCAAAATCGTATGTATTTGATTTAAATCGGATATTTTTTTAGATAAAATTTATTGCTTTTTAAAATTTTTCCAACCAAACCATCTGATAAAAGATTTTAATAATACTATTGCTTAAAAAAATTGAACTAAAATAGTTAATATTTCTTACTAAAATGAATAAAATTATTATTATATTATTAAACTACTATTTAAAAGTTTATATCACACTTATTCAAGCATAATCTATTTTAAAACACATTTATTTACAAGCATATTTCTTCCAATATTTCTTAGTAAAAAAATCCTTACTATCAAGAAAATCGGACTAAAAGAAATCGTTCTCAAAAAAATACATTTATTTATTCTATTGCATAGAAATATTTTATATTTAAATTACATATTTTTTCATCATTTTATTGAAATTTAAGATTGATTGATTTTTTTAAAAAAAATCAGTTTTGATTTGCATTAATGCATTTTTTAATAAAATAATGAAAGGGATAATGCAGTAATTTCAAACATATGCCTTTTATTATTTCGTAGTAAACAAAATCGGCTTTCGTAATAAACTTACATCATCAATTAAATCAGACTTTTAAAAATTCCCATCTTAAAGAACGTATTTATTAATTATACTGCATGAAAACATTTCAAACTAATATTAATTATATTCGTTTAGGTTAATGTTTTGTAAAAAAAATTACAGCTGATTTAAATTATTGATTTCTTTAAATAAATTCAAATGATTTAAAGTACGATTTTATCATGACTAAAATCAAGTAATTTAAATTATGCCAACCCTAACAGTAACGATCAGAAACTTAAAAATTCAGTACACCTTTTTTTTAATTTGATTTATGATGTTTTTTATTTCGTCCATTTTTTTCTCATACGAAATGATTTTTAACTAGTTCCTTCTGCTTTGTTTACTGTAATTTCATAGTAAATATTTGATTTTCAATATATATAGAAAAATAATTTTAGAATGCTTAGAATCAAATATTTACTACAAAGTTACAATAAAC